AATCCTAATGTCCAACATTCAACTATTGGTGTAAACAAGGTGTGATATTTACTTCTTCCCCCATCTCTCTCAGATGGGAGGGGCAGAAATTTGAGAATACAAATGTAGAAAGTTGGATGCCAGTGCTTAATAATTCAGTCCATATTAAAAGTTGAGAGGAAATGTACACTTTTAATTCCCCAAAACAAAGCAAGTTCCCTCGATTGCTTGATATAAATATATAAGATTCTACAAGAAGCAAGTCATTTTGATTACAAGCACTGCTCCTCCAGTTGTGCTTTTACAAGCAAATCTCTATTACTATTCAATTTGTTTACTTCAACCCAATTTGTTTACCTGGGGTGAGAATAAGAGAAATCGAAACCTTGGACCTATCCTAGTCATTTCAGTTCATAAAAATCTTCAATGTTTCTTATTAGTACTGCAAACATGTGAACAAGCCCTGCCTGGAACAGTATATTTTGGGAAATTTGCCAGTCCAGGTGGATTTGCAAAAATGAAGTCCTCGGCAATATAGATTACACTTCCTTCACTTTCTAAATTTGGTTTCGCATAAACTGAACATGCTGTTGCAGGCCAAGTATGCTTGGAATTACAAATGCTATCGGGCTTCATGACATTTTGCTTCATTATTTGGTGAAATGTTTTTTTCCTGTTGCAATAAATATTTTTTAAAAGTTTATCAATATTTTTGTAACGTTGGTAGATGTCAAGTGTTTTTTTAAGTTAAGAATGAAATATTTATTGCCTGCTGACAGTCTTACTTTCCTCTATTGCTGCTGTAACCCTTAGCTATGCCATAGTCACCTTGAGCAGAGGGGGCAAGGGCAGGACCGATGGGCGGACAGTCAGATTTTTTTCCAATGCTCCTTATTGGCCTCACTTGCTTAACTCTCCAGAAGCTTCAGCTGACTGAGAACTTTGAAGCCTGAGTTCTCTCCTGTACAAGGTTCTACACTCGCCTCGCCCCAATGACTTTTAGTACCTCAGAAGATCAAGTTTAAAAGCATTTTTATCGTATTAAAACCTTTCATAGTTGCATCCCATCCAATATATGCAGTCTTTGTCAGTCTTGCCATTTCAGCCCATACACTCTTTTTCTGTCTCTAGTCTTATTTCTTGCTTGCCATTCTCTTTGCTGCTTTAACCACTTTGCCCCATCCTCTGGAACTCTATTCCCAAACCAATTTGCCTTACTAATTCTCTCCCCGACTTTNAAAAAACTTCTGAAATCTCTTATGACCATGTCTTTGGTCATTATTTATTCCCACTATAATCCACCATTATATTTGTCGAGCTCTTTTGGATATTTTACGTGAAAGGCCTCCTGCATGTCCCTCGTGCCCTCCGTTCCACCATCGGTGGCTGTAATTTCAACAGTGGATGAATCAAACCAGATTCTTGCTGACTTGTGAAATATCATGCAGTTTTAGCTTATGGCAGTTTTGCACGTCACAATGAGGGAAAGAGACGAGTCCTGCTGTTTCCCCTCCAGTCCTGCCCTTAACTGTAGTCTGGATTCCTACCTTAACTGTTACGTAGGGACAGGCTAAAGATAAAGGTTTCAACGTTTCAGTGCACAGTACTTCATTTAAATCTATACATGTGCTGTAGAATATTTTGTTTCATCTGGTTTTGCTGTTACTTTGGGAACTGCTGAACAGGGCAAGACAGGAAACGTGACCGTTTTCTTTAACCTTGTCTTGGTCTCCTGAAGGTGCTAATTTAGCTGGGATTCACTTCTACAGGTGCTGGCAGCCCTTTGCTGGCTCCACATGTAGGCAATCTTTGTGTGTTCCTAGACTGTGATGTTGGCAGACTATTCAGCCATTGAGAGCATCACAGCTGAGCCGAATCTTGTAATTGCCAATGTCTACACATGTGCCTACCAGCAGGAATAACTGATGCAGGAACCTTGGATTCTCTCCTTGCTCCGGATGGGTCTTAAGGACAGTTGTAGTTCCCTAACTGCTGACCCAGATGAGATCTGCACTGAAATTCCCAGTCTCCATTTGGTGGCTTTCCACATTGACATAGCTATGATTACATGAATTCACTGTAAACCAAATCCTGCCATTTGTAGCACATTGCATTTGCTGTTCCGCTAAGTTAACTTTTCATTATTATATTAGTTAATGTTTAATATTAAACATAATCCCTATTGGCTGCTTTTGCATTTTGCCCTTTTAGTACTGAAAACAAACATTTGTGCGGGTTCAAATGCTATCAATTTTTAGGGTCATTTGATTGCTAAGCTATACATTCCTTTGGAACCTTTTAGTATTTAAGGTATTTTTTTTAAAAAGACAGTTGCACTCTAGTGGTTATTTCTACAGGAAAATCCAAACTACTGTAGATATATATGTTGTTTAAAAACACAAAACAAAATGAATACTGGACTTGGTTTTTGCAAACACAATTCGAAATTACGTCAACACAAAATAAACTGCATTGTACAACTGCTGTACAATATTTCATCAGTGAAAGCGCTCTGGGACACTAGTCTGCATGAGAGACGCTATATAAATACAAGTTGTTGTTAAAAAGGTAATGCCTGGTTTACAGATGCAGAGCTCTCCTTTGAATGCTTATAGTAAACAAAATGTTTTCTCTTGTTTTGCAATTGAGAACGTAACAGTTTTTAAATGTTAACCTGTTCACTTTTGTTTCTCTGGTCTTGTTATTTTCAATAGAAAATGTTTTGAATAAGATAGCCAGGAAGCACAATATCCAGATAGCCATAGAAGGACGACTAAAATCTGAGCAAATATAAGGCCATCAGTCTTTCTCACAGTAGCTTCACAATAAACAATCGTTCTGAAATTGAGTCTTGTCAAGAATATATATTAATAGAGCGTTAACTCCATAGCAGCCCTGTATGCATTAGGCTAATTACATCAAATGCATAGAGGACAATAATTCTTTGCACCTACTGAGATGTTTAAGATGGGTTTTGCTTCTATTAAGAGTTTTCAGCAAGAAGCGGATCAAAAGAAAACACGCGGGGGAGGATCACTGGGGTGTGTTTATGGATTCTTTAACCACTCGTCATAGCTGTAAAATGACACAGATTGTTTGCTAGGATTCTATAAAGGCTAAACTGTGGTTCATGGCTGTGTATCTATCATTAGTAACAAGGGCATGGTGGTGGTGTCATTGTTGTATAGAGGAAATGCCGTATTGGTCTAGGTTAAAATAAAATCAAGTCCTGAATGCCCCCCCAATGGCAGTCCAATATTTTGAATTAAAGTTTTGGTTGTTTACAACTGAGTTATTTTTGTCAAATGTATTCAGTTTTACGAAGATGTTGGTTACATTTAAGGGCCAAAAATATAAAGTTATTATGCTTAATGTATTAATTCAAGGTCGCACAAGTATTTTAAAAGAGCACTTCGAACCATAAAGGGTAAGACAGCTTAGGACAAGGTGAAAATAGATGTATATAAAATGTATCCTTGGATGTTTCACTAAACATGTCTCGGAATTTTGAAATATTTACAATGTACAGCTAAAAGGTTTTCTCCAAGGATACGCTTAAAGTACTTTCTGCTCGTTTCTGTTGTAGCTTTGCCACAGGCACTGAAATCTGACTCTGGAATATAAATAGCGAAAGGAGTTTAAAATGCTTAGTACACAGTTGCTGTCAGGAGTGATGCTGCAAAGTGTAAGTACTGGGGGTGGCTGTTGATTCACTACACCTTGCACTGCCTTGTTTCCAGACATTTTTTTAAAAAAAAAATGTTTTCATCTTCCACGATGACCGTAGTCATTTAAAGCAAATCAAACACAATTGTGTCTTGATCTAGTTGGCAGAAATTACTAATTGGAACATTGAAGTTCTTTCTAAATCGCAACCGGTAAAAACAAATCGAGTTGGTACAGCAGTGTGTCCAGATAAGAGCCGGGAAATAAATGTTTTAGTAGGTGGAGTGTGAATACAGTGCTTTGGCTATTATTAACTCGTGCATGTGCAACTTAACCATCAACAACAACAACAACAGCAGCAGCCACACAATTACATTTGTTGGGACGTCCTCCTGACGTGAAAGGCGCTTTATAAATGGAATCTTGTTGTTGTTGTTGTTGTTGTAAAGCGCCTTTCACGCCTTGGGACGTCCTCCCGACATGACAGGCGCCACGTACGGCGGATGCGATGCTGGCGGCCGTGGTTGTTTCTCGTTGGGAGGGCTGTCCCCGAGGGGCTGGAGCGGCGCGGGCTCGATACGTCGCCGCCGTCGGAGCGAGACCGTGCCGCTGCGCTGTCTGCTCGTGTCCTTTCGTTCCGGTTAGTTCCGGTCGCCCGTTCGGAGCGTGTGGCCCTCGGCCAGAGGTCGGGGGGGGTGGTGGGGTGGGGTGTGGTGTGGGGGTGTGTGAGGGAGGGGGGGGGGGGTAACGTCAAATCCAACTAACTTCATCAATTAAGTCTGCGCGCCATCGAGTTAGTTGTGTGTTTTTTTAAAAAAAACAGACAGTCGGGAGTTTCAACCCAGAGGAGCGAGAGAGAGAGAGAGAGAGGTTGAGCTGGGGTTGCGTTTGTTTTGTTTGAGGGGTGGGGGTCGGGGTGGGGGTGGGGTGGTGGGAGGAGGGGGGGGTTGGAGATGTTACTCGGGGGGGCGGGCGGGCGCTAGGACCGCGGGGCCGCCGCCGACACCAGGCGGGAAATGACGACCTAGGCCCGAGCGAGGCCTGCGCCTGGTCTGTCGGTCGTCAGAGGATCGATCCCCGCGCCCTCAGTCCCGGAGGACGACCCCGGTTGCCATTTCGAGGCGGTTCGTTGACGGTCTCTCTCTCTCTCTCCTCCTCCTTCTCCTCCTCCTTCTCCTCTAATCCCTGTGCACACGGCGATGACTCGAGTTGGAAGCCGACATTAAACGCCAGAGATACCCCCCCAAAAAAATACCTCACACACACACACACACTCACTCACACACTCACACTCACTCACACTCACTCTCTCACACTCACTCACTCACTCACTCACACACTCACACACACGGGGGTGGGGAAGAGGAAGAGGACGGAGAGAGAGAGAGAGAGAGAGAGAGAGAAGCAGAACTTAAGACGAAAAGGGGAGACCTCTGAATGCCGGAAAACTCAGACTGGAGAATCGGTAACGAGAGGATAGGAGCCCAGAAAATCCAAACACTGCACTGGAGGGCCGGAGGCCTTGGTCCGGGCTAATGCTGGGGGGCCCTGGTCCAGGGCTAATGCTGGGGGGCCCTGGTCCAGGCTAATGCTGGGGGGGGCCTTGGTCCAGGCTAATGCTGGGGGGGCCCTGGTCCAGGCTAATGCTGGGGGGCCTTGGTCCAGGCTAACCCCGGAGGGGGCCCTGGTCCAGGCTAATGCTGGGGGCCCTGGTCCAGGCTAATGCTGGGGGGCCCTAGTCCAGGCTAATGCTGGGGGGCCCTGGTCCAGGCTAATGCTGGGGGGCCCTGGTCCAGGCTAATGCTGGGGGGGGGGCCCTGGTCCAGGCTAAGCCCCTGGTCCAGGGGGGGCCCTGGTCCAGGCTAATGCTGGGGGGCCTTGGTCCAGGCTAATGCTGGGAGGCCCTGGTCCAGGCTAATGCTGGGGCCCTGGTCCAGGCTAATGCTGGGGGGCCCTGGTCCAGGCTAATGCTGGGGGGGCCCTGGTCCAGGCTAATGCTGGGGGGGCCCTGGTCCAGGCTAATGCTGGGGGGCCCTGGTCCAGGCTAATGCTGGGGGGCCCTGGTCCAGGCTAATGCTGGGGGGCCCTGGTCCAGGCTAATGCTGGGGGCCCTGGTCCAGGCTAATGCTGGGGGGCCTTGGTCCAGGCTAATGCTGGGGGGCCCTAGTCCAGGCTAATGCTGGGGGGGCCCTAGTCCAGGCTAATGCTGGGGGGCCCTAGTCCAGGCTAATGCTGGGGGGCCCTGGTCCAGGCTAATGCTGGGGGGCCCTGGTCCAGGGCTAATGCTGGGGGGGCCCTAGTCCAGGCTAATGCTGGGGGGCCCTAGTCCAGGCTAATGCTGGGGGGCCTTGGTCCAGGCTAATGCTGGGGGGCCTTGGTCCAGGCTAATGCTGTATTAGTGCGTTTTCTTTAAAGAGGCTGAAGGGAAGAAAAGGAAAACAAGATCTCCATAATGTGTGGCCATGAGATATGTAGTATGTCCTGGGCCAGTACTGTCGACCCCCAGGGGCGATCGAGTTGTTCACCAGGGACAATGCCCTCTTCCCCTCCAAAAAAAAAAAGTCCCTTCTCAAAAGTGGAGGGACCACAGACTTCAAATTAATTCTGGTAAAATACAGGACGTGCCTGTAATTAAAAAAAATAAAAGATGGCCGGATAACTTCCAGCACTAAAATAGTACGAGTGCACCGAGGGTAAAGTCGATCCAACAAGTTGAACTTGGTGGCAAATCAAGTTAGTTAAAGGGAGAGAAGATCGTGGGTGTGGTCCTGTGACCAAACACTGTGCCGTGGAGTGGGGGATGTGGTTTCATATCTGATGTTCCCCCACCCTAGTGAATTATTAATCTTGCCCGTATAATGAAGTAGTCACTGAGTAAAGGTTAGTATCTTGTCTGGTGGGAAGTAAAAGAAATGAAGGGCGGTGGGGGCGTGGAGGCAAGGTTTGCATCCTCCCCTCCCTGCAGCTGTGCTACACACTTCAGCAACTGGCTACAGATCAACGTCGCTTTGTTGATGCTCTGGTGCAAGGAGGAGGGGGGAAAAAATGACCCAGTGGGAGAATTATGTTCCAAAAATCATTCAGGCACTTTAATAAAAGAAAACTTTTGAAACCAGGGGATTGTTAGGCTCTCTCAGTGCACTAAAATAGCTTTTTGTAAACAAGTTGTACAATTTCTTCAGCCCAGTTATACAATTAGTAATAATGTATTTAGATTATTGATGGAATGATATTCTTTAATGATTGGGATTATATTTCTAGAGTTGCCGTGGGAGGGGGTTTGGGGATGGGAGGAGAAGAAGAAAATATCTCCAGTTGGAGCTTCATATTAATACCTCTCCCACAGTCTAACTTCTTGGAAGTTGCTTAAATACAAAGTTCAATTCCTCCATTCGGTTACTTTTCAAAACAAGTCATACAATTTTGTAAATCCAGTTTGAAATGTTCAGCAGCCATCAGTATGGAAATTATGCAGAATGAAAGCTAAAGACATAGTGCTTGGACTTTTTGGCTCATAGGTTAGCAGTTCCATGATCAATATGACAGTCTAGTCAACCATCGACAGTATTATTGGATTACTGTGGACCTGCTTGGCTTTTTGCCAGACATGGCTCCTTGGAACCAGTTCAGCTCAGAGGGACACCACACTCTGTTTTCTAATAAAAGGGTGGAATTTATGTTTTTGTATTGGAAAATAATTAGGCAGTGGAAGAAGAATACTTCAAGCTGTTGAATGCACATAAGTAAAGAACAAAGTCCTGTGCCAAGTTGAAGTGTAATAAAGTAATTGTTTTGTAGTTGCTGTTTATAACTTGATGACTGAAGCAAAGTCTTTGTACATTTCCAAAGATATTTTACAAATAGTGACTGTGCTTGAGGCTCATAGCAGTGACCTGCTGTATTTACTGTAGTTTCAAAACTGACTGAGTGTTCTAATATGTAGGGAGGCATTATTGTATACTTATAATAATATATTGTATTATATAATTTATATTGTATATAAATTGTTAATATGTCCATGAGTAGAGAGAAGAGAATGAAAAATAGTGAAGGTTCTGCACGTCTTGACAATTTACCTACAAAAATGGGAGGAGGATGCACACCAGATCAGTGGTACTTTAACATTGTGGTTTCTTGTGTTTTATGAGCTGAACATCATTTCTGTTATTTTGTCTCGGTTATAAATTGAGCTTTGGGAATGTGCAACCATCTGCTTTTTACCCTTTCAAGCCAGACTAACTTCAACTCAACAATTAAAACAATTTTGCAAGTAGCTAATTTAATAATACAAAATAATACTATTGGTGGTCAATCATTAACTGATTCCTCATTTGTGAAGGCCTTTTGGCAAATTATGGTTCTGTTTCAATCTGGTGTCTTAATACTGTATGATATCACTGTGCAGTAAGTAATTAAGGCAACCATGACTCAATTACTAATTCACATAAAACAATTCAATATTTGGAAATATATTTGTGTTGAGGTGGTCTAATTTTAATCGTGGAAATGTTACACCCGTGCACTCAATTCATTTTAATATTGGAATGATTTCAGATAAATAATTTCTTATATTGCCTATTAAATTTCTGTTGTGTGTTGCAGTGTTGCACAACTACTAGCCATATTTTGGATACACCAAATAAAAATATAAAAGATGCTCCTTGTGTTGCTAGAATCTTTATGTATCCAGTTGCACAAACCAAGCAGCATTGAGTCGATTCCAGTTACTACTCAAAATCTAACGAGAAGTCTTTTAGTGAGCTGTTGTGAAAAAATAAAATGTAATTTTTTTTCCAAAAAGTATACCAATCAAAAAATAACTATGAGGACACTACCTGAGCTTTAGAAGTTTTTGTGCTGCCTGCAAAATACACCCAATTTTTTTCCATTTAAACAGCTGTGTGCAAAAGTGCAGTGTTGCTTCTGGCAGTAGTTTTGGTAAAGCATGATGTTGCTTAGGTTACCTTAGCATAGTTTAAAACATCTTAGTGAACTAAGAATTTAGATAAAATGCAAAATACTGCAGATGCTGGAAATCTGAAACAAAAACAGAAGTCTCTGGGCAGCAGAGAAAGGAAACTGAGTCAACGTTTCGGGTCCACGATCCTAAGTCGCTAACTGGTGTTTTTGTTTAGACTTTAGGTAATTTAGTTTCTCTTCAGCCAAATAAGGTGTAGTAATAAATCTCTGAACATTTTGTGTTGTATTTGTGAACAATGAAAGGACCTTTGTTTTTGAATGTTACTTTTTATATAACCTAATCATTGTATTTGATATAGCTCCTTATCATGTTGGCGAGACATCTCATAGTGTTTCACAGGATACACGATAAAGTGGATTTACTGTGCATTTTTTGTGAGCAAAACAATTTCAGGTTAAATGTAAAATGGGTAAAATAGTGATTAGCTTCTAAAATCGGTGAAATAGCATATATTTGATAGGACAATTATGTGCAGCCCTATTAGAGTCTAGATATGTAGATTACAGCATTTCTTTGGGAGCTAAGGCAGCACTAGTAATTTCCGTTTTAACATCTCCTTAACATGAGATATTTTGTGTTAAATATCAATATGTCTAAATTTAAATACATTTCCATTTTCCATTCCAATATGTCCTGAGTTAGTTTCTGACAGATGAGATTACACTAGGTTGCTGCAATAGGCCAAAGGATTAAGGAGGTGAATGTTGGTCCATTCCCTCTCCTCATTCCTGTTCAGTGAATCCTTCTAGAAGTGCACCTGTGCGGCAGGTGGGTAACAACATGATTGTTGTCCACAAGGACAAGGGGGAGGCAGAATCCCCGCTAACTGGTGAAATTCTCATATGATTAATTGATGTAGTCATGACTAATTGGATGATGGTATCTGGTGCCTTCGAGGGTAGTTCCAGTGTAAGAAAAATAATCCGATCCCTTCAGGAGAGACATTTTTCCAGTAACTTGTTTAAGTATCATAGGTTGTCAACTTGTACCGTGCACTCCTCTTAAGTGCATATTGGATAATTGCTTACTCCCATTTGATTGTAGAGCAACTTCTAGGTACTGAAACTTCGCTGTTTGTATGCATGTTTTGCTCTGATCAAATGCGTATTGGAAAATTGCAAAATTTGCTTAATTGCATGACGTCTGCCCCATTCCCAATTCCATGCAATTATCCGGAATGCACTGCATTGCAAATATGGAGCAGTGCAGTGAGGCATTTGTTACCAGATATTTTGTTCAGATTGTGGAGCATTGGAAGCTGGTTTTGAAGTAGAGGTGATTAAAATTAAGTTTAGATGCTTCTGCTACACTTCGCAGTCTGGATTTTATGGAGCTATTTATAACTGTCCTTGTGGATGAAGGTCTTGTGGGCAGCTTCTACAATGTTGTACATGGAGTTTTGGTAGTGCAGGCATATAAGAGGCTAAAGATTTATTTTTAGTATTGCTCGTAGGAAAATGCTTATAAAAGCCTGACTTTGAGAATATTTTTGTGAACTGATCTTGCAGGGTTAAATCATTTGTTAATGTTTGTGCAAGTCAACTAATTTTTAGGCATTGATGTCAAAATATTCTGTCTTGCCCAGATTGTGTGATGTATCTCATACCCCAAGTCATAATGCGATGTTAAAATCTCATGAAATGGTTCATTGAAAAAAAGTTGGAAATTTGTCAGTTGGCTTCTGTTTTATAGATTTTGTGCCTGCAGAAATGAAAATGTTGGTAACTTGCCAGACCAGTTTATTGCACTTCATATTCCTTTTGGTGTAGTGTTTTTTTCTAAAAGTTTTGTATTAGGCTTTAGATTTTACTTTTTGTTGTTATCGACGAGGTATATTTTTCATGCATTTTTTAATTAAATGAAATGTGTATAAGAGCTGCGTTCCTGCCACGAAGACTGGAATTCCAGTTTCTTTCTGATACTGATTCGACTGTATAGCTATTTGGGTACGACCTCATTCTACTTTCTCTCAAAAGTCCCAGAGTATGGAAATAACATTTATTATATTTATTTCGCAGTTGTAATTATGAAACTAAAATGTATTTGTTCAGTTGTACAACTGTAATCATTATTGTGAGGTAGAGGAGAGAAACTGGCATCTTGTTTTATTTCTTGAAATTTTCTATTTACCTATACATCTGCAGTTAATGGGGAAAACAAATATTAGCATATGGCTTATTCCAAGGGCTAAAACCAAAATACAGTAATCTTTTACCCTTCAGCATCTGCACTATATCTTTGCACTTGAACAGAAATTCATTATTGGTGTCTTTATTTTCTTTCAGGAAATTGAAAAATGGGTGCGTTTTTGGATAAACCTAAAACAGAGAAACATAATGCACATGGTGCAGGAAATGGCCTCCGTTATGGCCTCAGCAGTATGCAGGGCTGGAGAGTAGAGATGGAAGATGCTCACACAGCTGTTGTCGGCATTCCTCAAGGTTTGGAATCGTGGTCCTTCTTTGCAGTGTACGATGGTCATGCAGGCTCTCGAGTGGCAAACTACTGCTCAAAGCACTTACTTGAACACATCACAGGCAATGAAGATTTCAGGGGCACAAACGTGTCCACGTATCCCTTTGAACCTACCATAGAAAATGTCAAGAATGGTATCAGAACTGGATTTTTGAAAATTGATGAGTACATGCGCAATTTTTCAGAGCTGAGAAATGGCATGGACAGGAGTGGGTCAACGGCTGTGGGAGTGATGATATCCCCAGAGCACATATACTTTATCAACTGTGGCGACTCAAGAGCTGTTCTGTACAGAAATGCACAGCTTTGCTTCTCAACACAGGATCACAAGCCTTGCAACCCAAGGGAGAAGGAGCGAATCCAGAATGCAGGAGGCAGTGTAATGATACAGCGAGTTAATGGGTCACTAGCAGTATCACGAGCGCTGGGGGACTATGATTACAAATGTGTCGATGGGAAAGGGCCTACAGAACAGCTGGTATCTCCTGAGCCTGAAGTATATGAGATTCTTCGAGCAGAAGAAGATGAGTTTATTATACTGGCATGTGACGGCATTTGGGATGTGATGTCCAATGAGGAGCTCTGTGAGTTTGTAAGGTCTAGACTAGAGATATCTGATGACCTTGAAAAAGTCTGCAACTGGGTGGTGGACACCTGCTTACACAAGGTAGCTAATTTATATATTTTTCTTAAGGATTGAATTAATTAATCGTGTGTCTGTGCGTTCTAGATTTATGTTTTAATAAGCTGTTTGCACTGATAGTTTGAGCCTTTTGAAAAATAAATCCATATGCTATTTCTCTAATAAACATGATGGCATTGATAAATATTTGTGAACTTAATATTTTTAAAATCATGTTATGCAAGGAAAAGAATAAAGTAGAGGATAGCTGTTTTCCCACAGAGGCGTGATTTCAAGATGCTTACATTCAGTCACAAATCATTCCATGCCCTGTACCTCTCCAAAATGCTCACGCCCTACTCCTTTTCCCGCCCACGTCGCTCGGGCTTACCCCCAAAACCTGCTGCTTCCGCTCGACTGGCTAGAGCCTTCTGCATGTCTCTCGTGCCCTCCGTTCCCCATTCGGTGGCCGCACTTTCAGCCACTACACCCTGAAACTCTGGAACACTTTTCCTCTATCCCTCTGGCTTGCCCCTTCCTTCCCCATTTTCAGGACGTGCCTGAAGACCTTCCTCTTCAACAGTGCCTATGGTTCGGTGTTGTGCTCCACCACTGTCAAGCGTTCTGGAATGCCATCCTGCGTGAAGGGCTCTATAAATGTTTTTGTCCCCTATTTCCTATGTCTATATATATATTATATATATGAAATATATATTTCCTGCCAACCTGCCCGTTCCCTCCGCTCAGCCGGCTCTGGCCTGCTCCACGTTCCCCGACCCACCCGCCCCACCATTGGCAGGAGAGCCTTCAGCCGTTCTGCCCCCAACCTCTGGAATTCCAAACCCCAGTCACTCAGTCTCACCCCCTCCTTAACCTCCTTCAAGTCCCGCCTTAAGACCCTCCTCTTCGACCATGTCATCGGTCACTTCCCATCCCCCTCCCCAGTTTGGGTCTGAAATGCTGTAGTCTGTCCAGCGCCTTGTGACGTCCTCCCGACATGAAAAGCGCTATACAAATGTAATCTTGTTGTTGTTGTCTCTTTCCAGTGACCTCAAAAAAGCACATGTTCAGCCTTTTGGCCTCAGTTTTGATCATGAGTTTTGCTTCAGATCCGAGTATATTGTGATACCATTTTAAATGACGGAATTATTATTGCTAATCATAATAATATTATTTGATCCACTGAGGGCTCAAAAGGAGGAGCAACACTGTTGATTCACACAATTCATGCCCTTTTATTTCTAAAGTTCACGATTGCAAAGTTGCATTTAGTTTTTGCTAAAATTGAGATTTAAGAATACTGTAGTTTGCTAATAATTACATATTACAAAATTCTTACAAACCTTGTTTTATAGGTAGTACAATCAAAATTAGCACTTATTTAAATTTCTAAGACTGATGCCTGATCAGTGTTTAGCTTTCGGATTGTGAGGTTGACACTGACATCATTTTCAGTGCACAAAAATAACGAGAGCCAAAAGTGGAGAAATATATCATATCCCAACAGTGATGTTCATCAGCTTCAGAAGCACAAAAGTTTGCTTAATGTTTTCTAGGTTGTTTTAATTTAAAATTGAAATGTTTTTGTTATAAATAGTTGGACTTCCATAAACAGTTGCAATGTGGAAATATTTCTTTGCCTGTTTCAGCCAATTTGTCTTGCACAGATAGATGTTAATTAAAACCAAATGGTTATCCTATTTTCCAGCTTTAACTGAAAACAAGTCATAAACATTTTTTAATGTGACTTTGAAATGAACACTTTTACTCCTTTGTGTTCATGCTCCCTTCCAGCCCCCTCCAAACAAAATAAATAAGGACTTTTCTGCCTTGGGAGCAGTCTCTGAACTGTTCAGTTGCATGAAGCACCAGTGCTAGTGATCAATTCCTTTTGATTCAAATTGGGTTCCTCCTTTGGACTGCTACAGCTGTAGATCTGCTTCACAGCAGTTATATCCTGAGTTTGAAAATCTGATTAGCAATATTTGAAAATGAGTTTGAAAATCTGATCAGCAGTATTTATCTGAACTTCGGCATCCCTTTAATTCCAATGCTCTTCTAGTTATTGACTGTGCATCAAGTTATTAGGTTGGTATAGTGAGAGATCGAATTAAAATGCTAATAACTTGCAAATCTGAGCCATATGGGGAGAGTGATCTTTTCTCAGCCAACTGTGCACAAGGTGTGAGAATTACCAGGTTGAAACATGAATGCACATTTGCGTTTATTATTGTGCCTAATGTTAACTCCCAAAGCGATTCCTGTTAATTTGAATTTCTCCATTGTCGGCATAGATAATGACCATTTTAATATATGTAATAGACTAAAAGTACAGGAAAAGATATTCAGAAAAGGTACGTTTCCAAGCAGAAAAGAATATAAACATGGCACCTGTGGTATTGCTATTGTGGAACGGTAGAACTTTACAGCATGGAAAAAAGGTCATTGTAAGTGTAAGGAAATAAGTGCCCATTGGCTCTTTGAAAGAGCATTAATTCAGTTCAATTTACCTGCCTGTTCCTCATACCCCTGAAAATACTTTTTAGATATCTGTTAAGTTACCTCGAAAACTAATGTGGATCCTGCCTCGACAAATGCACCTGGCAGAACATCCTCGTAACATCTGCGCGTATACATTAAAAAAACTCCTTATCTTCCCTTTTGCTCCATTCTTACCCTGTGGTGTAACTGACTGTTTCTACAAGTACCTTGTTAGGCTGTACAGTCTATACCTCTATTTCTAAAAAAATATATATCAATACATCAAATAAACAGTGCTGTCACTGGAATTTATCAGAAGTGAGGGACGGCCTGTGAAGGATAGTCTCTGCCAGATCTCTCTTAATAAGATTTCTAGCTTAGTTAGCCGTCGGATCTGTTGACTGGAACTGTTGGGTACTATCTTTGGCATTGCTGAACAGACTTTTCATGAGGTCTGTCCAGCTTACTTTGTGGGCTGAGTGGGTTCATAATTTTTTTTAACTGAAACGATTGAAGCAAAGAAACTGAAGTTCTCTTTTCAGTAATCTTTCCTTAAGATACCGCTAACAGTTTTGAGTTTACATAGACTTTTAAAATCTTAAAAAAGAGAGATAGATCCTCTGTTGTGATCTAAGTAAGATAGTGTGTGGCTGCATGGTGGCCACTATGTATTTTGCTTCAGGCAACTGATATAAAATCACGTGAAATGTTATTAGAAATGCTATGAAAAGAAAGTGCTTTTTTACTTCAGGGCGACCCGTTAAAACAATGTTTTGGATCCGAAAGCATTATACTTTGTCCCAAATCTGTGAAAATAAAATTGCCATGGTCCTATACTTCCAGGTTTCGGGTTACTACCAGTGGCATCACATCTGTTTTCTGGCACAGTTTGGATTGCTTTCACTGCACGTGTGTAAGAAGCTGGGGCAGTATGTGCTAATGTAATCTCCTGTTATCTTGTTTTTGCCCCACAAATACACAATTCACATGACAGTATATCATGTGAAGTGCTTTGAGACGTCTTGACGATGTGATAAGGCGCTATATCGAATGCAAGGATTATTATTACCTCAGAATCCACAGGAGACGGGTAGTAAGCTCTTAACGAGGTGCTCGATAATGGGGTTGTCCAGTTTTTGTTTATTGTGAGGTTGCTTAATATTGAGAGACTTTTTTTTCTTTTTTTCTTTCTTCACCACACCCCCCTTCCCTTCCCCACCCCCCCCCCCCCTTTTTTTTCAGCTCTATCTGTTCGTTTGACACATTTACCGCACTTCGCAGCAGATAGTAATCGAGGGCTGGAAAAACCTGGCTGATTCATATAAATTCACGTCCCGGGTGGAGCCTGAACCCATACCCCCTTCATACCCAGAGGCAAGGGTGCTGCCAACTGAACCAAGCTAACAAAATAATACTTAAATGGCCATAAAGATCAGTTTGGTCTCATTTCACACGCAGGTCAGGAAAGAGATTAGAAAAACCATTGGCTGAGCCCTAGAAGAAATCTGTCTTTCCTCTTACCTAGAGATCTAAAATGGGGAGGGGTAAAATACTTTTTAAAAGTGACTGTTTTAATATATGAGTTATGTCGCTAGAAATTACTTCCACAAGGCATCAAGATGTGAACAAACCTACGATTGTCGTAGCTGTGGAAACTGAACAAATTATAGGAAAGTAGCCAATTAACTGAACGGATTATAGTTGTGATTGTGAGCAACAAATGTATTAAAACGTATGTGCTGCATTACTATCGTTCTCAGTAAGTATTGCGTACAGAAGTTGATTCATGCTTTAAATGTTTTGCAGGGAAGTAGAGACAACATGAGCATTGTAGTAATTGGCTTCCCCAAAGCTCCTAAGATCTCGGAAGAGGCAGTGAAGAAAGATGCTGACCTGGATAAATACCTGGAGTCACATGTTGAAGGTAGGCTGCATTCAGCTTATTTGTTGAATTAACAGTGTGAGATATTTGTACAAAAAATCTAATAATAAAGAAATGACTACAAGGTTATTTTGAAAGGTACAGTACTTAGTACTTTTGGTCAATGATGATTTCTGAAGCTGCTATATTCCTTCGATATTAAAATGTAAAAACAGTTTAAAAGCTAAATGTTCTCCATGTATTATAGGAAATAAAAAATCCTGACTGAATTTTTTTTGTCATGTATCCAAGACTGCTCTCTGTCTTCTCTTAATCCTCTCCCTCACAGAAATATATAAAAATATACTCGTGTTTTTTATATCATCTACTTTTCTATATTATCTTCAGAAAAGCCATTTGTCAGCTTTATTGTGTTTTTATAGGTACCAGGTTGTTAGTCGATTGACGAATTGCATTTCCGGGGGTAATAAACCCTCAAAAAAAAATAATTTGGTCATTCAATCCCCGACTGTTTGTGGGACACTGCTGTGTGCAATTGGTTGCCGTGTTTCGCCCACAAAATATACAGTCAATTCATTTTACAGTATATTCTGTGAAGCGCTTTGAGATGTCTTGACAATGCGATAAGGCACTTTAAGGCAAGGATGATTATTATCATTATTTATAGTCTCTGAATGCTTTGGAGGTATAATTTCCCCCCTCTATTCTCCAAGGATTTCTGTGCACCCCACACCTTTCCTGGCTTTGAGCACTGATTAGCATCAGGTGCCCAGGTGACTGCTTATGCTGCCATATGCATATTTTACTGCCAGCAAGTGCATAAAGGCAGGTTATCAAGCTCTTTCATCTTCTGCTCTTTCCCCCCTCCTTTTGCAAGACCTCTGTCCAGCATTTCTTGGTTTCAAACACAATTTCCATAGGGAATTGCAGATCCCAAAACGACCTCAAAGGGCTTAATTTGCCAAAGTTTTTGAATGCAGCTTTTATGATTCAGGCCATAAACTGACATCAATTTGCATCGATTTCAGAAATATACAATATTATCAATAATATTGATCCTTGCATTTGATGTAGCACCTTTCACATCAGAGGGACCTCTCGATGCACTTCACAGGATTTACTGTAAAATGTAGTGCGTGTACTTTGTAAGATAATTACAGCGGCCAATTTGTGCACAGCAATGCCCTGCACAGCCATGAATTCAATAACTAATTTTCTCTGGGGAATTGTTAGCCAAGGCACTGGGAGAAACTCTTCTTTTTGAATAATGCCATGGGATCTTAAAAGTCCATCTGAACAGGCAGATCTTAGTCCATCTTAGCTTAATATCTCATCCGAAGGATTCCATCCCTAGCAATGCAGCCCATTCCTGTCACTGCAATCGAGCGTCAGCCTAGACTGTATCAGTTCAAATTCCCATTGGGCAGTTTGAACCCACATATTTGCTTCTGACTCAAAAGACCAGAGGCAGATTAAAATTACTGACTGTACAAAGACACTTAAATCTGCTGATTGTAAGTTCCGCTGCCACCCCTTGTGAAAAATCAAGAAAAAGGTAATCCTACATTGAATGCTTTAAGATGGATAATAAGCTTCACTTGGTGCATTTGGCCTTCTAGACAGGATCTTTCTATCCTTACCCCTCTGAATCAAATCCTGCAAATGTGCTGGTTGATCCACTGCATTCAGAGCAAACTGAGACGCTGCCCTTCGTGGAGGGCACTATATAAGTGCAAGTTGTTGTAATTACTGCATGGCATTAATTGTCTCTTCATCACAAACCCTTCAGCAGAACGAAGTTTATACAAATGCAGATTAAGATTGGTGAGGCCAACAAGAAAATGCTCACGATTCTTCCCTGTTATAGCAAGATGTAGAAATGTTGTGGTTTGACACATCTAGAATTGACAGTTACAAAAGGGTCTTGCCAAACCAAGTGAATCAGCTGAGTAATGGCTGGTGGGTTTCCAAGTGCATAAATATAATGGATATTTGGGACAATTTTAAATTTAAATTGATGCAAATCATTTTAACACAGTGGTAATATATTTTGAATACTATAGGTGTACCTCATCCCATCTACTCCCATTCGGCAGCCATGCTTTCATGGAAACTATAGAACTTTCTGCCTCAACCCCTCCCCCCCCCCCCCCCCCCACCCCCCACCCCGCACCTTGTCTCCACATTTTCAGATCAAACCTGACGAAATTCCTCTTCAGCTGTGCCTCGGGCTACCTCCACACTCTCCCCGGCTTGGTCTCATGCTCTGCTACTGTTAGGCGCTCCGAGTAACCACCTCGTATGAAGGGCAATATATAAGTGCAAGTTGTTGTTGTGCTTTGTAACCTTCAAGAGATGATGAATGTATTTGGTGGGTGAAGATAATCCCAAGGTTAGAACTCTGTTGTGAAAAGAGATGCAAAAGAACTGAATTTTGCATTAGAGATAAGAAGATTGGGGGGGAGAGAGTGTATGGAGTTTTCCTTCAGTCAAGCAGTAATAACTATATGTGAGTAATTTGCCTTTTTTACAAAGTCGTTGGTTTGAATTTCTCTGGCTCCACCCATCCTCTTCTGCAAGTGCTGGCTCACGTTGTGGTATGATTTTACAGTTGCTGTTTGCCTCTTTTTACCTTGTCCAATCAACCATTCTTCACATATGAGACTAGATAATGCATGTTGGCAGACAATTCTGCCATGGGGAGTGTGGCATCATAGGAGAGCATGTCTTCGCTTGATTTTAGCAATGCTCCCCTCCTGTTTTCCTTCTCATGCGAGTGAAGACTCATTCTGGATGTAGTTCTGTGTATTAACCATCTGTCCTCTGGTGCCTCAAGCAAGAAACCGATCTTTGTGTACAAGCCTAGGCAATAATTGTTGGCATTTTATTTGACCTTGGGCATCACAGCTAATTCTGCCTTTACATGATTTCTACAAGCATACTTTCCAGCATGGGGTCACTGGATAGCGATCAAAAATAAAAACCTACGATTTTTTTCTTTCTGTAGCTTGGGAAACATTATTCAATTATAGTACCCATATTGCTACCCCATTCAAGAACAGCCAACCTAGCAGGGTTAGGTAATATAATAATATAATAACCCTTGCATTTGATATAGCGCCTTATCATGTCTTCAACAAGTCTCAAAGCGCTTCAAAGAATATACTGTAAGGTGAATTGACTGTATATTTTGTGGGCCAATAGCAGCAGCTAAATGCGTGCAACAGTCTCCCACAAACACTCGTGGATTGAAGTGACCAATTTATTAGGTACCAAACCTTAACACCTTTTCAGACGGAAGTTTCACGCTTGCACTCTAGGCCAGGGAGTCACTTTACAGATCGTTGAACACGATTGATTAAAATTTAAGCTTGCAAATCCAGAAATCTTAATCTATTCTCCCTCAAATGCTGCTCTAAATCGTATGTTGCAATGGTATTGCAAACATTTCATTGTATGAATTCTGCCAATGAAATTCAGAGGTTAAACTTGGTATTCGTTTGTGAATTAGTTTCATGGCTCAAGTATAAAACTTTCAGTGGGTTAGCTATTTATTCACTGAAAGAGATTGTGAAATAAAACCTTTCTTTAAAGGACATCAGTGGGGTTTTCATCATCAAATGAATCTTAATGATAGCATATTGAAATGGATTGAATTGAGTGGGTTGTGTAAACATTTACTAGGAACAGTGAACTAGGCTGTGGAATCTGTTTGTGTTGCCTCGATGATGTGAATACCAGATGGGTTGCATTTTCAGCTTTGGTTAAAACATAAGTAACTTTGTGCTATTCCCATTGCCTTTGGATGAACTGCAACATGTATCTGGCTCCAAGCCCTTTGGCATAGTATGTGTGGCAGGATTCCCTCATCATTCATATGTATTCACACATTTGGCTTTATAGAAAACATTGTCTGCAATAAGCAGATGTTGCTCGTGTGTCCTTTTAAGATGTCGAAATTGTTATTTAAACTGTTTTCATGCCACTGCAATGAGCTTTTCACCTTCAGTTTTTTCAGGCAATTTGCTGCTCATACTTTGATGGAAACAATAAAATATATAACTTTATCAATGTGAGAAGATGGCAAAGTGAAATGACTAATTGAAATCCACGTTTATTTAAGTTTATTTAAGAGTTTATACCTTGGAGTGCTTGTTTATGTTGTTTTCCTCTACCCTCTGAGATTTAACCCCAATCTCAGACACATTTGATGTATTTTAATTAAGCCAGTTGAAATCCTGGAGTCGAGACATGCATTTTGAACTTTGATCTTTTGATTCCTTTTTGTTCTTACAGCTGCCGCTGTGAAACTGTTTTGTTTTACAAAACTTTAGGTTTGTGTTGCTTATTTTTAGGCATTTACGACCATATAATTTAACTTATTGAATTAGGGATAAGAATTTTTTTGATGGTGTGCAGTTCCCTAAGTTACTAATAAGATGCTCATTGAGATCTTGATGTCTAACATTAGCCACAGAACCCCGACAAACACCAATTTATCTTGACATTTAACTGGCTGGAAAACAAGCGTTCGGAACGGACTTTCAGCCCATTGGAAAATTATTTTCAAAGACATAAGTCACGGATCCAGATTAGATGATGTTTTACTGGAGGCACAGAAGAAAAGTTTCATGTTGATAGATTAAAAGTATAATAAAGTTAAAAGTTTGTTTTCACGGAAAGATGAAAAAAAAACTTGTCTGAAAACCTTTTTTAATTTGGGAATTTTTAAAATTGTAAATAATATAACATAACGTGTAGGAGCAGGAGTAGGCCGTTCGGCCCTTCGAGCCTGCCCCGCCATTCAGTCATGGCTGATCTTCTAATCTAGTTAATTGATACATTAAATGTTAATGTATTATTTAAATAATAATTTTACTGCTGATGTACCAGTTTATATACGATGTGAGTTATTTCTGTCATAGAGATTTATTCTCATCAGCAGTGTATTCAGCTGAAATGATAATTGACCCCAAGGAGGATTTCTTAGTGGCCTGTGGCTGAAGGCACTTAAATATTTAAACTATCTGGAGTCTGAGCTGCCAATCTTGCCGGGGTTATTGGCTGTGCTACGAAAGGAGAGGCTGGAATTACCCAATATCTGACAAGTTAATCCAAATTTAACATTGGTGCTGCCTGCTGACGTGCCCAGGATCAACCAGACAGACATTTTCAAATGAATATACAAGTTGCTGTTGAATGCAGGAGGCAATTTGGGGGGTAGGAAAGGCAGAAGAAATTTTTTTCAAAGAAATTGAGTTGTGCTTCCAACCTCCATTCTGGTCCATTCATGGATAAAACTGGCTCAGCTTCTGATAGTTGGGATAAGACTGATCCAATTCCTGAGAGTTAGCAGAAGACTGTTCCAGGTGATACTTGGGATAAGACTGATCTGCTTTGTTTCCTTTCACAAACCATTAAATGACTTTTTAAATCTCAACTGGCCTCTGAATATTTTCTCAGCCAGCCCGTTAAGTAGCATTATTTTGTCAGTTTATCAAACTGGTTGTCATTGGTGGATATTGCACTTATTAATTTTCTCTCTTTTTAAAATCTGCATGTCAGCAAACCATATTGTTTATGCCAGTGATTCGCAGCCTCTTTGGGCTCAATTGTATACCTTGATGGCCTGTCGCAACCTATTAAATAGCTTTAGTGCAAAAAACATCAGTTTTTCTAAATATTTCCTACCCATGATATATACTATACACATTAGCATAATAAGTACCAAATGCAACAAATATTAAAATATAGTACTTGAGTATTTGTTGTATCAATCCTAAGTTCCACTTAATGAGGACCCAGCTTGCTTTTCTTTGATGAGTTTATATCAATGGTGAAGGTCGTGCTCAACATCCTAAATATCATGTGCTTACTATTTTTGTAAAAAAAAGCTTCAGTGTTTTATTGCAATTTGAAGAATATTTTCCTGATTGCTGCATCTGATACAGATTAATGTTATTTGTAAGTTCATTCACCATGCATTGATGGTGGATAATTAAAAGGCAGAAGCAGATTAATAAAAGGACTCACAGCTACCCTACAGTCTCGTGCATTCCCGAGGATTTTTATAACTATATTAGTACCAACAGTGGGTTACTGCAACAAATGGTTCCAAATCCATAACCCGATTTTGCAGGTAAATGGAGACGAGCTGGATTTAGTCTTATTTTACAGCACACAATTAAAACACAAATGCAGCCAAAACAAAATTTGTGCAAAGAAAGAACCCTAAATAGGTCCTATCTTTCATCCAAAGACTTTTCTGCCACAAATGCGCATTAGCAGGTTCTCTCCTAGCCTTGAGCCTGCGCTCTCACCTTGTTTCTCTACCCCAGATGCTTGTATGCTCTCACGCGCATCCTGGCACTGGATAAAGCTGGCAACCAGCAAAAGAGCAAAGAAACGGGCAGGTCGGTTTGCAATGTTTCAAAACATTGTGGCGCCCAATTTTGAGTTGTCACCGGTTGAGAAACCCTGGTTTATGCAATGCCGTCCTGTTTACATGAGAGGATGGTTGACACAGCGGATATAGTTGATGCAGCAGATATGGTTGACACAGCAAATATGGTTGCAAATGCACCTGACCAAGAATAACTGAAACTTAAATGAACTCTAAAACTCTGAAGCCCTTCCCTTCTTTTCCTCTTCTATGTACTGCACCATTTCTATATTTGCAGCAAAATGCTTTTACTTGTGATGCACAAAGAATAGGGTGAAATTGTCTCACTGAGCACATCCAATGCAACTGGGATATCTTTTGATCTACCATCCTGTATTCTAAATCCTGAGACCAGTTTCTATTTAAAATAATAATAATGCCACAGCCTTTCATGTCGGGATGATGTCTAAAAGTGCTTTACAGGATTTTACTATAAAAATCTAGTGACTATTTTATAGACGAATGTGGCAAATAACCTCACATCCAGCAGTGAATACCCATTATTATTTGGAGGCTTGTTGGTGAGGATACCAGACGAACCTCCCTTCTCTTTTCGATGAGTGCCTTAAGGTATCTTATGAACAAGCAGTCTTGGTTTAACATTTCAAGTAAGGAAGGCACCTCCGACAATTCAACACATTCCCAGCACTGCATTGGAGTGTTAGTCTAGACTATACAAGTTCAAAGTCCCGACGTGGGGCTTAAACCCACAACCTTTTTGACTCTGAGGCAGGAATGCTGCCAACTGAGCCAGGCTGACGCCAAATTTAGGACTGGTTACTCTTGTTGTATTGTCATAAGGCTAAGTTTATAAATATGCAAACAATAATTTCAGTTCTTATTAAATCAATTTAATATTTCTGAAAGTGTGTATATAGTTTTATCCATATTTTGTGGGCAACATCTGTACAGAAATGTTCTACTGTGCTACATCTTTCTTTAGCTTCAGAGACGTTTGAGGTTGATGTGTCATTTGAATAAACACATTAATTTTATTCCAACCACTAGAAATCATGGAGAAACCCAGTGAAGATGGAATACCTGATCTGGTTCATGTGATGCGGAGTCTCTCTATGGAGAACATCCCTAATCTACCCCCAGGAGGTGGCCTTGCAAGCAAGTGAGTCATGATGATAATGCTATGATAATTGTGTTTTGTGCTGAGGCATTGTGATTGGTATCAGCTGCACCTATTTTGAGCTTTTGAATATGCAGGAACATGTTTTATAGTGTAGGTAATGAACATAGACTTTGAGCTAAAAATACTAACTTAGGACTTTGAACGCCAAACTTTCTGACTCAGAAGTGAGAGTACTAACGATTGAGCCACGCATTTGCCTTTTGATTGGAACCAAGAAAAATATACATTACGTTCGAACACCTTACCCTCTACCACCCCTCTAGGCTCTCCCTCAAAATCCTCCGTGTCCCACCCCTCTCGGCCTTTCCCCTTACTCCTCCGGAACCTTCACCTCCTTCGAACACCTTCCCCTTTACCACCACTCCAGGCTCTCCCTCAAAATCCTCCTTGTCTACCGTCCTCCCAAGCCTTCCCCCACCTTCCTCTCTTCTATCTTCCCTCTCCCTTTGGTCTGAACGCCTCCAAATCCTAAGCGACTTCAACCTCCACTTCACCCCCTCCTGCTCTACCTCTGCCAACTTCTTCTCCCTCCTCTCTTCCCTTAACTTCTCCCTCCTCATCCACTAGCCCACCCACGTCTGTGGCCACCCCCTTGACCTGGTGATCACCCGGGGCCTCACCGTCTCGGACATCACCAGCATCGATAAAGCCATCTTGGACCACCACTTCATCTCCCTCAACACCTCCGTAACCCTTCCCCTTTCTCAACCCTCCACCATCATATATTGTCCGTGGAAAAAAATTTCCTCCTATTCCACTGCCCTGGAGTCATCTGAACTCCTACACCTCTGGCTCTCCCTGACTGATCTCCCCTCATCGCTCTCTTTTCTCCGCAACTCCCTCTCCTCCATTCTGGACTCACTTGCCCCCTTCACCTCCTGAACTGCCTCATACTCCGTAAATCCCCCTGGTACACCAGCCATCTCCATTCCCTCAAGGCACAAGTGCGAGCTGCCGAACGAGCCTGAACCAATTCTAAACTAACAGTCCATCGGCAGATTTGGCGTCACCACATCAAGATCTATTGCTGCGCTCTTGACTCTGCCAAATCTTCCTTCTGCTCCAAGGTTATCTTGGAGGCAAAGGACAATCCCCGGCTTCTCTTTTCCACCACAAACCGTTTCCTCTGTCCACCTTGCCAAGTCTTGCCCATCCTCTCCTCAAACTCCAGCTGTGAGGAGATGCTGGATTTCCTCAAAAACAAAATCGAGGGAATACGTTCAGCCTCCTCTGTCCCGTCCACAGCCACCCCCATATCACCTCTCCCTCATGACCCACCCCCCCACCCATTCCCCCCTATACTCCTTCGACCCTATCTCTCCCTTCTCCCTCTCCGCGATTGTTCACAAACTCAAACCCACCACCTGCTCCCTCGATCCCATCCCCACCTCTCTCCTCATCTCCCAGCTCCACCTTCTGGTCCCTCTCCTGTCCAACATCATCAACTTCTCCTTGTCAACCGGTTCAGTTCCAACCTCCCTAAAAACAGCTGTCATGACCCCCATCCAGAAAAAACCTTCCCTGGATCCATCCCTACTCTCCAGCTACCGCCCCATCTCTAACCTCCCATTCCTCTCCAAGGTCCTGGAACGAGCGTTGCGTCCCAGCTCCATTGTTTTCTCTCTCGCCATTCCCTCTGTTTGAACCCCTCCAATCCAGCTGCTGTGCTGCCCACAGCACGGAAACAGCCCTGGTCAAAGTCACTAATGACATTCTGAACATCTGTGATCAGGGCTCCCTCTGCCTCCTTGTCCTCCACGACCTCTCTGCTGCCTTCGACACTGTCGACCACTCCATCCTCATACACCATCTCTCCTCTTTACTTAATCTTCGTGGACCTGCCTTTGCCTAGTTCGATTCTTATCTCCCTCACCGTCTCCACTTTGTTGCCTCTTAACGGTTTCTCCACCAGCCCCCACACTGTCATGTCTGGTGTCCCCCAGGGCTCTGTCCTTGGGTCACTTCTCTTTAATATCTACATGTTCCCCCTTGGACATCATCCGCAGACATGGAGTCAACTTCCATATGTATGCAGATGACACCCAACCCTATCTTTCTGCCTCCACCCTCAACTCCAGGACCACTGCTGTCCTGACAGACTGCCTGTCGGACATCAAGTCCTGGATGAGGGCAAACTTCCTATAGTTGAGTGTGAACAAGACTGAGGCCCTCCTGATTGGTTCGCGCCAACGCCTCAGCACCTCAGGCTCTGGCAACATCAACCTCCATGGTTGCACACTACAACTCACCAGCAGTCAGGAACCTCGGGGTCATTTTCGACCCTCAACTCTTCTTCCCCACATCCAAGCCATGACCCGCTCTGCCTTCCCTCACCTCCGTAACATCGCCCGACTCCGCCACTACCTCACCCCTCAGGCCACTGAAACTCTTGTTCATACCTTCTTCACCTCCAGGCTCGACTATGCTTGTCGGCCTTCCCTACTCCTCCCTCCAGAACTCTGCAGCCCGTGTCCTCTCCTGCACCAAACTCCGTAACCACATCTCCCCCATTCTTGCCCGACTCCATTGGCTCCCTATCCTTCAGAGGATCAAAATCCTGGTCCTCACCTACAAAGCCCTCAATGGTCTCGCCCCACCTTATCTCTGTGACCTCCTAACCCCCTACCAATCCGCTGAGAAATGTCCTTGTTATGTTGTGCATGATGTAATTGTGTGTTCATGCAGTTTACCGTTGTGATCATGATTTGTTGAAATTGCTTGATTTTTTTGATGAATTTAAGAAAAACTAGCAATCCTTGCATTTTACTTAGCTCCTGATTACATAAAAACATCTCAAGTGCTCATACAGATTACTGTGATGTTAATGGTGCTCAGTGTTGGTGGCTAATCTGAGCCAGAAATTTCCCACAAACAGCACTGAAGTAAATAACTAAATGTAAAGGTTTCCTGGTGAATTGGGCTGATGGAGGAATATTGGCACGAACATCAGGACAACTCCCTGCTCTTCTTTAAAATAGTGCCATCCTGTTTAAATCCACCTGAATCACAAAGGTAGCCAGACAGGACCTCAGATTATGTTATGTGAAAGTGGATACCTCCAACAATGCAGCGAGTCCTTGATTACCTCACTGCAGTGTCAGACCAGATTATGAGCTCAAAACAGACAAGCGTCTTTCTAATCCAAAATGCTAGCAACTGAACTAACCTGATCAACCTTATATTTTACATAATTACCAGAAACCCACTCCAAGATATTACCCAATAGCGAGTTGAAAACAGAGACTCAACAGTACATTATTTATGGAGAAACTTTTTGAGGTAGATATGCGGAACAAAACTGTTAAAGTACACACAGCATGTTTACTTAATCTTGCACATAATACATTTGCAGACTAAGCCGGATTTATTTTGTATTTGAGTATTTAAATCTATTAGCACTCTAGTTAGGTTAGTTAGATTAGTCAGGTTAAATCGTACAAAACCAGCCTATCAGATACTCCAGCCATTTTATTTCCTTAAACGTCTTTGCTTATTAGTATCCTTTGATTGTGGGCAAAAAGAGATGAGTTTTAAACAAAAATTTAAATAGGGAAATAAAAACAAAAATACAGTATTTTCTTTTAGCTGTTGCATTCCAGATACCCTTTAGACTTCTAGAACAATAGCTTTGCTTTCTTTTGCTTAAGCAGTTGATTGTATTACTTGAAATAAACTTGTTTGGCAATGTTTTTTTTAATCCTTTTAGACGCAGTGTGATTGAAGCCGTTTATAATAGACTGAATCCACACAGGGATGATGATGGGGTGAGCTTTATTTTCCTAAGTGTTTATTTTCTTATGTGTTTCCTGTTTCTGTACAAAACATGTTTTAAAATGTATTCTTGGTTATAATGCATATCTTAAACTCATTCGATACTACTTTTTAGTTCCGTTAAGTAACTTACATTTGTACATTTAATTAAGAATTTACTTGTAGTTGAGCACTCATTTGATGATAGTCTCGATTTTTCTACATGCGAAAACTCCAAAGTAACATTCAAAAAACACTTTACAATTTGATGATAGATTTTCCAAAAGACATTTTCAGTGGTACAGTTTGCATCCAGGTGTAGTTTGTAAAGCTGTTTACCTAAATGCACAACTTCATACCTGATATGGATCCTTCACCTACGTACCTACTTGTATACATACTTGATAACTTTGTGCATATCTAATACCCTGCCTGCCTACATACATGATCCTCTACCCACCTATGTTCAATGGAGTTCCATGGAAACACCATCCCATTTTATAACAAGACAATAGCCAGCTTCACTGTGCAGGAGCACCGCTGGCTGGCTTGGTTCCTGCACACTGACTGGTTCTCACACTTAAAAACTTCCAGATCATCAGGTCTCCACCGGCATCACTTCCTGTGTACTCTGCATATGTAAGTTAGCCACAAGGTTCCTGTGCTAAAAGTCAATGGGTTCACCCATCATTCACGTTATAAACAAGTCAGTGCTGCAGCAAAGCAAGTAATAATGGGCTGCACTGTATCTACCTACATACCTACGAATGTACATTACCTACATACCTATCTACATGGATACCTTTTACTCTATATACATAATCTATGTGCACACAAATGCATGTATACATATAGTTACTAATGTACATACACACGCATACATTCAGTAATATATGAATGGAACAAAGTTTACAAAGAGTAAAGGTATATTAAGAGTATGCAAATCAAATTGCTTTAATTGTACTTTAATATTAAAACTATAAGTAAACATGAATATCTTTAGCAACTTTAAAAGTTCCAGGAGGAAAAAAGGAAATGTGTTAAGTTTTTTTTTAAATGAAATTGTGCTGATCAAGGTGAAGGTTGTTTATACTGGAGAATGAATTTTTTTTTCCACGTTTGGCATCCAGTGTCAGCATTAGGAACTCCAGGGCAAGCATAAGACAAGCTGGATGCTGAATAAAGCTCCCTCCATTCTGCCATAAAATCTTAACCCCAGGATCAGACGATTGCTGCCAATTGCATCATTGTGAAATGCGTGTGAGTGAGATTGGTATTTACTGCATTTACCCTATTGTACGGACAATTTTGTTCTGTGGACCAGACCAGCCCCAGAATGAATGGGAATCAGACAAAGTAAACTTATTTCACCGAAGACCTATCTCGACTGCCTTTGAATCCGGATATCAGAAATGAAAGGACAACGATGCAAACCTACTGGACCAGTCAGGCCACTGACTTTTCCATAAGTTTTTTTTGGGGGTGGGGGAAAAAACAGATGCTGCTTTAGAAAGTGAGGATTCAGAATGTTGCAGTTGGAAGTGCTCTTCTGAGATTGGGAATTGGCAGTTTGTCTTGGCTGAGTAGCTTTTTATTCCTACACTCAATGATGCTGTATTTGATTTGGCAATGCCTGATGCTGACACTGGTGCAAAATAACTGAAAAAGTGTGAGAAGATTTACCAAAATATTCAACTTTAAAATAAAGTACTATTTTATTGCTGTTTTTCTTTTGCTGGGATGCTTTTTTTTAAACTTGCTTGTAAATTATTGGAAAACAAACTTTCACTTTGGAAAAGCCACAGTAAACTTTTCATATGCTAATAGTACTGTTTCAGATGTCTAGAAAATTAAACCTAATTACTAATATGTAAACCAAATTGTGGAGCTGTATGTTGCATCTTACCTGTAACCTGTAACAGATAACTTTCACTCTTAATTTATTGACTGTGGGTGAGAAATTACTCTTGTCACAAACTCCAGTGGCATACATGAAAAAAGTTCACTTTGTCAAGCTTATGACACGTAGTGACAAAAGAAATTTCAACCCCTAAATTTTGACACCGACTTGTGCAATGAAAACAGTTCTCAGAAATGGATCTAAATAGATAGACAATTAAAACCCCTGTATATTTATTATGAGAACTAAAATAACACTTAATAATTAAAACATCTCTCAAAGTTGAGATGGGATTCATTATATCTAAAGACTCCCTTTATAGAAAAATTGTAAAGTGTCATTGCTTCCTTTGGCATTGCTGGTGTCTGGTTATGTATTAGAAAGTCTTGCAGTACCAATGTAGCACGGGAACAAATGCTTTCCTTAAAGTTGACTGATGCACTTTTCCTGAAGTCTGGTCTTATTATTCAATAGAAATTAAGGAATCATTTTTATTCAGTGAAGCACACAATTACTCTTATTAAAATTTATAAACTTTTGTAAAATAAGCTCATTTAAACGTTATTAAAAAAGTTTTAGATGAACCAGTCTTGATGATACTATTCATCTTCTATAGTGCTATATTCATTTGCTATAATGCTAAATGAGGATCTTTTCCCGTTTCCTTTTTTAATTAAATAAATCTTAACAGTCACAAGGCATGTGGATTTGTGTCAGTTCATGAATCAATCTTGATGAGAAGAGATTCCTGAATTTAGACTCTCCTACTATTGCTAATATAAAATAAATAAGGTTTCTAGAACACATCATGACATAGGAAACCAAATGTGTGCAATTCTGTTTATTTGTATGAATGAAATAGGGCCAAACAATTATCCACCTAACTAATTGCAAAAGTAAGATTTCTCAGGGTTTCAGGCCTATTGATAACTATGTCCTATATGAAGAGGGTGTGTCTTGGGAAATCTATTTAAAATAGCAATTTTAAAAAGTAAAATCCTATTTTTCTTTATTTCCTTGGATAGTTATCTAAAGATTCACTACATAATTGTAAGAAAACATGTAGTTTAAAGTAGTTGTATCTTGAAAGGGTTATGGCTGAGAAAAGCTTCTGAAATAATTTTTGATCTGCTTTTTTTAGTTGGAATACTTGTAAGATTATTGCATACTGGTCACAGATTTTTGATGAAAAGATGTAACACGGTAAATATATCTTAAAATGCTCCAATCAAATCATTTCATAAATGAATGAACACGCAATCATTCTAATTGTATTGCATAAGTACACAGCTTTTTAAGGTTGGTTATGGCCTTTGCAAAATATAGAGATTAAAGAGGATACTGCACTGCAGGATTTTAAAACGAATTCCTACTTATTATTCTGCAAGAGTTCCTAATATTAATTAGTTTGCAGCTAGCCCTTTTTTGTTGCACAGGTGGTAACTGGTAGCCACAAAGGGAGTCGCAAATACGGTTTTGATGCAAATTACTAGCGGTAAGAGCTCCTTTGTAGAATTAGATTTCAAATGTTATGTAATAGTCCAAGAGATTATGCTAGGCTGTCTACTCACACTGGGGTATTGAATCTTGAAAAGGACCCTACTGGAGCAGATGAAGGGGGAGCAAGACAGAGCACATTGCTCGACACCCTCAGGCAGTTGAGAATTAATCATAGGGGGAACTACCGCCACCTACTGGAGGAGATGCTGGCTAATTACAGGCTAGCTCAGATCCGGGGGGAAGGATGTACCACCGAGACAGCTGCTTCTACTGCAGTTATGCCTGCTGGAGAATCAGAGACCAGGTTGCAGGCTGATGATGAGACGAGGTTGCAGGCTGATGATGAGACCAGGTTGCAGGCTGATGATGAGACTCGTCGTGAGGATATAAACTGACCCTATGAAGATGTAGTAACAGATGAGAAACACCTTAAAAGTTTATGATTGTAGCATTGTTTATCAACTGTTATAATTTATTACATTGCATGAGTCTGTGACCTTTATTGCATGTTAAAACATATTTGTGCTTGTGATCTAGATTTTTTGTTGTCATGTCACCTTAGCAGCTGAACTAGTTGCCAGTTAACTTCCGAGACCTGCTTGTAGTTGAGCACATGCTTTTTCCTTTTGTTGTAAAATGTAAACATACTAAATGCATGATTCAGAACCAATGCTCTTGACATTTTATAAATCTCCCATGTTTTAGAGTAAATGTCAGATATTTGTGAACAATGCCTCTGGGGATGTGTTTGCTTCTTGCAGTATGCAGTCACAGTGGGGATTTGTCCATTATTAATGTGTAATTAAAGCTTTATAGTATGTTTGGACTACTGTTTAACTTACTCGTTACAAGTTAATATGGATATACTTTGTACATCTAAATAAATGTGAAAAACGTGAAACCAGTTGGTTGTGTTTTACGTTTAGTAAATTATTTGTTTGGAAGATGCATTCATTGTGTTTGCATTTTAAAGGGAAAACGCTACAGAAAATTATTTGTTTACTTCAATGAATCAGCCTTTCTTTAAAATAATTAAATGCAACATCTTACATATGCTTATAATGCTTTGCGCGACCTTAGTCCATACCCATAGTCTCCACGTCATTGCTTGCTGATGTAAATTAGCACCTTCATAGAAAAATGCCTGGAATACTTGCACGGCTGCATCATCTGTCAGTGCTGCACTATTCACCTGAACCATTGTAGGAGTTACTGCAGGCAGTGAACGATGTAGTTGATCTGATTAAAGACCTTCAAATGATTATAGATCTGAACATCTATTGCATTGTGTTTAACTGACAAATGTTACTTGGAATTCTGTCTTGAAAACGTGTTAAAAGACACACGTGCGGTCTTGAAGATTGAGTGAGAATACTGAGTGCTCAAGCAATATAGCTTATGATAAAGTACATCCGGCGCCCATTGAGTCACTTACGTTTGAAATGTATTTACTTTTGGGTGTACAGTAATATTAGTGTTAGAGACCCCCAGTTATATTTGCAAGTGTGACGGTGGGAGAGGGATGAAATGGGAATGGCCAAGTGGTTTTGATACCAGGTGGATTTATGTGCTGCATAGACTTTTTATTCTGGAGAGAGGAGTGTTGCTGCACATGTCTATATTCATCAATGATCTGGCATGCGTTTGTGGCACTTGTGCACGTATGCAAAGAGCTTTTGCAAAACACTTTCTCATGACACTAATTAATATTTTTCACGAACTGCCTACAGGCTAAACTCCAATGGTGCTTGTGTGTATAAAAATATAATTCTGAAATACTGCCAAGGGAACATGATATATATATGTCTAACAGTACACTGTGATGTCAGTGAACCTACAGTAAACAAGCTTGAAACAGTTAAAACTACATGGGTTTATGTTAACCGTAATCAATTTACTGAAAATATAATGGTTACTGTGATTTTTATTGAGCGAGACAGAATGGAGCGTAAATTAACACTCAGCAGCTTTCTGTATCTAATATCTTGGGTTACATTATAATATCCATCATAATCAAAAGTGCTGCTTGCTCGTAAACATCTGTGTTGTGTCAGCTTATGTACCATTTGAGAGTTTCTCTTGCCTCTTTTAGACGCATTTCCCTCTTTCGGATAGATTTCATATTTTTTTCGTGTGTGCATTATATCCACATTGCAGAACGAGCAATGTGATTTATGAAGAATGATAGCTATCACTATCATAGTTCTAACCTGGGACTTTTTATATTAAAAAAAAGTAATTATAAATGTTTTTGAGTATGTTTTTAACTTGTTCATCCATTCCAAAATGTGTATTTAAGAACATACTTCGGGACGAGCAGAAATGTCTACGTAATGCTAAGGGTGACTGCATTTGAAAATTTACAAATTATTTGTAATTTACAATTTTTGCAATGTTCTTTCTATATACCTTGAATTGCCTTTGGAACGTGTCCACGGAGAGGCTGTTTGCTTTGGGTTTTCTTGTGTCCCATCGAGTGTCTCTCAGGTTAGGTACTCACTCGTGCGAATCTGTGTACGGACCGTTCGGAACCCCTGTAGTTTACTAAAGTAAGACTGTCGCTGTAGTTGTGTTTTTATATCGGTCAAACTCCTGTTCCCGACTGTCTGCTTTTCCCTACAATGAAATGTTCAAAAGGTGAGACATTTTTCAAAAGTTCTGTTCACGTGGTGTGGAATGCAAGTGTAATAGTATCGTTTTGTTTCTCACAGGGTTCCGCAGAACTTGAAGACCCCTGGTAGTTAAATAGGCTAGAATCGCTAAGAATGTCCTGGTTTGAAATATGGAAGAAACCTTCGTTCACACAACTTTTATTTACTACAAGGGAAATTAAAATCCAAAGGATCTTCTTTTAAAGGCATTTTTTTTTTGTTTTTGTTCAGAAGGGCAGGAGGAATTGTTAGAAATATACACCATTTGTTTTTTTTTTAATATTCTAATATTGCCACTCTCAAGCATCTTCTTGTAACAGTATTTTGTTGACTGCCTCAGGTGTGCTGATTACATTTGTACCCAACTTTTGCCTGACGGCATGGTAACGTGTTAGCAGATGTAATAAAGTACTTGAGGTGCATGGATTTTTTCATTTGGAAGATGCACTAAGTACTATTAATTTAAACCTAACTCACCAGACATGAGCATGTACAAATTGCTGTATAAGGCATTACTTGATTGCAAGGTTCAAGGATGAGAGCTTCTGCACCTATCTCAGGCCCAGAGGGAACATGCAGTAAGCAGAATGCTGTAGAAATTTTATTTTGTGTAATACTTCACTTCAATTTCTGCTGTACTACCAAATACTTGGTTTCTCTGCTGTGTCAGAAATGCAGTATATGTTACCTACTGCTTGCTTGAAGATAACATTGCATTTGGCAATAAATATAGCAGATGTATGGTATTCCTTTATGATTTTAAAGCATGTGTAGATCTTAAGCTTTTGCTAAGCAGAACCTTTGGATAAATTGAATAGATTAATTTATGCGTGTATGTCAATTCATTTGCTTCAGACAACCCACTCATTATTGCAGAAGTTGAAAATATCGCTATAAAATTTGCCTTTCTCACTTATGATATTGTAAATTGTGATTTTTGTTCTACATGTGGTTTTCTATTATAGTATTATCATTGATTTGTTTCAGCAGAAAGAGACAGCCTTATGTAAACTGGGGTATAGTTTTGCAAAAGAATTGTTTGCATTTACAAAACTAGAGATCACATAGATTTATAAAAGCAATTTAAAAATATTCTATTCTGAATTTGAGCTTGATGAAAGATGCTTCTTAAATTTTGTTTTGTGATCTTTCTTTCATTCATTGTGGAATGGGCATGGTACAGAGTGGCTGTCATTTAAGGTACTTGAAGATTTTAGTTTGACTTATATTTCTGCAATAATATAATTTTACTAAGTAAGTTTGAGTTATGCATGTATTAAAGTCCAGTTTAAGGTGATGTTTGAGGGGAAGGGGAATCTGAGCAGCATTGAAGGCAGTAAGAGCAATGAATGTATCCATCTGTACACAAAAAAGCGCTGTGAATGCCTTGTACGATTTAAATAATGCAGCTAATACTTTTCCCTTCCTGTCATATTCAGTAGTCTGTTAATGGTGTGTTGTAGAGGATGTGCATTGCCCTTGTACGTGGTTGAAACATACTAATGAGTGATGCTGATTGGACTTATATAAAATGGAATCGTTGCATTTCTCTAACTTTTATTTTTTTTCCCTCATTAAGTCCTTATGCTGGAAAGCTGCCTATTACCATACATCCTTGAGCACTGGTGCCTACAACCAGCTTCCCCAATCGTTTTGGTTCATTGTGTAGGTATGATTCTTTGCCTAGAGAGTATGATTTTTGCCACAGTGTTTTTATTTATTCACTAGATTTTAGCCAAGTCAATGAAAATTGTCCTGAAGAATATGATCTGACCAGGTGTTTGACCCTTTGTTGAGATTATAGGGTTGTTTTAGGATAGGGGGTGAAGAGTGCACATGTGGTTTCTTAGTGTCCACAAACTGTCCACTCTGGCCCTTCCCTGTACTGACTGACTATAGTATGTTCCCTGTATGATATTTGTGATGTTTCATACAATACAGTGATCATAACCACCTTGTTATCTTCAATAAAGGATTGCTAAATGCATTGTGGCTTTTGTATTTACAGTTTGTATTATGTATATACTGCTCGAGAGAATAAACCCCATCTATGTTTTGTATTCTTATCAGTCGTATTTACAATAGAAAAAAAAGCTAGTTCCTGTAATACTTTAAGGCTTTTTTTGCATTATGTGACTAGTTTTTATGTGACTACTATGGGTTTTAAAAATTATACATTTTAAAATGGAACATTCAAATTCACACTGCACATTTTGGCTTCTGTTAGGTAACCGGACTCTGAATGTATCTGAGGTATTCCATACTGCAAAAAAGTTTGGTTTAAAATGGTGGAATGATTTTTTTCATAATGCTATCCATTCTGAGATGAAAATTCAGTAATTTTGTCTCACATGTAATTTTTTTTAACTTCTTGTTCGATTTAGTACTCTGCAATAATGTAATTGGTAATGTATTTATAAATGTTTTCAAAACTGTATGTGAACATATTAGCTCATCTTGCAATCAAAAAATTTCTCCTTAGAATCAAGGATTCAGTTGGCCATTCAGATCATCTGTGTACTGAGTATGTAATTGCCTTTGTGCTTGTAGACATGGAACACTTCTTAATGTTTATGGGTACTCCGTTCATTTCAAAATCTATCTTCTGTTCAACCTTTCCTAAAACTATGTATGTTCTAGAGTACACATACCTTAGGGCAAAGATTGAAGCGATAAGTAAACTGTCATCAATGTGACCAATAAAAAGAGTGCAAGTCTTGAAGTTCTTACAGATCTTCCATATGCTTTATTTTTTTAAATCAACAGGTAGAAGATGAGTCTGTTTGTTGCTTAGTGTTCTGTTACTTCAATCTCAAGGTAGGGTTTATCTGTAATTGTACCCGAAATCTATATTATGCCGAATGAGGTCCTGCTGTTGAAAACTCTTCGCCAGCATGTTGACCAATAGTATGGTGGATTAGCCCATTAAACAATCTGACAGAAAGTCTTCAAATACTGTATTTCAGTTACAATAATGACAGTAAGCAACAGTTTAATTTATTTTGTACTTGATTGCCATTGCAGATTAAATTGCCCGTTGAGGTTAAAGGTTTTCTCTCCATTGTTATTGTACATGTGCTAGCTCTCTCTATCTTGTGGCTGAGCATGTTGACAACAGAAATCTTCCTGTGCAGTTGAAGTAAACATGCATGAATACGATGCTTTTATTTAGGTTTTTCATACTTTCAATTTCTTCAATGGTAGCAATTTGCAATTGTGGGAATCAACATTTTTACTGGTAATTCAAGAATTGTATATGTCCAAATGAATGGGATGTCCTCCCGATGTGAAAGGCGCTATATAAATACAATTTGCTGCTGTTGTATACAGGGCAACCCTGTTATAATCCGGTCATGGGTCCAATATTAGGCTCGGAAATCAAGTTGGAGAGAAAAAATGTCCGATTTCCTGGTTCAGTTGCTGCTGATGTTACTTGCTGCACACAAAAGCATTCTGTGCACAGGAATTGCTGCAAATGTCACCATGCTTGCTGCACGTTAACTGCACTTCCGGTGCATAGTGCATTTCAAGAACTTGGAAGAAATTACATATATAGTGACCAGGGGATGTTTTACGTCAGGAAACTGACTAGTTGGCACTGGAAGCCTTTGCATGGATGTGCCCTATGCATAGGACGTGATGTTAACATACTGTGGTTTTGGCCCACGGCAGAGGTGAAGTGACACTCATTGGGAGGATGTTACAATACGGTTGCTTTGTATACTGCAATAGACTGATCTATTCCTTGGTTTGATAGCCTGAATTCTCCAGGCAAATGAAAAACTGGTTGGATTATACGTAAGTGGTTTTCCCTGATCCTTTGCATTGTCTCATTTTCTCTTAGCAGTCTGATTCTTCCTCTTTCTTTGTTAAGTCTGGCTGGACTTTTAACCTAATGGTAGCATTATTATTATTATTATAAACCGAGTCTGTGCACCATATAAGTCCTGTAGCTCAGTGGTTAGAGCACTTGCCTTGCAGGCGAGACACCTGGGTTCAATTCCAGGCAGGGCGAAACCTTGGGTAAGTTTCCTTATTCCACACGCCTAATAATAATCCCTCCAAAAAAAAGATAAATAATAAATTGGTCATTATTTGTGGGACACTGCTGTGCGCAATTGGCTGCCGTGTTTCGCCCACAAATATACAGTCAATTCACTTTACAGCATATTCTGTGAAGCGCTTTGAGATGTCGAGAAGATGCGAAAAAGCGCTGTATCAAGTGCAAGGATTATTATGAGAGATGGGGAAAAAAAATTACTGACAGAACAAGATACTGCTTGAGGTGACATTGGCGAGAGTTTGTCAGTAATAATGATAATCATCCTTGCATTTGATATAGTGCCTTATATCATCGATATGTCTCCCAAGAGCTTCAGAGGATATACTGTAAAGTCGATTGATGGTGTATTTTGTGGGCGAAACGCAGCAGTCAGTTTGCACAGCATTGTCCCACAAACAGCTAAGAAATGAATGACTAATTTTATTTGGAGAATTGTTAGCTGGGACACCGGGAGAAACTCCCTTCTCTTTTTGAATAGTGCCATGGGTTTTTTAATTTCCACTTAAATAGGCAGGTGGACCTCATCTCATCTGAGGGATGGATGAATAATTAAAAACTGGTTTTGGGACTAAAGGTAATGGGGAAGGGGAATGAAGCCACTCAAATTCTGGAGCAAAATGAGGATTTAGGAAAATAGTCTGGCAAACAGAATAAATATATATTTAATGGTAAACAAGTGTTTACACCATGACTGGATTAGACAGTCGACTTAAATCATGGGTATGTTGAGGTCTAGTGTGGCCTATACCAGAAGTGCAAGGGAAGAAATGATGCAAGAAATATGTTACAATGTAAATTAATTTTTTTTAAAAAATCTTGAATGAAATGCAGAAGATCTTTTCACGTCCTCTGTGCCCTTATTTAGACAAATGATTTGGACTCAGTTATAGGAGATATGGTGTCCAACTTCACAGATAAAACCAAACTGGAGTGCGTTAAATGATGAAGAGAATTGCATAAAGATGCAGGAAGACATAGATAGGTTTGCAGCATGCGTAGACAAGTGACGGATAAAAATTTAAAAAAAACATAAATATAAAGTGATTCACTTTGGTAAGAATAATTAAAAAAAACTGACTATATTATGTAATGGAAAAAAACCTAGAGGAACTATAGAGGAAAAGGGAACTAAGGATTCAGATTCCCAGGACTCTTAAAAGTAGTAGCACAGATGGAGATTACCATGAGGACTGCAAATAGATTCCTTAGCTATAGATCCAGAGGAATAGAGAACAAAGGTAGGGAAGTAATGTTAAATTTATATAAAAGCTTGCGTAGATTTTGTTTTGGAGTCCAGTGTGCAAGTCTGGTTGCCATATAGAAAGAATATCGGAGAGAGTACAGTACTGATATACGAGGATGTTGCCAGGGATGAAAGGCTGGAGCTTTTATTCAGAGGCAAAATGTTTGAGAGGGGACATGACAGGTTTAAGATTAGCAAAAGATTCAACAGGGTGAATGTTGATGGGCTGTTTCCAGCATAAAAGTAAGAGCAGAGCTAAAAGGGAGTTTTAAGGGGAACTTTATGCAAGGGGTGATGAGAATGTGGTTGAAGCAAAAAGTATCAATGTATTTAAGAGTAAATTTGATGCATAAAGGAGGTAGAACGGAATAAAGGAGTATTGGAGGAGGAGGGAATATGGGGGATGAGCGCACGTGTGGAATAATAATATAATCCTTGCATTTGATATAGCACCTTATCACGTCTTCGAGGAGTCTCAAAGTGCTTCACAGAATATAGTGTAAAGTGAATTGACTATTTTGTGAGCAAAGCAGACAGTCAATTCACTGGAATATAAAGTTGGCATGGATTAATTGTGACTATTATGCAACTTAATTCCTTTTTAAATCACTACTTTAAAAGTATGATTTTGTCAATATTGCCAACTGGTTATTTTTTAGAGTGAGATGTACTGAAATACGTTCTCAGGCAAAGTCCTGTAGGGAACATGCTTGCGAGAGGAGAGTGATGAAATTGAAGGGAAGTACTTACCAGGCTGCTCTAGCATCTGAATTAGCAGTCACTTCTGATGTATCTATAAGAACTTGGGAGCCCAGTCAGTGTGTCGTTCAGGAAAATACAAAGCAAAAGAGGAAGAAAAGCAGATATTTTTAAATCCAGTTTGATAAATTGATAATGTTTGTAAAATTGAATTGAGGGAAAAGCTCTCGCCTTTCATCCCTGGCAACATTCTTGCAACGTCGCCCGTCTCCGACACTGTCTCACACCGTAGGCCGCGCGAAACCCTCATACACGCCTTCATTACATCAAAGCGCGACTGCAAACTAACTGCTTGATGACCTCCCCAACTCCTCCCTCCGCAGGCTGCAGATCATCCACGACTCTGCGGCCCGTGTTCCCTCCCGCACCGGGCTCCGTGATGACCCTATCAGCCCCATCCTCGCCCGACTCCACCGGCTTCCCATCACACAGAGGACACAGTTCAAGATCCTGGTCCTCACCTTCAAAGCCCTCCATGGCCTCGCTCCCCCCGACCTCTCCGACCTCCTAACCTCCTTACCACCCTGTTCGTTCCCTCCGCTCAGTGGGCTCCAGCCTGCTTCACATCCCCCGCCTCGCTCGCCCCACCATCGGCGGGTGGGCCTTACCCCACTCTGTGCTCACTCTCTGGAACTCCATCCCGCAGTCCCTCCGTCTTGCCCCCCCCCCTCCCTCGCCACCTTCAAGACCCTCCTCTTCGACTGTGCTTTCGATCTCCCTGCTTCCCCACCAGCCCTCCCCCACCCCGACCCTCAGCTCGGGTCCATAACTCTGTCCAGCGCCTTGGGACGTACTCCTGACGTGAAAGATGTTATACAAATGTAATTTTGTTATTGTAGTCCAACATAGATGCTGAAACTTGGTAAAGATGCATTTGATCCTTCAGTTATTAAGGATCATATATGGATAAAGAAAGCTAAAGAAAACTATTTGCCATTGGTGTCCCCTAAAAATAAATGGAGACTGTCCCATGCAATATTCCTGCACTTGCTGAGCAGATGTGGAGTCCTGTAGCTCAGTGGTTAGAGCCTAATAATAATAACTCCAAAACCAAAAACAATAATAACAATTGGTCATTTTCAATCTACGACTGTGCGCAATTGGCTGCCGCGTTCGCCCACAAATATACAGTTAATTCACTTTACAGTGTGTTCTGTGAAGCGCTTTGGGACGTCCTCCCGACGTGAAAAGCGCTGTATCAAATGCAAGGATTATTATTATTATTTTTATCCTAATTGTTCTTTGGAATTTCTGAGGATCCACGCCATGCTTTCTGAATGACTTGATTTAGTGAAGGCTTTTACTTCCTAACCAGTTCTTCACATCCTGAATATCAGCCTAAACGAGTCCTGCTATTCCTTATAATTTTACCCAGAAAATCCAGGTACTTCATCTCAGATCTGCTATTTCATGCCTCCGCTCTCATTGCGTGACATGAGAACTCCTTGCTTATTCGCTTTTACGTTGCCAATCAACCAATCTTAAGAAGAAATGCTCCAGAAAATCAAAATATAAATTACGATTTACACGTAGGGTTTGTACATTATCAGTGTCAAAATAAGTCTTGTAATTCCTTAATAAAAAAAAAGTTGTTCAATGTTTGTGTCTCGACTTTTTTAAAACAGTGCCAGTCTTTCACAGTAATACTTGCATTTTACATATAATAATACTTGCATTCGATATAGCATCTTATCGCATCTTCGAGGTATCTCAAAACGCTTCGTAGAACATACTGCGTCGGGGGGTTATGAAGCAGACTGGAGTTGGGTGAGTGAAGGAATAGGGTTTTGGGGATATCCGAGAGAGAAAAGATAACAATTCTTGCATTTGAAATTGTGCCTTTTTTCGCGTCGTCGAGACGTCTCGAAAGCGTTTCGCAGAATGTGCTGCAAAGCGAATTGACTCGTTCTACGGTGTGGGCGAAACGCGGCAGCCGACTGCGCACAGCGACGTCCGCACACAAGACAGTCGTGGATCGCAGTGACCGACCGGTTGGTTGTTTTTTTTTAAGGATTACCCCGGAAAAGTGATCCGCCTGTCGACTTAACAACAATAATAATAATAATCCTTGCATTTGATATAGCGCTTTTCACGTCGGGAGGACGTCCCAAAGCGCTTCACAGAAAACACTGTAAAGTGAATTGACTGTATATTTGTGGGCGAACGCGGCAGCCAATGGCGCACAGCAATGTCCCACAAACAGTCGTGGATTGAAAGTGACCAATTTATTATTGTTTTAGTTTTGGAGGGATTATTATTAGGCTCTGCGTGGAGTAAGGAAACTTGCCCGAGGTTTCGCCCTGTGCCGGGAATCGAACCCGGGTCTCTCGCTCGCAAAGCGAGTGCTGTAACCGCTGAGCCACGGGACTCCGCAACCGAGTTCCTACTTACTGCTCGGCGAACAGGAGCGTGTGGAGTGGGGAAACCCGACCCCGGGATGTTTCGCCCCCCGACCGGGAATAGACCCCAGTTCTCGTGCTCGCGAGGCAGACGCTCCCAACCATTGAGCCGCGGGGACTCCACGGTCGAGCGCTCTGGGCCGTCCACCCTCCCCCCCCCCCCCCTCCCCCCCCGTGAGGAGCGCTGTGTAAATACAAGTTGTTGTTTTAATTTAAATGTGCAGTCCCGCAGCTTGCGATGAGTGTGGAGTGACTGACTGTGTGTGTAGTGACCGTGACTGTGTGTGTAGTGACTGTGACTGTGTGTGTAGTGACCGTGACTGTGTGTGTAGTGACCGTGACTGTGTGTGTAGTGACTGTGAGTGTGTGTGTAGTGACCGTGTGTAGTGACTGTGAGTGTGTGTAGTGACCGTGACTGTGTGTAGTGACTGTGACTCTGTGTGTAGTGACCGTGAGTGTGTGTGTAGTGACCGTGAGTGTGTGTGTAGTGACTGTGAGTGTGTGTGTAGTGACTGTGTGTGTGTATGTAGTGACTGTGTGTGTAGTGACTATGACTGTGTGTGTAGTGACTGTGTGTGTAGTGACTGTGACTGTGTGTGTAGTGACTGTGAGTGTGTGTGTAGTGACCGTGACTGTGTGTGTGTAGTGACCGTGAGTGTGTGTGTAGTGACCGTGAGTGTGTGTGTAGTGACCGTGAGTGTGTGTGTAGTGACCGTGAGTGTGTGTGTAGTGACTGTGACTGTGTTTGTAGTGACTGTGAGTGTGTGTGTAGTGACTGTGAGTGTGTGTGTAGTGACTGTGAGTGTGTGTGCTGTGGGGGCGGGGCTCTGGGCTTGAGGCGTCTTTGAATGTCTGGTCTCGCGCTGTGCCAACGGTCAGTGGGGGTCAGTTGGTGTGCGCGCGCACACCTGTGGCTCGAGCAGGTCGGGGGCGGGGACGATGGAGGAGGAGACGGTGGGACGGAGGGCGATGGCCGGTCAGAGAGTGGGGGGGGAGACGGTGGAGGGGCAGAGAGTGGAAGGGGAGACGGTGGAGGGGCAGAGAGTGGAAGGGGAGACGGTGGAGGGGCAGAGAGTGGAGGGGGAGACGGTGGAGGGGCAGAGAGTGGGGGGAGAGACGGTGGAGGGGCAGAGAGTGGAAGGGGAGACGGTGGAGGGGCAGAGAGTGGGGGGAGAGACGGTGGAGGGACAGAGAGTGGAGGGGCAGAGAGTGGAAGGGGAGAAGGTGGAGGGAAAGTTGATGAAGAAACTGATAGGGAAGAGAAAGTCGGTGGAGGGAAAGACGATGGAGGGGCAGAGAGTGGAAGGGGAGATGGAGGGGCAGAGAGTGGGGGGTGAAACGGTGGAGGGTCAGAGAGTGGAGGGGCAGAGAGTGGGGGTGAGACGGTGGAGGTCAGAGAGTGGAGGGGCAGAGAGTGGGGGTGAGACGGTGGAGGGGCAGAGAGTGGAGGGTCAGAGAGTGGGGGGTGAAACGGTGGAGGGTCAGAGAGTGGAGGGGCAGAGAGTGGGGGGTGAGACGGTGGAGGGGCAGAGAGTGGAGGGTCAGAGAGTGGGGGTGAGACGGTGGAGGGGCAGAGAGTGGGGGGTGAGACGGTGGAGGGGCAGAGAGTGGAGGGGCAGAGAGTGGGGGGTGAGACGGTGGAGGGGCAGAGAGTGGAGGGTCAGAGAGTGGGGGGTGAGACGGTGGAGGGGCAGAGAGTGGGGGGTGAGACGGTGGAGGGGCAGAGAGTGGAAGGGGAGAAGGTAGAGGGAAAGTTGATGAAGAAATTGATAGGGAAGAGAAAGTCGGTGGAGGGAAAGACGATGGAGGGGCAGAGAGTGGAAGGGGAGACGGTGGAGGGAAAGACGATGGAGGGGCAGAGAGTGGAAGGGGAGAAGGTGGAGGGAAAGTTGATGAAGAAACTGATAGGGAAGAGAAAGTCGGTGGAGGGAAAGCCGGTGGAGGGGCAGAGAGTGGGACGACAGAAGGCAAAGAGAAAGTGGATGAAGAGACTGATGGGGAAGAGAAAGTCGGCAAAGGAGAAGGCGATGGAGGGGCAGAGAGTGGGAGGAGAGACGGTAGAGGGGCAGAGAGTGGAAGGGGAGACGGTAGAGGGGCAGAGAGTGGAAGGGGAGACGGTAGAGGGAAAGCCGGTGGAGGGGCAGAGAGTGGGACGACAGAAGGCAAAGAGAAAGTGGATGAAGAGACTGATCGGGAAGAGAAAGTCGGCAAAGGAGAAGGCGATGGAGCGGCAGAGAGTGGGAGGAGAGACGGTAGAGGGAAAGACGATGGAGGGGCAGAGAGTGGAGGGACAGAAGGCAAAGGGAAAGACGGTGAGGAGTCAGAGAGAGGAGGGGGGGAAGGCAGAAGGGGAGACGACGGGCGGAGAGTCGGTCAAGGGGAGGACGAAGGGGGGGGAGAGAAAAACCGGCGACGCCGCGTCCCCGGAGACCAAACCCGAGACGGAGGCGGAATCCTTGGAGGCGAAGGCCAAGCCCGAGGACCGGTGGCACTCGGCCCAGAGCCTCAACGCCTCGTTGGGCTCCACCCTGTCGCGGGTGGAGTTGATGGTGGCGAGCGGCAGCGACTGGGTGTGGGCCCGGCGGCTCATGGCCTCGCTCTTCTGGCTCAGTTGGATATCGCTGGTGTCGGGCGCTCTGCTGGTGATCGTCCGCAGCCCCGAATGCAACCCCCCGCCCAGGCTCCACTGGTGGTACGACGGGCCCATGTATCAGATCACTCCCCGCTCCTTCCAGGACTCAGACGGCGATGGAAACGGTGACCTCTCCGGTAATATTTTTTTAAATTTAATTTTAGAAAAAAAAATCTTAGTTTCCCATAACGTCCCCCGTCCCCCTCGTAATTCAAGTGGACGCAAAAAGTGTCGGTCGCTCTTCACTGCCAACCCACCCCCCCCCCCCCCCACCTTGGGGTTGTTTTAGATCACCTGGAATTGTTGCTATCATAGCCAATAGTCACGATCAGTAATAATAGTACTAACGACCCAAGCATTCGGAGATGTTGACCCAACATTGCACGGCAAATTGTGAACTTTGCGGAAAAATTGCGGGTGGGGTTGGGGTTGGGGGGGGGTGGGGGGGTGATGGTTGGTGCGATCGAGGTACATTTGACCGCTCACTTACATTTTTTTTTCACTTTGCTGCGAAAAAACTAAACATGACACATGTTAAGGTTGTTGCACAAACACAAGTTAATTGCTTCTTCAACACAAACTGGGTGGGTTGGTTTTTTTTTAGGAAATGGGTGGTTGGGGGTGTGCGCACCAGCGAGGCCACGGGAGCTCTCGGGGTCCAGCACCGCACAGACACACAGAGTAAAGGGAGACACAGACATCACAAACAGACACACACACAGACACACAGACACTCGCAAGTTTATATAGAGACACACACACAGTCATACACACTCTCACACAAACACAGACAGACACACACAATCATACACACTCTCACACAGACACACAAACACAGACAGACACACACAGACAGACACACACAATCATACACACTCTCACACAAACACACACAGACACACACAATCATACACACTCTCACACAGACACACACACACACACAATCATACACACTCTCACACAAACACAGACACACTCTCACACAGAAACACAGACAGACACACACAATCATTACACACTCTCACACAAACACACACAATCATACACACTCTCTCACACACACACACACACACAGACAGACACACACAGATAATCATACACACTCGCACACACACACAGACAGACAATCATACACACTCTCACACACAGACAAATCACACCAACGGACCTCCGAGTGAAGCCCATTTGCCGCTTGCGCCGCACCCCGCATGCGCGCCCAGAACCCCGCCTACAGTGACGTCAGGTAAACAGCCGGGTGGGCCTCAGGGCGGGTTAGTAGCGGATGGGGCTATTTGTGGCGGATTCCGCGGGAGGAATACTGTCGCAATTTTCTATTGGCCCAACTTATCGCTGATGTCTGGAAGGTCTTTGATAAGATTTACTGTGAACTGTACTGCCCCATTCCGCTTACCAGTGGTTGGCACTCGCGCCTTCGAGTCAGAAGGTTGTGAGGTCCATCCCCATGTCGGGACTCGGATTCACATAGTCTGAGATGACATTCCAATTCAGCGCTGGGGATGTTTAGCACTTTCAGAGGTGCCATCCTTCAGATGAGCCATTAAAAACAGGTCTCAGCTAACTGTTCAGGTGGATGTTAAAGATGTTAAAGATCCATGGCACTATTCGAAAAGAAGGGATTTCTGACCCAACAACCTCCTCCCCTAATAAAATTGGTCATTCACTCCATGGATCTTTGGAACATTGCTGTGTGTAAACTGGTGCCATGTTTCACCCATACAGTCAATCCACTTTACAGTATATCCTGTGAAGCACTTTGAGACATTTTGATTATGTCAAAGGGAATATACCAAATGCAAGGATTGTTATTAATAGCTAGGACTTTGGGTGAAACTTACTTTTCTTTTTAAATCATGCCATGTTCTCCTAGTTTATATTCTCCTCATAAAAATTACCCCATATTTAGATTAACATTGATAAGTGATGGTACAGATCATCAGATTATTATTATTTATCTCCCACATATGTCTACGGGCATTCACTTATTTTCTGTTATCTTGTTGGTTGGCTAAGCTTTTAGACACCCTTTGCTTTCTCAAACTCCCCGAAATTCCATTTGCTTCCCTTCTCTCACTGCCTTCAACACCTTTTCTTTTAACAGTCTTTGGTCAATTCTCCTTCCTCTCCTTGTGGCTGAAGCACTTCAAAACGNTTTTTTCTATGTGAAAGACAGTATATAAGTCTAAGTTGTTTTTTGCTAATAAATCAAATCTAGATCCAGCCAAATAAAAGCCGTTATTGGTGGATTTGATTTATGTGTAATGTTTTCAACTGCAGAGGAACCTTATTATAAACCTAAGTCAACCTTCAACCTTCACAGTTCTATCCTTGAATAGTTCAAATCATTTCTCTCACACCGCCTCCACTTCATCTCCACAAACGGTTTCTCCTCTAGCCCCTGCACCGTCTCGTGCAAAATTCCTCAAGACTTTGTCCTTGGTCCCCTACACTTTAACATCTACATGCTCTCTCTTGATGACAGCATCCGCAGACATGGGGTCACCTTCCACATGTTTGCGGATGGCACTCAACTGTACCTCTCTGCCTCCACCCTGGACTCCAGGACCGCTGCTGTTCTGACAGAATATCTGTCAGACATCAAGTCCTGGGTGAGACCTAACTTTCTTCAGATGAACATCAACAAGACTGAGATTCCTCCTGATTAGCTCCCGTGCCATGACCCGCTCTGCCTTCCCCCATCTCCTCAAAATTGCCTGGCTCCGCCACTGTCTCACACCGCAGTCCACCGAGACCCTCGCACACATATTCATAACATCCAGGCTTGACTGTGCAAACTCCTTGCTTGTCAGCCTTCCCAACTCCTCCCTCCGTAGGCTTCAGATCATCCAGAACTCTGCAGCTCATGTCCTCTCCCACACCAGGCTCCTTGATCCTATCACCCCCATCCTCGCCAGACTCCACTGGCTTCCCATCACTGAGGATACAGTTCAAGGTAATAATTCTTCAAAAAATAATAATAATTTGGTCACTCAATCCATGACTGTGGGACGTTGCTATGTGCAATTGGTTGCCATGTTTTACCTGCAAAATATACAGTCAATCTACTTTACAATATATGCTGTGAAGCACTTTGAAACATCTCAACGAAGTGATAATGTGTTATATCAAATGCAAGCATTATTATAACGCAGTCAAATGAGTTCAGTCTCTTTAAGATCATGTTCTAAGGAAGGAGTGCAAAAATGACTGACTTCCAAGTTGTCATTTCACTGCTCATGCAGTTTTGAGAAGAAAGACTTGATGTCAGCAGTGCTTCTTGTGCATTGTGGTCAAAAAGTAATAACCGAGTTGATGGTCTGGAATTTTTTTTAGCATGGGAGGTTGGCCAGAAGGTTGTTAGCAATCCACAATGTCATGCACTATAAGTGAGGAAGTACTGAATTGTACAGATTTGTAACCCTTTTACACAGTGCATTATTAATTGCAGTAGAGAAAATGACCACACACAAATGAGTGGCTGCTTGGGAGAAATCTTGCACCTTGCAACACTGCAACATCAACATGGATTCAGAATTTCCTGAAGGAAAGGGAGAATGTTAACCTGGATGGCCCGGTGGTCTGTACTGGTTCACATCTAGATTCATGGATTCTGTGTAAATTTAAATTTACAGATGATACCAAGTTGGGAGGAACCGTGGAATTAAGAGGCAGGAAAGATCTTATAAAGAGATCTTGATAGGATATGCACATGGGCTGATAATTGGCAAACAAGGTGAGGAAATAATGGTGGAATGGAGAACAGAGACCTGGGAATGTGTTGATGCAAAAAGAGTTTGAGGCTGAAGTGTCAACCAGCACAGAGAGCAAATTGTGAGGAAATGAGATAGGCAAGGTGTTTGTAGAAAACTGTTGGATGGAACTACAGCTACAACTATTTTTAAAATATTGATTTACTATACATTGAATGGATTGCTGAAGAATGTCTGGTGCTCTGGGCTTTGTACTTTAAATCCACCCTTTCTTACAAAAATGTCACCTTCGGCCTCTAATGCCAATGCCCTGCTTGTCGACCTTCCCAACTCTTCCCTCCACAAGCTGCAGATCATCCAGAACTCTGCAGCTCGTGTCGTCTCCCGCACCAGGCTCCATGACCCCATCACACTCACCCTTACCCGGCTCCATTGGCTATCCATCCCTCATAGGATTGAGTTCAAAATTCTTGTCCATCTTCAAGGCTCTCCATGCCCTTGGCCCCTTCTACCTCTGTCCTGTTAAACCCCTTATCAACCTGTCCACTCCCTTCACTCAGCAGGCTCTGGCCTGCTCCATGTCCCCCGCCTGGCCTGCTTCACCATCGGCAGTCGGACCTTCAGCCTCTCATGCCTCCACCCTCTGGAACTCCATCCAACATTCCCTTCATCTCGCTCCCTCCCTTGCCTCCTTCAAGCCACGCCTTAAGAGCCTCCTCTTCAACCGTGCCTTTGACCACCCTCCTACCCGCTCTGCCCTCCACCCCTCTTGATCCGCCCCCCCAGCTCGGGTTCTAATCCCTGACTGTTCAGCACCTCCCATCGTGAAAGTCGCTTTACAAATGTCATTTTGTATTGTATTAAATATGATCAATGTTGGGATGTCAGTGCTTCTAGTGCAGGCACGTACAGTCATAGCAGAGATAAATCACCAGACATTCTTAACATGGTTTTCTTGAAGTATTATGCCCTGTGAATCTAGTCTAGGGGGAACACCCAACTTGGGGCACTCCACTGCATGAATAAGATTTCGAGAATCTTACTCCATATTTTAAGACCCAATCCTCAGGAAGAGATTTTATTATTCATCCTGATATTGAAGTCTTCGAAAGAGAATGTTGTTCATGGTAAGTACAGTACATTTAATTGAAATTCCTGGGAATACAACTGACCCTCAGGAAAACTTTTAATGCGAAAATCACTTGAGCTATGAGAACACTTTGTACTTGCTTGTCTCAAGATCTTTTGACTAGTTTTTATTCATTTATATTTTCATCTGTATTCTGTCGTTTATGATGAATTATTCCATAATTCTGTGTTTTTAATACAGGAATAAAGCACCAATTGCACCATATTAAAATGTTGCATATGAGAGCTATTATTATTGGACCCATTCATCAGTACAAACCTGATGATAGAAATAAAACTAACTTGAAGTCGATTGATATGATCTATGGTAATATACAGAACTTCAGATATTTGATAAAATCAGCCAACACTCGAGGTATTATTTTCTTTCTGTTATGTTGATTAGAGTGCTATATTTCTTTAAACGTACTTTTGACATGATTAATTTTTCTTTATTACTTTTTTTGTATAATAGGTCTCAAGGTCCTTATTGACCTCACCCCAAATCCTCTAGGAACTAAACTGAACAAATGGTTTAACACTACGTTTGATTTTGAAGAGCAAAATAAAATATTGGTAAAAAGTTCACTTTTTGAATGTTTTCTGAAATAAACATTTTATTATCAAAAACTTGCATCCAAATAACTTTCAGAATTTCTACAGGCAGACTTTCAGTTCTGGCTCAGAACTGGTGTGGATGGAATCTTTATCAGTCTATCTACAGATGACATTGAAACAAGTATGGTAAGAATGTATTCTATGGAAATTAAAAGAGTGACCATCCAAGTAATGTCTCTCCTCCTTGGGGGAAGGAAGTAGGGTTTCCTGGAGCTCAGCGGGTTCCTAAATTGATGTCCTTGGCAATGGAATGTCAGAATTGAGTCAGGCCTTTGTGGTGGTTGGTAGTTTACACTGGAGAAGACATTTAAGTGGGGACCTAATAAAGTTGTTTAAAATTATAAAAGGGGTTGAAAAAGTAAGCATAAGTAGACTGTTCTCACTGGGGAGTAGAAAGCCAGGGGACACAAGTATAAGATAGGGACAAGGATATCTAAAAGAGAATTTAGGAGCTCACTGCCTGAAGCGACAACTGAAGAAGTTGGTACATAGATGCTTTTAAGAGGACATTTGATATATACATGAGGAAGAAGGAAATAGAAGAGTATGGTGGGGAGGTTGGTGTAAAGACTGGATGGAGATTTGTGGAGTATGAAAACTGGTTGGCCTGTTTCCGTCATGTGCAATCTATGTAAATCGATGTTGTGTCTGGTGTCTGAGCCAGACAGGTGTGCAGTACTCCAGGGCACTGCTGATGTCAAACCAGACAGCCTGACTCATCAGCAAGACTTGGACGGACAGACTGAGCGTAGGGATTCTCCCCACTTGACTCCTGTTAACCCTGCAAACCAAAGCCCCAATGGGTAGGATGGTCCTAGTTGAATAAGTGGCGTGAAACTTGCCGGACTGCTCTGAATGGCAAGTTTTAGCTGGTTAGCCTCCAGCAATGCATGAAAGCACTGCTGGAGTCAAACCAGCTAACCTCCGGTCCCCAAATCAAGGCTTTTTCCAACGTGCACCTAATACTCTGTAGATGCATTCCTCCTGGGAGAGAGTTTGTATTCCTTTTTTGTCACAGAAGTTTTCTTATGTACATTTCAGACACACATTGAGTGCTGTTTCCACCAGTTGCAGGTGGAATGATCAGGTAAAGTCTTCCAGCAGCTGTTGTCCCAAGCCTGTAATTTCCTCCTCATGTATAGGTGGCATTCATATGTGGAGCTCTATCTGGTTTAGATATTCTTAAGTATAGTGATGGGCTGGGCCAATAGAAATGTGCGGCCGTAATATTTCCGCAGAACCCGCCACAATCACCCTCCAACCCGATAAACACCCCCCTCCCCCGACAACCCTCCCCCCGACAAACATGGTGGCAGCCCAAGAGGCAGGAGATGGTGACTTCCTGGAACTCCCCAGTCAGGACTAATCACCCCCCAGTGGGACCCAAGTTTTTTAAAGAAAACATCAGTAATTTTTTTTGCAGCAATCTAATATGTCTTATTTCTTCATGTTTAGTTTTTAATTAATAAAGTGAAAAAATGTAGATTGGCAATAACACCAATCAACCAGCGGCAATTCTAAGCAAGCCTTGAAAAATTTCTCCGCAGTTTTCTATTGGCCCAGGTGATGGATGTGTCAAGACACCCAAGTGATTATTAAAAAAAAGGAAGTGTTGAGAAAGTCTCAAGCTACAGTGTATATTGTATTAATTAGAATAATAACCTCTGTTTGGCTTTTAGTTGCTAAGTAGTCTAAAACGATGGAAGGATATAGGCAACGAATACAGTACAACTCGTAAACCAAGGTATATCTAGCACTAAGTATGTTTTGTTAGTGATTGTTAAATATAACATTTATTGCTATTTGTTTTCCATTTGTAGAATTCTGTATATTATGATTGCAATTTCTTCCCTTTAATTTCAGTAAGGTATATATTTTAAAAAATTCAGCAAATAACTTGTTTAAATAAAGAAGAATGCATTGATAAATTCTAGTTATCTTAATGTTTTGTATTGAGGTTGTTATTGCAGTAGAATTTTTCAAATGATTTGTAGTTTATTTTACAAGCAAAGTGGAAATTTTCATAGCTTAATTTTGAACATTCTAATTTTCAGTGAATGTTCAGCTTTTAAAAGAATCTCCTCTAAATGTATGCAGTATGGTATTTACACTCATCCAGGCATTCATCACATCTAGGCTTGCATACGTCAACTCCCTACTTGTCCGCCTTTTCAATTCTTCCCTCCACAAACTGCAGATCATCCAGAACTCTGCAGCTCGTGTCTTCTTCCGCACCAGACTCCGTGACCCTACGCCCTCGCCCGACTCCACTGGCTATCCCCCAGAGGATAGAGTTCAAAATCGTTGTCCTCGCCTTGAAAAACCTCCATGGTCTTGCTCCTTCCTGCCTCTGTGACCTGCTAACCCCATATCCCTCCGCTCAGCAAGCTGCGGGCTGCTCCACATCCCCCGCCCCGCCTCACCATCGGCGGTTGGGCCTTCAACCGCTCATGCCCCCACCATCTGGAACTCCATCTAACATTGCCTTCATCTCGCTCCCTCCCTTGCCTCCTTCAAGGCACGCCTCAAGACCCTCCTCTTCAACCGTGCCTTTGACCACCCTCCTACCCGCTCTGCCTTCCACCTCTCTTGATCCGCCCCGCAGCTCGGGTTCTAATCCCTGACTGTTCAGCACTTCCCATCGTGAAAGTCGCTTTACAAATGTCATTTTGTATTGTATTAAATATGATCAATGTTGGGATGTCAGTGCTTCTAGTGCAGGCACGTACAGTCATAGCAGAGATAAATCACCAGATAATCCTTAACCGCACCTTCACCACCCTCCCTGCCCTCCATCCTCTCTGATCCCAAACCCCTGCTCGGGTCCAAATCCCTGACTGTCCAGGGCCTTGGGTCGTCCTCCTGACATGAAAAGTACTGTGCAAATGTAATATAGTATTACTTGTTGTTACCTGATATTTCTTACCTCTGTCTGTCTGCCTTTCCATATACAATATATCAAATTATACATATGGGGGAATCTGAAATATAGTATTTATGTTTTGTGGAGCTTGGACATATTGGAAACAAATTCTATCCTGGAAATCCAGAAACACCCAAAAAGAACTCCCCAAGTTTTCAACCAATCCTAACCGTATCTAAGTGCCATAGATAGTAATTTTTACATTTCACTCTGAACATGATGAAGTAAGCCCATACACACAAAATTAAACTTTCAAGTTAATTTCCTGGTGAAGGTTCAATATGGAATATGGGATAAATATGGAAACTCTTTCCATTGGTGGGTGGGTCGGTAACACGAGGACACCGATTTAAAATAGTTGGTGAAGAAACAGGAAGTGAAGAGAATTTTTTTCACGCAGCGAGTTGTTTGGATCTGGAATGCATTGCTGGAAGCGTGGCAGAAACTGATTCAATAACAATTTTTAAAAGAGAAGTAGATAATTATTTGGGGAGGACAAGTTTGCAGGGCTATGGGGAGAGTGCGGGGGAGTGAGATTGATTTGGATAGCTCTTTTCAAAGAACTGGCACAGACACGATGGGGCCAATGGCCTCCTTCTGTGCTGCGTAACTCTCTGATTCTATACTTGAGCAGGTTAGACCATTATCAACATGATAATAATACTTGCATTTGATATAGTGTCTTATCACGTTTTCGAGATGTCTCAAAGTGCTTCACAGAGTACACTGTAAAGTGAATTGACTGTATTTTGTGAGTAAAACGGAGCAGTCAGTTTGTAGGACAGCAGTGTCCTACAAACATTCTTGCCTCGCAAGCGAGAGGCCTAGGTTTGATTCCCGGGTGGGGCAAAATCTTAGACAAGTTTCCTTACTCCACACGCCTCTGTTTACCTAGCAGTAAGTAGGAACCCGGTTGTTAGTTGATTGGCGGATCGCTTTCCACAAAAAGCATTTCGCCCACAAACTATAGGCAATTCACTTTACAGTGTATTCTGTGAAGTGCTTTGAGACGTCTCAACAATGTGATAAAGCGCTATATCAACTGCAGGGATTATTATATTTAATACTCATGGATTCAGTGACCATTTTTTTTAACGGATTATTATTCCTGGAAAAGCGGTCACACTTGGGTGTGATGTCCTTTTCAGTTGAGTGCCTGCGTTCATTGCCAAGGCTCATAGGCTCACACATGAAGAACGTCCACTTGGGTGGGGTACCACAGGACTACAGCAGCTACTACAAATGAAGGTGCCAGTGTGGAGAAAAATTAGACCCACCAAAACATTTTTAACAAAGATTGAATGTAAAATAGATAATGGAGAGTGGGAGAATGAGTGTAGACAGAAGTTGTAGACATCTCAAGACTCTCCTCTTCGCCCGTGCCTTCAATCACCATCCTTGCCCCCCTGCCCTCCACCCTCCCCGATCCCGACCCCCAGCTCCGAAACACTGACTGTCCAGTGCCTAGGGACGTCCTCCCAACATGGAAGGCGCTGTACAAAATGTAATTTTGTTGTTGTTTTAGAGTGGATAATAGAATGTGCAAATGTTATGGGAGAGGAGCAAGACAGTAAATGAGAAAGTGAATGAATAAGAAAAAAAACTAAAGTATGAGTGTGTGAAAGGATGGAGGGAAAGTGAATCAGACTATGAAAGGTAAAAAAGAGGCATAAGAAAAGAGTAGCTCACTGGGGGGGGGGGGGGGGGGAGGATTTAAGTTTGTGTCAACTCACTTCCCTCCCTTTGTGCCCCACACTTTCTATAAATCACTTTTAACACGTTCTGTGAAAGATGGTGTATAAATCAAAGTTGATAGATGGGAAAGAACATGAATGTGACAGGTGGTATTTGAAAGACGGGAGAAGGACTTGCAGAGAAAGCTAGGCAATAGGGCGACAAAGTGGCACACAGAATAAACTGCAGCAAGACAGGATGGGGAAGCGAGAAACAGACAGAAATAAGTGAGAGAAAAACAATACATAAACTCATTCACACTTGCATTCACCACAAAAGATCTTTGTTTCTTGGACCTTTGCTTCAGCACCTTAAGCACCTCCCTACTGCCCATTCTGATATGTACCACTTCACTAGGTACATTTTAAAACTGAAACTTAGATGGAAGTCAAGGTTCATAATACTGAATCATTAAACTCGCCTTGTATTGTGGAGTCCTGGAGTTCAGTGGTTAGAGCACTCGCCTCACAAGTGAGAGACCTGGGTTTGATTCCTGTTAGGGCGAAATGTTGGTCAAGTTTCCTTACTCCACACGCCTCTATTTACCTAGCAATAAGTAGGAAGCCAGTTATTAGTTGATTGGATTGCTTTTCCGGGGGTAATAATTCCTTCAAAAAAAGTAATAAATCGGTCACTTCAAACCACTACCGTTTGTGGGACGCTGCTGTGTGCAATTGGCTGCCTTGTTTTGCCCACAAACTACAGTCAATTCACTTTACAGTATGTTCTATGAAGCGCTTTTGAGACGTCTTGACATGATAAGGCACTATATTAAATGCAAGGATTATTATTATTATCTTAAGTAGATCAGGTTCAGTTATATTTTAAAATCACAGTACTATAAAGGAACACTATAAATGACAGGATTGAGCAATATTCTTAAATTGATTTGGAGGATGATCTGCATTACAAATAAAATGTGTTTTCTTGCAGGGTAGTTGTTGTTTGTCTTGAGGGAAGCCAACGTACCACCATGCTTGAGAATTTTCCTGGGGAAATTATGTTTGTTTACTCCATAAATCTTCTAAGAGTCACGAGCAGTGCTTTTACGGCAGTGATGAATCAGGCATTTTCTCACGGAGAAAATGAACTGATTGGCCTACTGGTAAGAATTGCTTATTGGAGCAAATTGTCTTTCTAAATGGAGGTTTGCTGACTCCTATTATACAGCACATTGATGATTAGCTAATGTCCGAGAAATCTCAAGATTAAAAGATGCCAGGTATTCAAAAAACATTGTTATAGTCACCATCAAGGCTGCAGGTTAACGATAATGCCTCCAAGTCCCAACAGCACATCTGGGCAATTGTAATCTGTGTTGGCATTGTTAAGCAAGTTGGCTGTGGCTCAGTATATTTATGCTCACACATACCTTCTAGGGTGACAGATATAATGTAGATGCTATCGGTGCTCCAACTTGTGCCTCAGCTCCGCCTTGTATTATTGTCGTGTGATTGGCACCATTACTGATAGTGTACAATCCGGTATTGGTGAGTAGCACAATTATCACAATAATTCACTACTTAAATAATCCTTGCATTTGATAAGGGTGGGGTGAGGGGGTAGGTATTGGACAAAAAGTTAATACCGGGACATTCTGATATGCTAATAAATGATTGTTTTTTTGATGAGATCTGAACACCATTGTGAACAATAATGCCTGCAGTGTCTCGCATAATGTAGCTGGGCTTTCCTGTTGATATTGCTGAGAATTAACAAAATCATATTTTTTTTGTATATTTTAATGAGATTGAAATCTGCAGTTGTGGTGGTGCAAATCGAGTACCAACAACTACTTGCATTTCATAGCGCCCCGAGGCAGGTTAGCATTCCAGAACGCTTGATAGTGGTGGAGCACCACGCTGAGCGGGGGGAGGGGGAGGTGGCCGTAGACACGGTCGAATAGAAGATTTTCGGGCGCGAACTGATGATGAGGATAGAAGGGACAAGGCGATGGGATAGAAGAATTGTGTTCCAGAGTTTTGAGGTATAGTTGCTGAAAGCACGGCCACCAATGGGGGAAGGGAGGCCTCGAGGGACATACAGAAGGCTGGAGCCAGTCAAGCGGAGGCTGGGGTTTGGGGGGTAAGCAGGTCGGCGAGGTAGGGAGGTGCCAGGGCATGAAGGGATTTGAAACCGAGTGTGAGGGGTTGAAGTCGACCTGTTCGGGCAATAGGGAGCCAGTGAAGCCTGGCTAGAACTGGTGTGATGGGGGAGTTTAGTGCGGGTGAGTATGCAGGCAGCGGAGTTTTGGATCAGCTGGATCCTGTACATGTTGGAGATGGGGAGAATTCTCAAAGAGGGCATTGGAGAAGTAAAATCTGGAGTATCCTAACGACTATACATTCCACAGCAGCATATTAAAGTTGTGGGTGATAACATACATAATGTTTTCTTGCAGTTTGGGAATCCATACAAAGGACACATCGTATCTTTAGTCAGTGAGAATTTGGGAAAGCTAATTGCTCTCATTATGTTTACATTGCCTGGAACTCCCATAATTTATTATGGTGATGAGATTGGTCTTGAAGACTATCAGGTAATCACCACCCTACCTACTCTTGTAACATCAGTCATGAATTTTAAATAATTAAGCTGTGATGAATTTTAATGTTCTTTTCTTCATAACAGAAATCACCATCTCCCCTAATGAGGTGGAACAACTCTAAACATGATGGATTCACTGTTGGTTCACCTTGGATTAAACCGGATTTGAAGCTTTGCAGAAATAACACCATGGTACACAGAAGTTTTTTCATTTTATTATTTAAAGCACTGAAGTTAAAATGGAAACATTGGATAAAATGCAGAATATTGTATCAGTACTTTTTACTAATTATTGTGTTTATACATAGTTTAGCTAGGTAACCCTAGCACAGATATGTTAGGCCAAATTTCCTTCTTCTGGCTGTAAACGTTCTATGATTCTGGAGCTGGATGTATCCCTCCAGAGAGAGGGAGCACATTCCATTAAATATCCCTGGAAGTTCCATGTGTAGGCGGAATTCATGGAACTCTGTTTGGTTTGGATACTCTTAATCATGATAATGAGTTTCTGTATTTGTTAGACACCCAGTTGACCCTCCAAAAAAGTTCCATCACTGTAGGATGCTATCCTGCATGAAGGGTGCTCTATAAATGCAAGATGTTGTGGTTGATAAAAATAATTCCTAACACTACTAACCACCTTCATTTTGATAATAAAAAAAAATTGATTAAGTTATTTTTAAAGTGTTTTCATGGGCTTTCACAAGTGGGGGGAAAAAAATCAATTGTGTGGTGAAGTTGTTCTCAGTTGTTTACAAAATCATTTGTAGAATTTACCAAAGTTCTCAGCACATTTTGTACACTAGGGGTCAGACTTACAATAAAATCAAATTATTTCCAAAGTGTAAAATATCTTTATTGGATGCTCATATTGAACTAAATTATTAATCTGTAAACGTGAGTGGTAATTTGACTTTGTATCTAAAAGTTCTCTTTCTTTTCTTATTAACAGCAACAATCCGATGACCCACTATCACTGTTATCATTTTATAAGCAACTTGGATTCTTTAAAAAAGAATTGGAATCCCTGAAATATGGGTCATTCAGAAAAGTGTTAAATGAAACAACCTACTTTGCATACACAAGACAATGGAACGCCCACGGAATTTTAGCTGTACTGAATTTTGGTGACACGATTCATGTAGATTTCACAGCTAGTGGCTTGCCATTGACTTCGTTGTTAATTTTAAGTTCATCACTTGGACTTCAATGCCAGATTGTAAATATGAAGAACTTGGCTATACCATCACTGGAAGCTTATATGCTAAAATATTATGTTTTGGATTAGTTCATAGTGAGCTATTATCTTGTACTTTACTATTTAATATTTTTTCATAATGTACCTGTATGGAGAATATATAGATTTTATATGTTAATAGCAAGGTAATCACTTTTTATGCAATGTATTGTTGCGATACAATGAAAACCACAACTGTCAGCTGACACGATAACTAGGTCTATTCTGGATTCAGTTGTAAAGTTAATTCTATGTGGATTTTGGCATAAATGAGTATGATGACATTTGGAGTATTGTTTTAAGAATATAAGAAAGCAGGAAAATGCCTTCAAGCTTGTTCCTTCCACAGACACAGAAAACCTAACCAATCAAGGACCCAGTGCACCCATCTGATGTAGACCAACCCACGATTCAGGTGCTATTCTCCCGGCATGTATGATTATTTTAAAGCAGCATAAGGATGATCCAATATTGCACTTCATCAGCCTACATTATGAATTAAAGTACTGTGAGGTTTAACCTAAGTATTGGGTGGTATAGGTGGATGTTGAAGATCCCAAGTCACTGTTTTAGAAAAAAAAAGGGAGTTTGGGTATCAGTTTAGCTTAAGTCAGTAGTACTCTCACTTCTGGTTAGAAGGTGAGTTCAAACTCTGCACTACGATTTGAGCTCATACTGTAGGCTGACACTGCAATGCAATATTGGGGGAACTATTGGATTGCTAGAAGTGGCGGCTTTTGGATAAAACCTGAAACAGCGTTCCTCTCTGTCTGTTTAGGTAGATGTAGAGCCATAGAAAGATTCCATGACCCAAATACTGATTAATTTGTCATTGATGTATCGTTCCCTGCTGAGACAAATAGCTGCTGCTTTTGTCAACAAGAACAGTCACAAAACTGTTTACAATTTGCAATTGAACTCATATCATTCATATCTTTGCTGTGCCTCAACAACAACAACTTGCATTTATATATCTCCCTTCACGCGGGGTAGTGTCCCGGAGGGCACGTCTCTTTTGAAAACTTTATTACAAGATGGATTTGTTTTTCTGGGATTTGTAGTATTGTATACAGTACATGAATCTTTTGCTACTAACCTCAGTTCAAGAGATGCAACTAGTTTTCTTCAGCATGATTTAGTTCCTTCAGATGAGATTTCAGTCACCAATGCTGCTGTGAGCTCTTTTGTTACAGTAGTTTGCAGTATTTGTAAACGATTTTTGTAAAATTCAGATCTTAGTTTCTCTTTTAGAAAATTGAGCCTGTCAAGATCTCATAATAATAGTCCTTACATTTGATAGAGCGCCTTATCATGTCTTCGAGACGTCTCAAAGCACTTCAGAGAATATACTGTAAAGTGAATTGACTATATGTTTTGTGGGCGAAAATAATTATGAATGAATGAATGAATAAGGAATTTGGGAAAGATACCAAAAAGCCTCACCCTACTTTGAGATAGCACATAGAATCATTCACACTCACAGGCTAATGCAATCTGTTTATAGTTTTATGCCAAGAACAGTACCCCCAGCAATGTAGCACTCCCTCAGTAATATGCTGGAGTGTCGGTCAGGATGAGGAACACAAACCTTCGGATTAGTTTCAATTGTAGACACAATTTTCTTGTTTCAGAGGAGAGACTGTAATGAACTGAGCCCATAATGATATTCTAATAAGGATTCAAATGTTTTCTTTAAAAAAAGATTTGCACTTTCACAAGGATTCATAGTTTGAATCGTTTCACTTGGTATTCAAGTTTGGACCAGTTTAGTTCCCTGCAGCATCTATATTATAAATGATGACAACTCAACTAGAAAGGCATCCACCCTCCCCAATCCCACCCCTGCTACCCTGCAGGAACGCATAAACACTTCTACTGTGGCTAAGTGCGGGAAGTTTAAATAACAAGAATGATTTCTCGACTCGAATTATAAATTGTTGGGAAATCTTTTCAAATAGAGTGTGCAGATACCTTAAACTAAATGCGAAAGGAACCAGAATACTTACAATCTGATTGCATTCTTAATTACTCTCTGTACACTAATTAACCTTACCATTCACAATATTCCTGTTTTTAATGATATATTTTAATAACTTGTTTTGAATTTAATGGCAATGTCTTTTAAGACATCCACCCATATATGATGTTTCCTGATTCCCACTGTGATTACATGCGTGTGAACGGTGTTACAATAGTATGCATTCATGGCCCATGTGTTAGTGACCTTGGAGTGTAGTTTCGAAGCCTACAGTTGATCTTTAAGCTGGTTTCTTCTGGTCCAATTTGATAAAACTACATACCCAAGTTCAGAGAGTTGAAAGAAAAGATAAAGCTCACTTAGTTCGGATCATAAATGATTTTGTAAGAATGCTGAACCTTTTCAGATGAATTTACATGAAAAGATAACGTAAAAATGCTAGACGAAAAAAGACAAAGGCCCATCTAGTTTGCCTTCCACCTTTTTGGTGGTCGCATGCGCATATGCCCCAAACTACCTGTGTACTATATCCCATAATGTTATCTCCTAAAAGAAAACTATCTAATCCATTTATGATAATAATAATATTATTATCTAACCGGTTTGTTCAGTAAGTGCAATCATGAATCAGACAAATTAGTCGTTCATCTTGTAGACTAGAAATTAGTTAAGCTAAAGCACAACATGCCAGCTTCTCTACTGGAGTTGACTGGCATTTTCTGCTTTAACTTAATTTTTCTCAATTGTTTAACCAGCTCGGTTTTAAATACTATTATACATCCAGCTTCATTAGCTATTTGTTGTAAGTTATTACCACAAGATATGGACTCAGTGTTGCAACATTATGAACTTGTGGTCCAGGTGTTTGTGATCATGGACCATAGTTTGGAAGCCTATAGTTAATCTTTAAACATTTTTTTAGACCCAATTTGATAAAACTATCTTTTAATAACACTCATCTTTTCTGCCATAAGGAGTTCTGCCATAAGGATTGAGTTCGGAAGACTTCAGTCATCTGTTGTAGCATAACATGGTTAAACAGAGTTTACATATAACACATCATAATTAACTATTAAAATCAAAATTCCCAAAATACACAGAGGGGTCTTAAATCCAAGTTTGTCAGTCGCTGCAAGACTTAGTTCTACTTCATAGTCTATGAAAACAGAAAAGTTAATTCCCTCTGGACAGCTTGAGTTGGTTAGCATGGAAACACTTACTCCCCTATACTCCATTAGCTCTTCACATACTATCAGTGTTAACCCTATCTGAATACTACTCTCAATACTTAGGTCGAACCACTGGAACATCATGTACCAAATAAATCAATTAAATTCTCAGTTGTTTAGGAACCCCAGACTGGACTCTGCCCTGTACCATATAATAAAACTTGATTGTTTTTTGTCAGGGATAATCTTGTCTGTGTAATTTGAATGGGGAATTTTCAGGAAGATCCTCCATTTTCTCAAGTGCTTGAATTGCAACTGATACTGATTGATCCTGTTTTAGGCAAAGTCCGGGTTGAGTGGTATTACAGCTGAAACTGGCTCGCCACACAACCCCCCCCCCCCCCACCCCCCACCCCGAGCACCCTATAGTGCAAGGGCATCAGCTTCGTAATTTTCAGAGTGAAAGGCCGCAAACTTGGAATGACTCCACTCAACAAACAAAGGGAATTTGGTAGGGCTGAGGGTAAAGAACAAATCTATCAAAGCAACGAAGCATGGATAAGACAAGCACAGTCGGGCGAAGTGAACTCAATTTGTCATCCAAAAAGGGTTAACCCTTTACAGACTCGAGAGGAGTTCGAAAATAAAATGGAGGAGGAAGAATAGAGTTTGAGAGCGGCAATAACAGTTGCTAATTCTGCGTACTGAGCTGCAGGAATGGAAAATGGAATTGGGGGAGAGGACATAGAAACCAAATCCTGTATGTCAATACTTCATCAAATATATAAAGCAAGATGTCGGGTGTGGCACAAAAGATTCCCAGGTGAGTCCACCAGCAGCACAGTATTGTCCTCAAACAGATGCGCCACAGTCAACAACAGCAACAAAATGACATTTGTATAGCGCCTTTCACTTCTGAAGGATGTCCCAAGACGCTGGACAGACAGAGTTATGGACTCGAGCTGGGAGTCGGCGTGGGGGAAGGTGGAAGGCAGGGGAGGGAAGCATGGAGATCGAAAGCACGGTTGAAGAGGGTCTTGAAGGTGGCGAGGGAGGGGGCAAGACAGAGGGACTGCGGGATGGAGTTCCAGAGGGTGGGGGTAGAGTCGCGGAAGGCCCACCTGCCAATAGTGGGGCGAGCAAGGCGGGGAACGTGAAGCAGGCTGGAGCCCACTGAGCTGAGGGAACGAACAGGGTGGTAGGGGGTTAAGAAAATGTTTCATTCTGCTTGCCCCATCATCTCTTAATTCTTCCCTATTCCCTCTTATTTTGAATTCTATTTAGGACAATCCTGTCAGGAGAGGCCTGGAACAGATACACAAAGTCCTTCCTGCTCGATCCCATTCAACACGTCATTGATGAATACATTGAATACAGTGGGTGACAATGCTCCTCTTTCAAGAGGGATGGGCTCAGCGATCTCTCAGCGCCTTGGGATATCCCCCCGACGTGAAAGGTGCTGTACAAATGTCATTTTGCTGTTGTTGGAATACACATTCCAGATAAAATCCAAGACTTGGCCATGTGTTCCCATGACTTCCAGTTTTATCATGTGGTGGGCTTCATGAGGCGACAGGTCAAAAACCTTGCAGAAGTTGATGAACACAACCTAGATGGGTTTCCCCTGAACTATTAACTGGATGAACTATTAGGTGATTGAACACCTAGAGAAATTCCTCTTTCCCTGGGTTGATATATTTTGCATGTCTTTCAACTTGTTGAAACAAATACTGATGCAGTAGTCCCAACATTACTGAATGATAGGTAGATTAAAAAAAAACATATTATCATTAAATAACTAAAATAAGCACCTACAGTACAATTTGGATTAAAATGTTCCAAGAAAATCTTTCATTCTGCTTGCCTTAGCATCTCTTAATTCTTCCCTATTCCCTCTTCTTATTTTAAATTCTATTTATTTTAACTTTAAGATCGCCTTGCCTGTAATCTAATTTAACCAAACATTTTATATCTTTTGATCCTAAACATCTAACTTTAGGCTGTTGCCTTCTCTTTCAGCTTTTCTTACATTAGTCTAGATGCTTGGAAACTAATTATGTAAATATTTGTATTGCTCTACAGCTTCCGGCTTTTGCTAACGTTAAATTCACTCCATTTGCTTTGTGAAGTGGTTTAAGGTAGGCAGGATGGAAAAGATGCCAGGAAGATAAGGGCATTGCCAATGCACCTGGTAGTTGAAACATTCCAGCTCCACTCTGCAAGGCACAGAAGCGGATTCAGCAACGAGAAAGAGCCTTTCCAGAAAATCATAGGAAGCAAAGGAAAGTTTCTTCAAAAACTTGCCAAAATAACTGACTAACCATGCAACAATAGACTTTTAATTGGGGGAAAAAAACAAAGAAATAGCTTTTTGACTTTTGTAAGTTAATGATTTTCGGGATCTCTGCACTGTGGTTAAAATGCGGTTTAACGGTCTGAAGTCCAAAGGTTCCGGATTTTGCTGCCTCTGACTGTATTTAAGTGAACCCTTTAGCCATTCTGCTCATACGGGCAGAAGAACTGTGATCGAGGAAGAACTCGCAAAATGTCTTCAGCCAAAGATGGGGTAAACAGAGTCGACATTGATCTTAAAGAGAAACAGGTTTTTGAAAACTCAGCTTTTAACAGGGACGAAGAGCAGCAGGAAAGAGAAAGAACAAGTAACACAGCGAGTGAGTCTGATGATGAGACTGCAAAGCCTAATGAGAGGCTTGATTCTCAAGTGGCAATGGACTGGGACCAGGACAAACCAGTAGATTCTGATGATGGGCCCTATGCTGGAATGCCCAAAGAAGTCCTACTACGCTATTCAAGCCAGTTGTGTTACAGGCTGCCCAGAGAGATTCTTTTCTGGTTCATGTTGATAGCTACTGTTGCTCTGGTGGCTTGTACCATCGCCATCATTGCCCTCTCTCCCAAGTGTCTAGACTGGTGGCAAGCCAGCCCCATTTACCAGATATACCCACGGTCATTCAAAGACTCGAATGGGGATGGCATAGGAGATCTCAATGGTAAGTATCATCTTCTCAAGTGCTCTGGGATGCTACCCTGTGTGAGGGACATTACATAAATGCAAGTTGTTGTTTTAAGTAATGAGAATCTTACAGTACAAAGCATTAAAATCAAAAGTAAGTGCCTCCGTACCTCTCTTATCCAAATAAAAGACCTGCTACTGTTAACATTCCAGATATTTAGTCCTATAGCTCAATGGTTAGAGCAGTCACCTCGCAAGCGAGAGAGCTGGGGTCTACTCCTGGCAGGGTGAAATGTTGGCCAAGTTTCCTTACTCCACCCGCCACTGTTTATCTAGCAGTAAGTAGGAACCCAGTTGTTAGTCGATTGGCGGATCGCTTTTCCAGGGATAATAATTCTTTTAAAAAAAATAATAATTTGGTCACTCAATCCACGGCTGTTTGTGAGACACTGCTGTGTGCAATTGGCTGCCGTGTTTCGCCCATAAATATACAGTCAATTCACTTTACAGTATATTCTGTGAAGCGCTTCAAGACGTCTCAAAGACGTGAAAAGCACTATATCAAATGAAAGGATTATTATTATTATCATCTTGTGACACCATTTTATCTTAAAACTTAAGGTGACACAGAATTACAGAAAATGCTTCAATTTAGTCTTCATTTGGAATCCATTTTTCCCCAATTCTTTCAAGAGAAACCGGCTTCCAAATTAAGAACGAATTTAAAAGTTTCCACAATTCTGCACCATCTTAAATTTGGCACAAATGTTCTTACAGGGTAGGATTGAGTTTTGTTCCTCAGCTCTAACATTTGCTTAAAAAATGGGAATTATCACAGCCTTAGGCTTCTATTTTCTATTTGAAAAATATATACTAGATTTTAAAGCTAGCTTTTGGGAGTTTTACATTGGTTTACCTATTGCTTGGGTCCATGCATGTTTTGTCCAATAATACATTGCGTCCAATAATATATTGAGTCCATTCACACTGGTCAATTGCCAATATATTAAGTGCAATAAAGACTTTGCATCTGTTTCATGGGAAAGAATTTAATTCAAATGCCATTTCCTTTGTCTCTTGTTGCCAGGCATCAGAGAAAAACTGGACCACTTTGTGGATTTGAATATCAAAGCAATTTGGATAAATTCGGTCTACAAGTCTCCGATGAAAGATTTTGGTTTCGATGTGGAAGATTATGAAGCTATTGATCCAGTATTTGGAACCATGGAAGACTTTGATGATCTGATAGAAGTCATGCACGACAGAGGTGAGAGCATACTGAAAAGGTTGAATTTGCCTTAAAAAGATGGTTCCTCGTTATCAAAACAAGCAGTTAAAACAGAACATATATAATATAATAATATAATAATCCTTACATTTGATATAGCGTTTTTCACGTCTTCAAAGCGCTTCACAGGATATACTGTAAAGTGAACTGACTGTATATTTGTGGGTGAACTTATATTAGAAATTGTAGAATTTTGCAAAACATTCGGTCTTCTGTTCCATGAAAGTTTGGCTGGTATTTTCTCCACATAAGCGACTTTCTGATCTAATCCCACTCTCCTGAATGTCTGCATATCCTATCGTATTCCTCTTTCAAGCATCTAATTCCTTTTCAAAATAATTAATGGCCAAACGTTCAACAATGGACATGAGGATTCCATATTCCAACCCTTCTCAGTGTAAATAATTGTTTTCTAATCCCCTAATTCTTTTTATTGTTGTACATTTTCATTATGGACTCACTGACCAGGGAAATAATCTATATCTATTTACCTTGCCTTTGTAACTATTCATAATCTTGAGGACTGATCAATTTAACCCTCTTAGCTCTAGTAAAGAAGAAACTAATTTCTCAAGTCTATCATTATTTGCCGACAATCATTGCAGAGTAAATCCTGTGAAGTGCTTTGAGATGTTTTGATAGCCTGATAAGGCACTATATTAAAATCCAAAGATTATTATTGGAGCTAAAACCCTAATTTCTGATAATTATTTATTTACTTTTTATGTTTCTATGATTCATATTTTCATGTGAACCTACACTATACCTAAACATAGATAATTTGTGCCGGTGCTAATAATAATAATAATCCTTGCATTTGATATAGCGCCTTATCAATTAATTAATATTATTATTTATTTAATTAATTAATAATGTCTTGTGTGCCATTACTTATTTAGGGTTTTGCTATGCTGCATTCACTGCATCAAATCCATTCACTCCCTGGCACCTCCCTACCTCTCCAACCTCCTCACTCCCCATTCCACCACCCGGCACCTCTGGTCGATTGACACCAGCCTCCTGCTCGTCCCTCACACCCTCCAGCCCACCATATATTAAGAAACCCTTGTGATTTTATTGACATTTTCAAGGTTTGAAGCTGATAATGGACTTAATTCCGAATCACACCAGCGATAAACACCGCTGGTTCCAGCTCAGCCGGAACCGGACAGAAAAATATGTAGATTACTACATCTGGAGAGACTGTGAGCACAAGAACAACAGGACCACCTACCCAAACAACTGGGTAATTATGGCAATTCTGTTCTGTCTTAATATTTCTGATTCTTTAGTACTACATGAAGGATCCCTAATGTGATTGTCAAAATAAACCCCCAAATTATTGATTCCAGTGTTAAATAGTCAGTATTATTGAGGGAAAGGACCAGCTGTCTATCAGTCTGTCTGGCTCAGTGGGTAGCACTCTCTGCTTTAACTCAGAACACAATGGATTTAAGCTTAACATAAGGCCTTTGAACTCATATGTAAAGGTTGATACACAAGTACAGTGCTGGAGGACTGTTGCATACTTCTGATAAAACATTGAAGTGAGGTTGTGTTTGTCTGTTCAAGTGGATGTTAAAGATCCCATAACACTGTTTAGAAAGAGAAGGGAGTGTCTCACAGTATCCTGGCCAACAATGCACAGATAATAAATTCAGCATTCATTTACATGGCTATGTGTGGGACATTGCTGTGTGAAAATTTGCTGTTATTGTTATCTTAACTTCTTAAAACCACATTCTTGGGAATAGTAGTTCTATAGGCATAGCCAGTTCTTTGATATCCTGATTCTATTCTTCACGTGTGAGTTGTCTGTGAGCATGGGCAGGTTTTTTGAGTGTGGGGTGGTGGGTGAATCATTGTCTGATCCAGACCACATATATGGGCTTGATTATGACCAGGGATAGGAACGCTGGTAGATATTATCTTATTCCCTGGAAACATAGTTAAAATATAAAACATTAATAGAAATCTGGGTGGTTAGGAAGAACATTTTCAAGAAATGTTACGTGGAAAGCCTATTAACTAGACAATGTAAGGGGGTTCAAGAAAAACTGGATATATTTATTGAGAGAAGGTACAGAGAGTTATGTTGAGAATGAGAAATCAAAATCTGTTCCTAACAGTTCTTTCTGATACTGTTCATCATTAGAAAGAAGGAACTTTGTTTTATCATATCAAAATATTTCAAAGTATTTCATATGGAATTCTTGTTAAGTGTAGTAAATGTATGTAGGCAAATTGGCAGCCATTTCACAACTGAATAATAATAATCCTTACATTTGATATAGCGCTTTTCACGTCTTCTAGACGTCCCAAAGCGCTTCACAGAATATACTGTAAAGTGAATTGACTGTATATTTGTAGTCGAACGCGGTAGCCAAACCATCAGGGGGCGGCATAATTAATTTTAAATGAATTTTCCCTCTCATTTCTCCTCTTTCAATTCGATTAAGAGGTATTGTTACTGAACTTTGTTAATTAACAGCTGGAATGGGTTACCAGGAAGGGTGGTGAAGGTAAATAGCCATGGAATCATTTAACAAACAGCTTGATCCTATAATAATAATAATAATAATAATGGTTGCCCTTTGTATTTGAAGATGCCATTCACACAATGTGAACACCTGGGTGCATGAATTTGTTTATAGTGCACAGGAACCACACTCTTTAGTCAGCAAGCACTGTAACCTGGTGACAAGCAATATCCAAAAAGACCAGATCACTTGCCAACCGCACTGGCAGAAACCATTACCATGAAAAGCCAGTCGACTAACAACAGGGTTCCTACTTACTGCCAGATAAACAGAGGCACATAGAGTAAGGAAACTTGCCTAAGGTTTGTCCCTGCCTGGGATCAAAACCGGGTCCTCTCGCTTGTGACACGAGCGTGCTAACCACAACACTACGGGACTCCTTATGTAATAATCCTTGTATTTGGTATAATGGCTTATCACATCATCGAGACATCTCAAAGGGCTGTCAGAGGATATACTGTAAAGTGGATTGACGGTGTATTTTGTGGGCTGTAATGAGAAGATGGTAGGATGGGTAGTCTGGAAGGATGAGATGATCTGAAGGGCCTTTGTCATTTGTACGTTCCTCTCTTGTTATCTTGTTATCAGATTTTTTTTATGTACACTGTCTCAGGGTATTACTCACCAAGCATTTGATATTTTCTTTCAGGTTAGCGTGTTTGGACATTCTGCTTGGGAGTACGATCCTGTACGGAGTCAGTGTTACTTGCACCAGTTCCTAAAAGAACAGCCCGATTTGGATTTCCGAAATCCTGATGTGCAGGAAGAAATGAAGGTAAGCAGAAAGGAAGGCTACATTGGGTAGATGGCTTTAAATCACTGTGTTGTCCATTTAAACTTCATTCTAACTGTATGTGTTTCTCTTATTTCAAGAACATTATACGCTTCTGGTTGAAGAAAGGGGTTGATGGAATCAGGGTGAATGCAGTTAAATTTCTTCTGGAAGCTGAAAGTCTAAGAAATGAGGTTCCAGTGGATCCAAACCAGGACCCAGTAAGTTCCAGTATGGTTATTCACCCTTTAATATTACTATTAACTAGTCTGGGTCTCGCAATCGTATCAACTTTCACACAGTAGAACAACAAACCTTTTGAGGAACAAAGAACAACATCAAATTGGATTTATTTAGTGCCTATCACGTCAGGAAGATGTCCCAAGGAGCGGGACAGTGAAGGGTTTGCACCCGAACTGGGGGTTGGAATCGGGAGAGTGGGGGTTAGCAGTGGGAAGGTGACTGAAAGCACGGTCAAAGCGCAAGGTCTTGAGATGTGACTTGAAAGAAGCAAGGGAGTGCGAGGCGGAGGGGTGCAGGATGGAGTTCCAGATTTTTTTTGACGGGGGTGGGGAGTTTCTCTGAAGGTCCAATGGATAAATGTACTGTTCTGGTGCAACACTCAGCCATTCAGACCAGGTTCCAATCATTTAACCGCACGGAAAGTGAGAAGAGTCAAAAGCAGAATACAAGCAACCAGTGTTCAACGGTTATCCACTCCTACTCTTACAACTCGGATCGAGTTTGGTTAACCCCATACCAAGGGAACACAGGCCATCAGGAGGGAGGAGGGCATCAGAGCTGTCACCATCCCGGGCGGGCGGGCAGCCACGGCACGCAAGCCAAGGCCTCCCTGTATATGGATGATCTCACCGTCTTTTGTACAATAATCGGTCTGGAACCTGCTGCTAGGCATTTGCCACCGGTTTGAACGAGTCTCGGGAGCCAAGGACAACCGCCAGACAAGCCAGGTCATGTATTTGGAGACTTGTCCTCCTGGACCTCTCCACCGCTTTCGACACAGTCGATCACGCCATCCTCCTCCACTGCTTTTCCTCCGTCATCCACCTCAGTGGGACCGCACTCGCCTGGTTCGAGTCTTACCTCATGAACCGCCAGCAGTACATCTGTACAAACGGCTTCTCCTCCCACTCTCACCCGGTTACCTGTGGGGTCCCCCGAGGATCCATCCTTGGCCCCCTCCTCTTTCTGATCTATATGCTTCCTCTTGGGAATGTCATCCGCAGACATGGTGTACACTTCCACATGTATGCAGCTGACACCCAACTCTATTTTTCCACCTCTCTTTGTGACCCCCAGTCCCCTGATGTTCTGTCAGCTGCCTGTCAGATCTCAGGAGCTGGATGAGCGCAAACTTCCTTTAGCTGAACGTTGACAAGACGGAAGCCATACTCTTTGGCTCTCATCAACGTCTAAAATCACACGGTTCTCACCTTCTCCACCCACCCGACCTCCCGCTAAAACTCTCCGAACCCATACGCAACCTAGGCGTCATGTTCGACCCCCAATTATCCTTCCTCCACCACATCCGGTCCCTCACCAACAAGGCTTTCTTCCACCTCCGACGCATCACCCGTCTCCGCCAATACCTCACTCCAAAAGCCGCTGAGACCCTAGTCCATGCCTTTCTCACCTCTCGGCTGGACTATTCTAACTCCGTGCTCGCCGGTCTCCCATCCACTATCATCCATAAAATCCAACTCATACAAAACTCTGCCACCCACATTCTCACCTGCACCAAACTCCGCTCCCCGATCACCCCAGTCCTGGCCAGACTGCATTGGCTGCCTATCCCAGAGAGGATCGACCTCAAGATCCTTACTCTTTTGTCTTCAAGACCCTGCATTCCTCTGCACCCCCCTATCTCTCTGACCTCCTCTTTCCTCACAACATTACCCGTTGCCTTCGTTCCTCCGGGTTTGGCTTCCCCCTTGTCCCCCGAGTCCTCTGCTCCACCCTCAGTGGCCGTGCCTTCAGCCACTATGCCCGAGGCTCTGGAACTGCCTTCCTCACTCCCTTTGTCTCGTCCCCTCTCTTCCTATTTTCAGGTCTCGGCTGAAGTCCTTTCTTTTCGACCGCGCCTTTGGTCACTTTCCTCCCCCTCCCCCTGGCTTGGCCCCGTTACTGTAAAGCTCTCTGAGACGCCGTCCGGCATGGAGGGCGCTATATAAATCCAAGTTGTTGTTGTTGGAAAGAATGCAGTCAGTCACATGCCATTTGCTGTGAAGCCAGAACTATCAAAGTCCTCGGCATCTGGTTCAGGGACCGCTGGGCCCTGCCGAGAAAAACTGGGAGCAGCGTCTAGGCACAGGGAGGAAGAAACTGGTGATGTGGTGCCAGTGCTCACTGTCCATCACCGGCAAGCATCTGGTGATAAAGCGCGAGGCCCTCTCGGTGTTACTGTACTTGGCCCAGGTCTGGCCTTTGACCAGGAACGAGGCCAATGCAGTCACCAGAGAGGCCTTCCAACTGATCTGGGGGTTTGAGATGAATCGTGTCCTCAGAGACACGATGCACAAAACCCCGGGTAAGTGGGGGGAAAGGGGTCCCTAACGTAGCCCTGATCCTCATGTGTGTAGCCGCCTGAGGCTGTGCCTGGAGCCTCGCTACCTCGGCAACAAATGCCACCACGTGCTGAGTTTCTACCTGTAACCCAGCAAGTTTACCTCAACCACGGCAAAGGCAAGATGGAGCGCCCCCCCAAAAAAAGAAACGCTTGCACAAACCTATGCGCGGGGAAGGAATGTACCATAAACAACGGAATGGTTTTTGTATCGGGAGAAAAGGGAAAAATTGTAACAGGAAATGTTGTATTTGTTATGGATTTCTGTGGCACTCTATTATATTTATAAATAAATATACTTTTTTTTAAAAAAAGACCCACAGAAGGGAACATTTAAGAGAGTTTCTACTTACAGAGGGTTATTAGGATATGGAATGCCCTGCCACAAATGGTGGTTGGAACAGAAACTGTAATAGCTTTTTAAAGGGAATAAGTCAAATAGAAAAATAAATAAATGGTAAAATGTGAAATGGTATGGGGGGGGGGGGGGGAGGGATGGGGGGAAACAGGGAACCAAACTGATTGCAAGAGAGTGCGTTATGTCCTGTGAAAGCGCAGATCTGAGGCCTGAATCATGTAATCTTGTAGCCCGTAGATTATTTTGTCTTAATTTTAATGAATTCTTAATTTGAAAACTTGTTATCTGTAGTTTTTTAAAACGACTGATTTCCAAGTTAAGAATTTTCAACAGTTCTGTGCAAACTTCAATTTTAAGACAAAATGGTCTGATTGGAAATATTGTAATCTAGTTACCTTGGGGCTGTTTAAAACAAATCTAACTGGTTTTGCCCACAACAGAAACTGGGCTTTATTAATGAAAATTATGTTACTTCTCTAGAATAATGTCACGTATCATGAAGAACTCTACCACGACTACACAACCACACAGGTTGGCATGCATGACCTTGTCCGTAGCTGGCGCTATGTTATGAATGAGTTCAGTAGAGAGCCCGGCAGATACAGGTAAGCAGCTTTGTTGTGGTTTTGAGACATTTGGGACTAATCTGCAGCATATCTTAGTATGATTTGTTAATGAGGAATCTGAATCGTGCAAATGGGAATGTCTACTGGCAATTGGAAGAATGCTTCCAGGTGATCTATACCTTTGTGACGAGTTATTACGATAATAATAATCCTTGCATTTGTTATAGTGCCTTATCACATCATTGAGACATCTCCAAGTGCTTCACAGGATATAAAGGCCTGATATTCCACCTGGTGTTAGCCTATTAAACCTTAAACGTAAACATCACACAGGATCGTAAACAATACTTAAATTCAGTCTTGATTTGGAAGCTGTTATTTTTTGCAATTCTTAAATAAGATCCACAACAAGAGGTCACAGTCTCAAGTTCTGGAACAGAAAGGTGAATAGACTATTTAGATTTAAGTAGGGAATGAGAAGTATGTGAAACGGTTTATCCAGCGAGGCAATGGAGGCAGATAATAGTGATAATATTAACGGCAAATTCATTAAGTTTGTTATTGACAATAGGGATTGGTAGGGTCAGAGATAGAGATGGATCATTGAGATGCACCATAAAAATAGTTACTGGTCTTGTACATTCCTATATGTTCAAACAGCTAAGTAAACTTGATGTGATACACTAATAAGGATTAATGGAGCAAGCTATGATGAGATATGTTATGTGATTGTTAGGGAACAGAATAGATTCTAAACTATATTATTATTTCAGGTTTATGGTGACTGAATCCTACGATAATGAAGAGATTTTGAAGACCATGATGTACTATGGAACAGAGATAGAGGAGGAAACCGACTTCCCATTTAACTTCTACCTTATTGATCTTTATAAAGAGATATCAGGAAATGGAGTGTTTAAAATCGTGGATTCTTGGATGAGCAAAATGCCTACAGGAAAATGGCCAAACTGGATGGTATGTCTTTTCCTTCAAACCCTTCATGATTTGATAGTTAATAGCCTGGCCCATCAGTTTCATAGACAATTACATTATTTGTAAATTATAAAGAAATAGGATCAAACCCAAGTTCTTTATTTCCTTCTACCATCAATTAGAAAGTGGTTAAAAGGCAGTTTTCTCACAAGAATTTAAACCAGTCAGCCAGGCTCTTTGGCAGGATTTGGAGGGACAGACCTGGGGCAGGTATTCTTCCCACTCACCTCCTGTTTATCTGACAAGTCTAAGGTCTAACGCATAAAGTAGTCCTGGCTGGAAACTTGCCACAATGGCAAGCTAAAATCCAGCAGACTCCCAACACACACTCTGAGGTTTCCAAGCCTTGGTTCTCACCAACCATCACCTAATGATTTTCTGAATTAGTTGAGCAGCCTGTTCCTTTCAGGGAGAAAAAGCACTTTCAATTCCAGACACTGGAAAATTTCCATGGGTAGGTGGCATTCATATGTGGAACTCTCAGTCTGCTCTGGATTCTCTTAAACGTGGAAATGTTTAGACCCGAGTCAGACACCTGGGTGTCTGAAGAAGTTCACGATATTAGCATCAAGAACATTGTCTTAGAATTTAAAGCAGTGCAGAATTTTAGAAAATTCTCAAAATTCACAGAGAAGGTATTAAGGCTAAGACCGTAAAGTTTTCAGGCCTCAGATGATGTAGGCGTGCCAATAATATACTGTTATATACTTTTATTTCAAATGTGTAAATATTTTCTTAACTGTTAGGTTGGAAACCACGACAATCTACGCATCTCATCTCGCCTTGGTACAGCTTACACACAAGTTATTCACATGCTACTGCTGACTCTTCCTGGAACTCCTATCATTTATTATGGGGAAGAAATAGGAATGGAAAATATTGCTGTATCAAACGACAAGATTGAAGATCCTTTGGGGAAAGTTGATCCTGTAAGTGTTCCACTGAATTTTAATTTGTTAGACTTAGGGAATGTTTATGAATTGTGGAGTCCTGTAGCTCAGTGGTAAGAGCACTCGCCTCGCAAGCGAGAGACTTGGGTTCGATTCCCGACAGGATTTAATGTTGGACAAGTTCCCTTACTCCACACGCCTCTGTTTACCCAGCAATACGTAGGAACTCGGTTGTTAGTCGATCGACGGATTGCTTTTCCAGGGGTTATAATTCCTTCAAAAAATAATAATAAATTGGTCACTCAATCCACGACTGTTTGTGGGACGCTGCTGTGCACAATTGGCTGCCGTGTTTCGCCCACAAAATATACGGTCAATTCACTTTACAGTACATTCTATGAAGCGTTTTGGCGACATCTTGAAGACGTGATAAGGCACTATATCAAATGCAAGGATTATTATTATTATGCATTGGCGGTTAGCTGGTGAATGAATATCAGAGTGAAAGTTGGGTTGAGGTTGCAAAATGAATGCCAGGAGCCTCTGATGGCTGTAAACTGGCTTCATATTAGTGAGTGGATCTGGAGGGTCAGCTCCATTATTTATTAATCCTCTTGCGAATCTCACGAATTAAACCCGATGTGACCTGTGGATGTTTTCCCACGATATCAAATAAAACAGTGGAATTGTCTAACCTTGATTAACCCCGATGTCTCGCCTGCTTTTTAAAAAAACATAAACACAGACAAAAAACCGCGATCTGTCACGTTCACCGATGCAGTGGGACAACAGCACCAATGCTGGCTTTAGCACAGCAAACACAACGTGGCTTCCTGTCCACTCAAACTACACCACAGTCAATGTCGAAGTAAGTATCCCAATGACATTCATTTTGCATATACAAATGAGGTGGCCAATTGATTACAAAGCTAGGCTGGCCTCATCAGCCTCGTGTCTGGAAGGTGGAGTCCTGTAGTTTAGTGGTTAGAGCACTCGCCTTGCAAGCGAGACACCTGGGTTTAATTCCGGGCAGGGCGAAACCTTGGGTAAATTTCCTTACTCCACACGCCTGATAATAATCCCTCCAAAAGACAAAAAAAAAATTGGATCATTTTCAATCCATGACTGTTTGTGGGACGCTGCTGTGCGCAATTGGCTGCCGGATTTCGCCCACAAATGTACAGTCAATTTACAGCATATTCTGTGAAGCGCTTTGAGACGCCCAGAAGACATGAAAAGCGCTATATTAAATGTGAGGATTATTATTATAACCCAGTAAAAAGCTTAGTTAGTAAATTTAGTAAATTAGTGTCAACTTGGCTTACTTTCCTTTGAGTCATCAGCTCATGGGTTGAAGCTCCACAATAGGACATGAGCTCATAGCCCGGTCGATACTCTATTGCTGCGCAGAGGGAACAAATCACTCTCGAGAAGTTAAAATCAAGGCCCCGTTTAGTGTAACAATACTCAAAAAGAGAAGCTAGTCTCTCCTCGCCAATGATCTTCTGGTTGTTTAGTTCCTGACTATTTATGTGGATATTTTCTGTCTGCAAATTGACTGGTGTAGTTGCCCACAAATCCAGTTGCTGCCCTGGACAGCAATTACATATGAAGTTTTGAGCTGTTTTTGGTGCTATATTCAAACGCAAGGATTAAGAAGTGGGTAGTGGGTAAAGAAAGGTGAGAAATGGTTCACTGATGTTGCACTGAGGGTGGACCACATTAGTTTTCACAGAGAACAAATTGTAATTTCTGTGTATTATTAATCACGTATAGAAAGTTACACAATGGACTGGCCGGTGTTCCTACTCCACTTGAACGTCCACCCTTCTTAATCCCCTCTCCTGCTCTGCTCTACTCACTCACATATGCAGTTTTCTCTGAAACACATTGATGATTTACACTATTTTACAACAGTTCCACCATTGACCTTGTGTTGTTTGTCACAGGCACAAAAGCAGGCGAGTAATTCGACTTACAGGCTGTATCGTGAGCTCAGTTTGCTTCGCCAGATGGAGTTGCCCATTCACAGAGGATGGATGTGTTACGTGTGGAATGACACAGACGTGTTTGCGTATGTGAGAGAGCTGGATGGTTTGAACAGAGTCTTCTTGATTGTGCTAAACTTCGGCAAGACTTCAACAGTCAACCTGGCAAGCCAAGTCCCAGATCTTCCACCAGAAGCCAACGTGAGACTGAGCACCAATTTCGAAAGAAATGGCGATAAGGTGCAAACGTCACAGATAACGACCGACAGTGAAGAAGGACTTGTATTGGAATACACAACAAGTAACCCAGTCCATAATAGGGAAGAGTTCAAGGATAGGTGCTATATTTCACAGAAAGCATGCTACTTCAGTGCATTAGATATACTTTACAAGAATTGTTGATGTTTTTTATAAAACAAATCAGTTTATAAGCATTCTTCTGTTTCGCCAATCAACATCTATGCAGTCTCCAAAGAACAATAAATTACTCGAGTTAATTATATGATATATGGAAAGAAAAGTTCATTCAGTGGCTTGCGCAGACAATACACATAACTAAACCTGTTTCTGTGCCGATTTTTGTCCTTTCTAAATTCGTCAAAAATATTGTCCAATTTTTCTCAACAGGCACAGTTTTTTTTTTAGTGCTGTCCACATTTAAAATGTGCAGTCTGATAAACAGTCTAAAACCATGTCTCGATGCTGCAGTTTGCTCGCTATCCAAGTTTTATAGCTGTCAATGAGGAGTGAGAGGAATCAGATCCATTTTGACAGTGAAAAACAATCCAAAAATATTGGTTTGATACCAGTAAATAAACAAACAAACAAGCATCGTTGCTATCAAAGCTGGTTCCAGTTTATATGCATTCAGCGCTTGGAAGCGTCAGAAGAGTAGGACACCACGGATTTATGTGCTCAGATAGACCAGTGTTTTGTGTAAAGAGCATAATTAGGACTTTGGAACAGATCACAATTGTAAGCACTTTGTTAAGAATTTGCTGACAGGTTTCAGCTGCAGTTAACTGGAAATAATCTTTCCAATTCACACAGCAGTAAGTGTAAGTGCCAAATCTACTTGTAGAGAGGTTTCTTGGATCAAACGAGATTTATCAGTGGTTATAAAAATGATGACTGTGTTTTGCTTCCAGGAAGAGAGCAGCATGGGCACAGGATTGTGATCCCACGGTATGTAACGGTACCTGAGGGAAAGTAAAACAAAGAGCAGCTGAATATCGTAGTGGGGCAGGGAAGGGGAAGAAAAAGCAAACAAAAAAGCTACTGAGGAACATTTTAATCATCTGGAATTTTATTTTCATTGTTGTTTTGCAATTGAGAAAGTAGAAGTCTTTTAGTGAAGATAATACTCGATCTGTTTGCCGTGTTAAACGGGACTCTTATGGTTTGGGCCAATAGAAAAGTGAGTCCCCACTTTCTCCGTGGAATCCGCTCTTAACACCCCCTCCTCCGCTACAAACTCCCCCTCCTCCTCCGCTGCAAACACCCCCTCCTCCTCCGCTACAAACACCCCCTCCTCCTCCGCTACAAACACCCCCTCCTCCTCCGCTACAAACACCCCCTCCTCCTCCGCTACAAACACCCCCTCCTCCTCCGCTACACTCCCCCTACTGCTCCGCTACAAAGAACCCCTCCTCTGCAACCCTGTACACAGTGTGCTGGGTCCCAGCCTCTCGCGCTGTTTGCTCGACGCTGCTACTGTGGGTGGAGCGGCTCCGGTCGGAGAGAGCGAGGATGGAAGTAACGGCACGAGCGGGAAATCGGCTTCGCCCGGCGCCCGTGGCCTCGACTGAGATCCTGCCGCCCGTTCCTGGTAAGTGCCGTACTATTGAAATGAACATTTTTTGAGTATTTTAACCACACCTGCAGCTTCAGGGAAATATACACCTACAGCTTTGATCTGGGTAGCTTCACAAAGTGCGTCTCTCAATCGCACCGATCAACAAAATCTATCAAAGCCCCTCCCGCAAATATTTCCACACTTGTTAGGTTCACACCTGAAGTCACACATTACCTTCAGCACTGAGAAGGGCCAAACCTATAACTTGCTGATGAAGAGTGACAGTCATGTCCGCCCATCTCTACACAGCATCAAAACATCAAGGGCCTGAATTTCCATCGGAATTACAAGCTCACTGTGCTTGGTAGTGGTTCCTTCCATTCGACTACTCCCGTGCTATCGTCTTGTGCTCAAAACAACGGCACTTTTCCTCAGCTCCCAGGAGCGGGTGGCAGCTTTCAGCAACTGTACCTCAAAATAGAAGGGTGTCTGTGGCAGGTGCAGGGTAGCCTCAGGCTGTTAGGTGTGTTCCCCCTCTCCCCCTCCACTCAGAATAGCTGAGCACAAATAAACCAATATTTTTCTTTTTTAAAAAAAAAAGACCCAAACTGATATCCCTTCCATCCCCTCACCTCTCCTTTCTGTAGCTCAGTGGTTAGAGCACTCGCCTCGCAAGCGAGAGGACCTGGGTCCAATTCCCGGGCAGGGGGTGAAACGTTGGGCAAGTTTCCTTATTCCACACGCCTCTGTTTATCGAGCAGCAAGTAGGAACCCGGCTGTTAGTCGATTGGCGGATCGCTTTTCCGGGGGTAATAATTCTTTCAAAATAATAATAATAATAATCTGGTCACTCAATCCACGACTGTTTGTGGGACACTGCTGTCCACAACTGGCTGCTGTGTTTCACCCACAAAATACGCAGTCACTACACTTTGCAGTGTATTCTGTGAAGCGCTTTGAGACATCTCAAAGACATGATAAGGTGTTATATCAAATGCATATTTGAAGGCAATATTATTATTAACTCTTTTATCTTCCGAGACCTTGAGCACCAGTTACAAACACCCAGCTCCTCAGATTACACTGTAAGAAAGCATGGAACAAGCTCCATGTTTTCTTTTCTAGAAAACGTTCAGCAACAATTTCCCACAGACCCCCAGAGAGCACCAGAATATCTACCCTCACATCTTTGGCCGTGGCATTTCAATGATCCAAGCGGCTGATCGCACTGTAAACATAACTGAGGTAGCAAAGAAGTTCATCTCTGATAAGACTAGAAAAAATAAAAACATGTCATATTGGTGCACTTCAGAAGGGGACACGTGTAATCATTTAGGGTGCGATATATCTGCCTTCAATTCCCTTATTTGGATTGCTTAATTTACCCTGAGGGAAACTAAATGATGGATGGGTTTGTTAATTGCTCAATAGATAATGAAACACTGATTACAAAATTGATTTTTATCACCTACAACATCATGGTTTCAATTATAGCCCGATGCATAAACATGACATCATCTGTAAATATTATTTACTGACTTACTGATCAAGATGCACACAATAAATACAAAAAATAGGAAGTCATCTCATCCAAACAGATAATTGGAGATTTTTTTATTGACTCTTTTAGTCACATGAAAACATAAAAGTCAGGAGTGAGACATCAGATCTTGTGTTGTCGTTAACTGAGTGGTTTACATTGTTAAGCTAGGATTATGGTTTGGGTTCTAGCCTTTTGGTCTGTCTATACTTCAAAGCCATTAATATGCCACATAGACTATTCAACCACCAACATGTCTTGGACCTGACCAATGTTACCAGTCTTAGCTTCTCAGAGACAGTTAAAACCCAGCGAAGACTCTCCTTACCTCAACTCTCCTCCACTTCCCTCTTTTAGAGAGGAATACTCCTTTTATTGTCCTTGAAAGAACAAATTGGTTTAACAACTGGAATTCAAACCAAGATCCTTCTGGTTCAACCAGTCCTTAAAGGATAAGAAAATGCCATTCGGTCCACAAAAGCTCATCCCTTTGGTACATTAACTCTCCCAGCTTAGAAACTGAACCCAAAAAAGTCTTTCATGTAGAATTCTATGTCAACCGTTACATGAACTGTATCATCAGGAGCGACATCACCTACTTTTAACCTTCCCCTGAAAGTCATAGAGATTTTGCCAGGCACGTTCTTCCACTTCTAAGCCAAACCTGGCTATTTTGTAAGTCGCTGCAATACAGACCCTCCTCCAGCCTGCCTTTTAGAAAAGATTCCATTATGTTCCAGGTTACTGACGTCTTGGTTGTGACAGATTCTTGTCAGCAGACAGGCCACACATACGTTGGTATAGCGGTGGTATAGGGCTGCTTCTATACATCAAGACCCAGCGCTTTGTACAGAAATGCATAATGTCTGGCAACCTAAAATCAAAAAAGACAATATATAATTAGCCAAGCAGGACTGTGTAATTTCCACAAATATAAAGGATTCTTTTCACTGCAATAACATAGCATTATTTTCACAGGAATAACAATTACCACAAATTGTTATTTACTTGAGTTGGTACATTTTTAAATCGTTTTCGCCCTCCTAGTGGGAAGGATGATATAGTGATGGTCCTGTCAATCTGTCTTATCCACGTCAAAATGATCCAATAAATGGCTACTGGCAGCTCCCTGGAAAATCAAGTGTTCTTCCTTTCAATGTTGGGTTTATTACTCACCACACCAACCACGCGACTCAGTGGCTGCGTTTGCCAAATGCCTTACAACAGACCTTTTCGACCACAAAAGTTAATAAATACATTTCTCCGACTCGAAACACCAGACACGGAACAGCGGAAAGCAAAATCCATCGCTCACTTCGCGTATTGATTCTTCCCAGTCCGTCGAACCGAAATGAGCACCTCCAGGCTGGATATCCAACAGTATACCAGGCAACTCACCCTCATCTGTAAACAAGGAGAAAAACATGTTGGTTTTAAGAGGAATGAAATACAAGAAGTTGATTGACGTTCATCAGGTGATAGCACTCTCACATCAAGATCAGAATCAGTGAGTATTACGAGGGGATTTTGAGCTCCTTGTACAAGTTGATACTCAATGCTGGTGGAGTGTTGCCTTGTCAGAGGTGCTTCTGTTTGGATGAAACTCCAAATTGAAGTCCCTTCTACCTGTTCAAATGGACGTTAATGATCCTATGTCTCCATTCAGCATTTCTTTCCCAGTGTCCCGGTCAATTATCCTCCAAATAAAATTTGTCATTCACTTCTGACTGTTTGTGGGAAATTGCTGTGCACAAGTTAGCTGTGGTGTTCACCTACAAATAGTCACTACACTTTACAGAAAGTGCTAAGTGAGACATTCTTGATATTACAGACACTATAAACATACAAGGATTATCATTGTTACGGTTTTTAGAATCACTTTTATTTCTGTCAGAAAACAAAGTACAGGTAAATATTTCTATTTTTTCTGTTGCTAAGTCTAATGGGTCACCTGGTCGCAAGAGTTTGGGTTTTATCTTTTTATGTGATAAATAAAAAAGATTTAATGTAGCTACTGTTTCCTTTTATCCTAAGGTTAATCATAAACTGACTAGATTCCTGAGAGGGTAGTCAATGCCAGGACATGAATTAGTACTTTGAGATGTTTTGATGTTATAGATACTATATCAAATGCAAGGCTTATTGTGAAAATATGCTAACAATCATTTCCCATTTTGCTAGAAGTGTTCTTACCCATAATATAACAGGCCAATTGATCTCCTAAGGCATTGTAGATTTTTATGGTTCTGTAATTAACATTCAGGTCCACTGTTGGTAACTAAATGTACTCCACAGCTCGAATAAAACTCACAGAATACTTTGTTCCCAGAAACAATGTTCAATTACTTGTAGACTAGAATATACTTTGTATTGCTATAATTAAATTAAAATCATTGGGAGTCTAAATTAGCATTTATCAGCACCAAAATCTTGAGTCATGAAGTATTACTGTGGATTGCCAAATTACTACCTTGACTTATGGACCTGATCTAGAATTTAATTAGGTTTTTTTCCAATTTCAGTATATCGTTCACCTTTACAATTTGAAAGGCTTCACAAATTTCTATGAAGCAACACACCCAATTGACCTAAGCAGACAGCGTTTCTTCTGAATTACCAGTGCAAGTTTTCAACTAATTGTGTTTTACTGGATCAAAAAAGAACTTTGTCTGTCTCGGACTGCTTAACAAGGAATTCCTTAATAAGGAAGCCTGCTAGCACATTAGTAATTCTTGGCTATCTGTGGGACTTTGCTGTGTGTGAATTCTCATTCACTACACTTTATAGTATTATTATTATCATTCTTACTGTGAGGTCCTGTAGCTCAGTGGTTAGAGCACTCGCCTCGCAAGCGAGAGGACCTGGGTTTGATTCCCGGGCAGGGGGCGAACTGTTAGGCAAGTTTCCTTACTCCACACGCCTCTGTTAACCGAGCAGTAAGTAGGAACCTGGTTGTTAGTCGATTGGCAGATACTTTTCTGGTGGTAATAATCCCTTTTTTAAAAAAAATCACTCAATCCACGACTGTTTGTGGTGCACAAATAGCTGCCACATTTCACCCACAAAATATACAGTCAATTCACTTTACAGTATATTCTGTGATGACGTTTCGAAGAAATAAGGCGCTATATCAAATGCAAGGATTATTATTATTAATAGACAAAATCCTCCAATGGTTTTTTTTAGGGGGGCGCGGAATCCTAGCCTGGGATCAGGCTCATGAGTGTAAGACCCCTGCATTTCACAAATGCATCTTCGGTAAATTGCTTTGTAGAAACTATGGAGGAGAAACAAGGGAATGTACCCCCAAAAAAATATTCTGAAAGATCCTGTTATTAAAAGCCAAAGTGGCAGTTTGGCTCAGTTGACCGCACTTTCAACTCTGGATTAGTATTTTGTGTTTTCCTATCTTGAGAGCTAATAATAATAATATAATAATGCTTGCATTTGATATAGCGCCTCATCAAGTTGTTGGGACGACTCAAAATTCATCTGGGCATACTCAAAAGAAAATTAGGTTTGCAATAGATTTCTTTGTCAAATAGCTCATTCTTGAATTTGCCGAGAATATCTGTCTTCCCCACCCAGTAGCCTTTTATATCTGACCTTGTCTCGTGAAATTTCAACTAGGGTTTAGGTTATGTGTGTGCAATTGGGCTTCCACATTCGCCTACAAATACACAGCCACTCCATTTCACAGTAAATCTTGTGAAGCTCTTTTTGAGACGTCCTTCCGACGTGATGAGGCACTGCACCTAATGCTGGGATTATTATTTATTATTAATTGGGAAACCACAAAGCTGTTAACTTATAAAGAGAGTAATATAAATTGTTAATGATTACGAAATGAAGTACACTGAAAACAAGGCAATAAAGCTGAACTGGGTTCAAAGATTTCACTGAAGATTTCTACAAAATGTTTTGGTTGGACTGCGGGGAATGACTCCTTTACTGCAAATTTAAGTTAATAATCCTTGTATTGAACATAGTACCTATAAGGAGAGGCCTTGGGATGTCTTCCCGACGTGAAAGGCGCTGTACAAATGTAATGTTGGATTGTATTGTATGAACTGAATCCAAATAGTACATTCTTCACCACTTTGTTTCCCCGACCCCTTTTCTTCACAAGTCGTCTGTTTCCTTTGTTGTAAATATACTCAGTTGGTGCAGTACAATTGGAGCATAAGGCTTCTAACTCTTATTGGCACCTCTAGTATCAGCAGTCGGGCCTTCAGCCTTTCTGCCCCCACCCTCTGGAAATCCATCCCGCAGCCCCTCCAACTCGCCTCCCTTTCCTCCTTCTCAAGGTCCATCTCAAGACCTTCTTCTACGACTGCACCTTTGGCCATCTTCCCTCCTCCGCCCCCGCCTTACCCTTCACCCCTCTCTGATCCCAACCCGCAGCTTGGGTGCAAACCCCTCGTTGTCTAGTGCCTTGGGATGTCCTCCCAACTTGAAACGAGCTGTATAAATGCAATGTTGTTGTTGTTGCTGTTGTTCAGCGAGAGCCCACTCTCACCTCTTGCATTATGCTCGTGAGAATCAACGGCTACAGCATTCCGGAGTTTGCTCACGTATCTCAACACGCTCCCCAATAGCACACGCTGATCATCCTGGTAGGCCGTGATGAACATGGAGGGGTATCTCTGAAACGTTAAACAAGGAAAGTTTTACACACCGGTACAGCTATCAAACTCTGCCGGTACAGTGAGTGCCCTCACTTTGTATTTTTAACACAACAATCGTTGTGCGCAATTGGCTGCCGCGTTTCGCCCCCAAAATACACGGTCACTCCACAATATATTCTGTGAAGCGCTTCGAGACGTCCCAACGTTGTGAGAAGGCGCTATATCAAATCCAATGATTATTATTATTATTATTATTATGTAACAACTCGGACTTATGTAACAACTCTCTGCAGGATGATGTCTTGACGCACTTTGGAGAGATTTACCTGGAAACACGGACAATGTGGAAGAAAGGGCACTTAACAAGGTCCCGAAGGAAAACAGAATGGGAACACTGCAATCTGAAATGCTGCAAATGGCCAGCGCATCAAATCAGAAGCCGCAAGAGAAAAGGTTGGTTAATGGTGTCCTGACCAACAATCCCTCAGGTAAAATTGGTCATTCACTTCATGGCTGTTGGTGGGACACCGGTGCTACATTCGTCTGCAAATACACAGTCACGACACTCCGCAGTAAAATCCTGTGAAGCGCTTTGGGATGTCTTAAGGCGCTGTACAAAATAAAAATGAATAATAATCCTTGCATTTGATATAGCCCCTTATCACGTCATTGCGACGTCTCAAAGTGTATTTTGTGGGCGCAATAGATGCAAGGATTATTAACATTATTATTATTATTTCAGGTGTGACCTGACATCAGCACTGGGGTGGAGGGAATGTCAACTGCGCTTTCTCTAGATGGACCCTAAGGGAGGCAGTGTTTGCCAGTGTTTTAAGTCCTAAGAGAGAGAGAAAAAATAAACGTGAGAAAAACGTGAAACCAACCTGTGGCTTGATATTCTGATACGGACAGTAGCTCTTAATGTATTCGAGAAGATTCCTGTCAGTCAGAGGGTTTCCCCACTCCTCTTGCTCCTCAATCGTGAGAGGCAACGAAGGGTCCAGCATTGTATCAAGAACATCAAGGAAAGGAGCCTAAACACGGACGAGAAAACAAGGGCATCTTATTGAAGCATCCCTTTGGAACTCCATCCTAGTTCCTTCGCCTCGCTCCCTCCTTTCCCTCCTTCAAGGTCTCAAGACCCTCCTCTTCGACCGTGCTCTTGGCCACTCTCCCACCCTCCACTACCCCCACTTCCATCCACTCGCTCGGGCCAAAACCCACGTCTGCCCAGTGACTTGGGACGTCTTCCCAACGTGGAAGGCGCTGTACAAATGTAATGTTGTATTGTATTGTATGAACTGAATTCAAATAATATGTTTGACACAATCACAAACTCTACAACAAGCTCAGAAGAGTGGGGCGTGAGCTGCCTGGCTCAGCTAGCAGCACTCTTACCTCCGAGTCAAAAGTTTGTGGGTGCAAACACCCAAGACGGGACTTCAATACAGTGCTGGGGGGGGTGGGGGTGGGTGGTGCACTGCAAATGTTGGAAGGTACTGTTTAATTAGATTTAAATGTAATGGGCCCCGAAAATTTTTAACCGCAAAATGAAAATGTTTTAATAATAATAATAATCTTTGCATTTTGATACAGCGCCTTATCACGCCTTCGAGACGTCTCAAAGCGCTTCACAGAATATACTGTAAAGTGAATTGACTGTGTGTTTTGTGGGAGAAACGCGGCAGCCAATTGCGCACAGCAGCGTCTCACACAAACAGTCGTGGATTGAAGTGACCGATTATTCTGGATTATTATTTATTGATTTATTGAGTTATTTATTTTTGAAGGGATTATTACCTCTGGAAAAGTGATCCGCCAATAGACTAACAACCGGGTTCCTATTTACAGCGAGGTGAACAGAGGGGCGTGGAGTAAGGAAACTTGCCCAACGTTTCGCCTCCCGCCTGGGAATCGAACCCAGGTTTTACAATAGTGAATAAGGGGCCTGGAATGGTGAACGAGGCCTTTAATCATCACTGCAACACCGTTCAGTGTCCACAGGGCTACGAAAGGAACTTACTCGTAAAAGCACAGCCCTGATGAGATGGGGGTACGTGTTACACAGGGCCCCCGCTAAGACCCCGCCCGCACTGTTAGCCGCTAGGGCTGTCAGTCTCGGCTTGGAGTACCCCATCGTGTGCAAGTGGCTCACACCAGCCCACAGGTCCTCGGCTCCCTTGTGCTTCCTGTCCAGCCTCCCCGCTTCGTGCCAGTTGAGGCCCAACTCTCCACCGCCTCTGGGATGGAAAATAGACGAGTATTATTTTTTTTTAAAAAAAGCTTAATACAAGATCGTGTTACCCCTCCCCCACCCCCCACACCTCCACCGCCCGCTGCCTCCGCTCGGCCGGCTCCAGCCTCCCATTTGTCAGTTGTGCCCTCCCTTCGTTCCACCATCGGTGGCCGTGCCTTCAGCACCGAAACTCTGGAACCATTCCCCCCCCCACCCCAATCCCTCCGCCTTGCCCCCTTCCTCCCCACATTCAAACGCCACCTAAAGATCTTCCTTTTTGATCGTGCGTATGGTCACCTCCCACCCTCCCTCTCCCCCGTGGCTTGTTGTCAAGATGATGTTATCCCCCGTGAAGGACGCTGTATAAATGCAAGTCGCTGTTGCATTGTGACCTGCACTGAATTGGTGGAACATTTTCAAATGGAAGATCTTTTTTCTGAAGTGCATCAAAATACATCAGAAAGAATCTATTTAGACATATCACAAGTCTGATACCGTAGTTTATAATCGACAGGTTGCGCACACCTCGTGTAAACTGGGAGCTATCAGTATAATAATAATCCTTGCATTTGATATAGCGCTTTTCACGTCGGGTGGACATCCCAAAGCGCTTCACAGAACACACTGTGAAGTGAATTGACTGTATATTTGTGGGCGAACGGGGCAGCCAATTGCGCACAGCAGTGTCCCACGAACAGTCGTGGATTGAGCAACCAAATTTTATTGTTTTGTTTTGTTGAGGGATTATTATCAGGCGCGTGGAGTAAGGAAACTTGCCCAAGGTTCCGCCCTGCCGGGAATCGAACCCAGGTCTCTCGCTTGCGAGGGGAGGGCTCTAACCACTGAGCTACAGGTAGGTCACAAATGCACAATTATGTCATTCAAAAACAAGGGCAAGGATGGCAGAATCACCCTGTTATCCTTTCCATCGGTTGTTAAAATTAAAGCACCTGCAATTCTCTCTTCAGTTGTTTATCACAACCCACATATGAGACTCGCCCCATCTCCGTCAGTCAAGGTCTGGTGTCTGTGAATGCAACCGATTTCTCTTTCCTCCTCTTCTCCCTCCCCGCCCGACAACACTGTAAACAGCGTAAATAGTGCAAACAGCTGCTGTATGTATTTAATGGCTCAGACAGAACTCTCTTGGCCCTCGGACTCAACCTCACCACCTTCTGACTAACGCACTTCAAGTGCTCTGGGACGCTACCCTGCATGATGGGCCCTACATAAATGCAAGTTGTTGTTTTCTTCTCTCAAAGAGCCTCAGCTTCTATTTCACACTAAGCTTTAACCCTCGTTCACACCAAATGTGGCAGAGAACTGGGGCCTCAGTTGACAAGGAGCCAACTCTCCCAGCGCTTGCAGGTTGTAAAAAGAGGGGGAAAAAAATGATGCTGCCCGATATCATGGAATGTAACGACACTTGCCTTCATGATAGAGATGTGTGGGAGGCAGGAGGGGGGGGAAAGGGGGTCATTGAAGGGAAGAGCCGCACCACGGGATAATAGCAGACAGCTCCAGTGGGGCGGGAGGGGGGGGGAGAACAGCATTAGCACAGACTGGATCTGCCAAAAGGCCTCCTGTACTATAAACTTTCTAATGACCACATCATAAATTATTTCAGAATTTGAAGTGTTTATCTTCAGCCACTTTCTCTGAAGGCTATAAAAAAATGTTACAGGGTAAGGATTTTTCTTTAGCGCGTGTGTGTGTGTGTGTGTGTGTGTGTGTTGGGGGGTGGGGAGCAGGGGGAGGTGGAAACAGAAACAGAGAGCATTTAATCACCCTGGATTACTGAGGACTTGGTGGACACCATAATAATAATCCTTGTATTCGATATAGCGCCTTATCACATCTTCTTCTTGACGTCTCAAGGCTGTTCGCAGAATATACTGTAAAGTGAGTTGCCTGTACGCATTCTGTGGGCGAAACGCGGCAGACAATTGCGCGCAGCAGCGTCCCACAAACCGTCGTGGGTTGGTTGAAGCCACCGAATTATTATTCGTTTTTTTGAGAGGGATTAGATGTTTCCATCATGGACGTGCAAACACAGAGGGCTACATTTTGTGACCATTTGTCCCGGGTCGGAGAAATCACCAACCTTGTCTCTCGACTGTCTCCAGCACAGCAAAACCCCCAATACAAAGCCAAAAGTTTTTTTTTCAGTGGGTGGGTGGTGGGGGGTTCGGGGGGGGGATGAGTCCATTAAATTTCAACCAGCCTCATAACAGGGTCTGATTCCTGGACATCGTGATGTCAACCATCGCACGACTGGTGATGTCGCTGCACATTTTGCCGAGGAAGTTGCCTGACGGGCCAGTGTTATAAAGGGGCACCTTATAAAGGTAGATGACCAGCCATCTTAGGCTGGTTTCTCCTCACCCCTCACCGCCCTCTGGTGGAGGAACCTGAGACCCACGGCTGAGGCTCTCAGGCTGAACAGGACTTGTGATTCCGTTCTGACTGACACGAGTTCACGGTCTAAGCTGAGACCCCCAGTGCCGACGGTGGAGCACTTCAGTGCACAGAACGGCTGCCGCCTTCAAAACCCAGCCACTACACGTGAGTAACTATGAAGCACTTTGACGACGTTATAAAAAGTCCTTTCAGCTGGTTGGGCCAGTGCTACGGGACGTCCTCCTGACGTGAAAGGCGCTGTGCAAATGTAATTTGTTGTTGTTGAGGTTGGAAAGCACGGAAGGAAAAAAAAAATGGCCATTTTGTTTATCAAACCAAATAATGATAATGATAATAATGAACCTTGCATTTGATGTAGCGCCTTATCACGTCTTCGAGACGTCTCAAAGCGCTTCAGACAACGGGACAACTTCACCTCTGAGACACAACGTAAAAATCGTAGGCCGGGGGCCTATTGGGCTCATCAAGGTCATGTTGGTGACACTTCCACCACTGGAGTAATCTACTCTAATCCCGATTCCCTGCTCTTTTCCGCCCCCCCCCTTATTCTTGCCGAGGATATTAAAACTGTAAAACACTTGGGAACAAGCGAGGGGAATCCTCAACCTCACTTCTTTTCAACTTGTTCGTGTTGTTGTGCGTTATGGGACTTGTAGCCCTGCACCTTCACGATGTGGGGGCTGGTGGGGATGGTACCAATATAAGCGTTCTGGAACACTGCCCCGCATGAGGGGCGCTGTATGAATTCAAGTTGTTGCTATATAAAAAAAAGAGCATTCTACACAATCTGACTTGTGGCGTTTGGCCTCAAGCATTGAAAATAAATCCCATTTTAAAAAAAAAGACCGGTTACGTTACCTAACATGACAATAAGCTAAAACCCAGTCATCTTCCAGCAGCACCATCTGCTCCGGTTCGAAACCCAGATTCAAATCCATCCCATAGGCTCCGTAAACCTGCACCAGCAGTGGCCTCTCCCTCAGAGGCTTTGGCGACCGTCGCTGAAATACTGTGACCGGCACCAGCGTACCGTCCTGAGAGAGAGAGAAAAAAATATTATTCCTATTAGGTGGTGAAATGTTGCTCAACGGTGTTACACATTTCTGGTTTACGATCTGTGGAAAGCGCATCGAATGCAAGCTTAGCAACTGATGGTGTTGTCCTAGAAATTACAGCACAATAAGAGGTTCGTTGAGCCTCTGTTGTGTTGTCACTCAATTGGGATTTGCCCTTTAGCCAATAGACCCAGACCCAACGTTCAGCCTACAATATCAAATGCAAAGCTTATTATTATTATTATTATGGCAGTGACAAACCAAAGTTTATCTTTTATACGACAAACCTATTTGTAATAGTAATCCTTGCATTTAATATAATGCCTTATCACGTCTTCTAGATGTCTCAAAGCGCTTCACAGAATACACTGTAAAGTCAACTGACTGTATGTTTTGTGGGCGAAACCCGGCAGCCAATTAAGCACACAGCAGAGTCCCACAAACAGTCGTGGATTGAGTGGCCAATTTTTTGGGGTATAATTTACAGAACTACAAAATCATTACACTTTGCAGAAACCCCTATGAAACACTTTGAAATGACTTCCGGGGCGGGTGAAAGGTAATTGCAAGAATTATTATTAAATTCTCAGTAAGGCTAGCACTTTAATTCTGGCCTTCATCAAACCCTTGTCTTTTTTTTCCCCTGTGAACTCAGAACTAAACGGAAACTGGTCAATCTAATTCTCTTGCCTCTGTGCCAGCCGCTACCCTGGTGGCACTTTGGCCTTACCTCGCTGGGCACCTCCAATCGCTTCACGTTGTAGTCGCTAATCACGTTTGACCCAGTTTCATCCTCTTGGATATAGAGCCCGTCATCTTCGACCGAGTAGACAAAGCTTATTGGTGGCTGCACTGGAGAGGAGAGTTGAAAGGAAAACTCATTTGCCTTGTGCTTTAGGCTAGCCTCCGTCTCAATGGTGCAAGCCCAGGCTGGTAGCTGTGAGAAAGAGAACCATTTAAGTAATTATACCCAAACTAAATGAGAAGAGTGAATATGGCACACTAACATTAACTCATTGGAGCCCAACCGAGCACAGGAACAGGCCATTCAGCACATCGAATTGTGCTGAATAATGAAGCACATTAAGCGCTTTGGGACGTCCTCCCGACGTGAAAAGCGCTATATCAAATGCAAGGATTATTATTATTATTATTATCGAGCCTGTTCTGCCAGTTCAATAGATCATGGCAAATTTTCCAATCGCATTTAAACGATATATATACATGTAGATACGCTTGAGCTCCTCGGCTCTAAGGAATACAAGGCGTAGGGAGAAAAGAAGGGAAATGGGTTGGAAAGGACAGCCTTGAGGCGCTGAGGGGAACGCCTCTCACGCTCCTGTTCCTTATGTCTTCGATGCAACTCTTCGGGTTAAGTAGAAATTCCTTGCATACCTGAACGGACTTAACAGATTCCGGTTCACGGAGGGAAAAGACATCCATGTGCAAGCGGCCTCGACACTTCAACAGCATCACGCAATGATCCTCCAGGAGCTCCATGTCAACCAGCTTGGCTCGCTCCCTCACAGCAGACACTGTCTGCCAGCTCTCTATTCCAGGGGAAGAAAGAGGCGTCTTCACCAGCTTTTTCAAAAGAAACCAAAGGCAAGGTTTTAAATAAGATAATAATAATAATAATAATAATCCTTGCATTTTTATCAATGCTCTTCGAGACGTCTCAAAGCGCTTCAGAGAACTAACTGTATATTTTGTGGGCGAAACGCAGCAGCCAATTGCGCACAGCAGCGTCCCAGTCATGGATTGAGTGATCAATTTTTTTTTATTTTTGAAGGAACTATTACTCCCGGAAAAGCGATCCGCCAATTGACGAACAACCGGGTTCCTGCTTACTGCTGGGTAAACAGAGGCGTGTGGAGTAAGGAAACCTGACCAAGGTTTCGCCCTGGAATCAAACCCAGGTCCTCTCTCTTGCAAGGCGATTGCTCTTCCATGCAGGACAGACACCAAACAAATTGGTAAGCCGGGAAGTGTGTGTGTGGATAGGAGGGGAAGCTATTGCGGAGGTAGGGTGAGGTAAGGGTATGCAGAATCGTTTCAGTGCTTCACAAAAGATATTTAAAAAAAGAATACAAGAAAGGATTTACAATATAAAGATTTAAAATCGTAGCAGAGCACGATGAAGCATCGCGGTTGAATACTGAATGGTTTCTCCAATAAATATTGCTGTGGAGTTCATAATGTGCCACAATCCTATTTTGCATAACACTATATAAATCCTGAGGCTCTAAATGGACACAATACTTGTCCAGCTATGGAATGCAGTACAACCCCAGGAGAACATAAAGTAGATCTCATCACGGTGGAATGCCCACAGGTCAACTTGACACATTCCCATTCACTGAAGAAAAGCACGTTCAGCCCTTAGGACTTACAGTCCTTAGTGAGGAATTTCATTTAGATAGTATCTCAAAATACTTTGCAGAGGCACAGTGGGAAGAAGAACACGGTTGGAAGTTGGGGGTCAGGAGGGAATTGACCGACGTGTAGGTTTTTAGAAGACTTTCAAAGTACTTGAGGGAGAGTGCGAGTCAGGGGGATGTGGGAGAGAATAGCATGGAATGGGGACATAGGGGCTGAAACCTTATACCCCACATTGGAGTTGAGTTTGTGCGTCAAACTGGCACCAATGAGATAAGCATAAAGTGTAAAATACTGCTTGCCTGGCTGCACACGGCTCTACCGCCGGAGGTGAAGCCCCATCGTGTGCTCGGTAGCACAAGGTCAGGGTGAGACTTACCTGATATTCTTTAGTTGCTCCCCAATTCGTCAGAATGTATAGCTGATTCCCCCAATGCTCTACATGGTAGATAATCCCAGGAACCCGCTCCTGCACAATCTGAAGCTGGCCCAATGGTTGGCTGCAGTCTATTAACCAGACCTCTGAGCTGCTTTTACTGTTGCTGTTCACAGTGACAAATCTGCCATCTTTAGTGCTGATCACCTCCACAAAAAACCTGGAAGCCATTGCGGGGTGGAGTGGGGAGAGGGCATTGGAGGGAACAAATAGAGTCTGTTTAAGACACTTGATTTGGCTGCACTTGATATTTGCTTCCACTACAGAGTCACTACTAGGCAGAAATTCCACCTGGGTCGAGATTTATTCTATTTACGTCACATTTCAGAAAATATTAAATATTAAAAAATTCAAGAGGGTCTTGAATTTGATTGATTCTTAAATGCAACCTTAATTTTGAAGTCTTTTTTGGGGGGCAAAAGTTCTTTTGAGAGCTGCAGAAAATTCGACTTCAAAGTTAAAACTAAATTCAACAATTTGCCAAATTTTGGATACTACATCATGAGAGTGAATCTAGACCCACGAGAAGCGCTTTGAGATATTTTGACTTAATAATATTAATAACAATAATAATCCTTGCATTAGATATAGCGCCTTATCATGTTTTCGAGATGTCCCAAAGTGCTTCACAGAATATACTGTAAAGTGAATTGACTGTATATTTTGTGGGGGAAACACAGAATTGACCCTCAATCGGTTCGAATTAGGTGCGAAAACAAAACTGCAGGAGCATTGAATATATAACGAGGCAGCAATTACCTGGGATCTTTTTCCCTGTAAACCACTTCGGGTGTTACTGCATTGCTCGCCAGCAGAAGTCGAAACACTTGTTGGGACTTCAATTTCTCCGCAATGGTATAAAACAGAACATCATCGGTCCCCCATTCTGCAGTAAGCAAAACAGCTGATTTTGATTGATTTTTAAAAAAGACACACACACTCGAATACCAAGAATGGAGATTTTTCGCTGTCATTAAAAATTTAAGGTAGTGAGAGAGAGAAACAAAATCTTAACGGTGACCAGGGTGATAGGAAGACCCTTGAAACGCATACTTTGTGGCCACACTTTTCTAATTATTGGTTCTCAGGCAGCTTGTTGGAGGGGGAAACCTGAGCAGGAAAATATCAAGGCTCATATTTATTCCATGGGATTCGGTCATTGTTCTCCAATATATCTGAAGGAAGTACACTGAACTGAAAGTAATAATGATAATAATAATCCTCTCATTTGATACAGCGTCTTCGAGACGTCTCAAAGCGCTTCACAGAATACACTGTAAAGTGAACTGACTGTATATTTTGTGGGTGAAACGCGGCAGCCGATTGCGCACAGCAGCGTCCCCACAAACAGTCGTGGATTGAGTGATTTTTTTTATTTGTAAAAAGGGATTATTACCGCCGGAAAAGCGATCCGCCAATCGACTAAAGACATGGCCACCAATGGTGGAGCGGAGGGCACGAGGGACAAATAGGAACCCAGAGGCAGCGAGCGGGTGGTGGAGTAGGGGGGTGGCGGGTAAGCAGGTCGGAGAGGTAGGGAAGTGCGAGGGAATGAGACGACGCTTTTCATCACTTTCACTTTGAACGCTCAGTGAGCTGCAACCAACTTTTTGAGGACCCGAGACAAGCGAACGGTGTTCTCGCTCACTCTCACCGAAGCTGAAGACTCCTGGCAAAACATGCGCCACCTCCGGTCTTGCCCCGAGCCTGACCACGACACAAAACGAAGCCTCCTCGCGCGAAGTGCGGACACCGCACGCCAAGTACTTCTGCCCCGGTGACACCCTAATGCGCTGAAAGTCGGCGTCTTTAGGGCGAAGGAACCTTAACTCGTCCAAACGTAACACGACTTCAGGGAGGCGGACACCTGGGGGTGGGGAGAGGGAAAGAGAAACAATATCAGCCCAGTCCTGGTTTCCTCAACACTTTGTAAAGTTTTAGCAGTATCCAGTCTCCTTGTGAACACTGGTGCTGGCTGCAGTCTGAGCAGCACTTAAGTACTTTGCCTCCTGCAAACCTGGACAATGATGGGGGGCAATCCTTCACGCCGGTGGGTGGGGGGGTGGGGGGAGCGGGAAAAAAAGCGCCGCTCACACCATCTCACAACGAAACACTTTACCATTTGGGATTCTGCACCGATAAATGCAGCCGCCGTCTTCGTAGTACACAGTATCAGCGATCTGCAGCTGTCCAAAACACAAGGCAAAAAGTTCATCGTTCTGATTGCAGGTTGCACACGTTTCCCAGTCACGTGCCACAAAACCTCAGGCGCCACTCGACAGAGATTTGGCAACACAAAGCGGGTGTGACACACCTGGACATCTGACAAACCTGGTTCAAGATATTTTTCACGGGTTAAGAAGATGGTAAAGATTCCCAAAGGATCTGGGTCAAAGTTTTTCGGTCACTTTCAACATTTTATCAACCCTTACCTAAAAATGTATACATCTAGGGCAAACGACAACAACAACAACAACAAAATTACATTTGTAAAGCGCCTTTTACATTAAATTAATTGACAAAATTACATTTGTGTACAGTTCAAAATCTGCAACTAAAGTCTGTTAGATTATGTGAGACTGGGGCAGGTGAGGAATTCCTAGAGATCAAAGGACAGAACGACTTGGTATACAAGAGGGTGATCCTTGCACCCACATTACGTAAGTGTCAGCTTGGCTCAGGTGACAGTCCGCCACAGAGGGCTGTGGGTTCAAACCCCAGGTTGGGATCTGACTTCACGGTCTAGGCTGACGTTCCAGCGCAAAGGAGGTTGCATTGCCAGTGATGTTGAACTTTGGATGAGACATTAAACCAAGCTCCCACCTGCCCGCCTGCTCTTCAGGTTGATGTTAAAAATCCCAGTTTACTATTCCAAAAGGGAAACATGTTTCTTCCAGTGTCCTGTCCAAAAATGCTTTAGATAAAGTGGTTATCGACACCATGGCTGTTTGTAAGATCTCGTTGTGTGCACGATGGATGATAATAATCCTTGCATTTGATATTGCGCCTCATCACATCTTCGAGGCTTCTCGAAGCGCTTCACAGTATATACTGTAAGTGAATTGACTGTATATTTTATGGCCAAAACGCGGCAGCGTCCCACAAACAGTTATGGATTGAGCGACCAAATTATTTTTTGGGGTGAAGAATGCCACTTTGGTACCCAAAAACAGTCTCCACATTTGACAGTAATTGAGTGAGTTGAGACACTTTGACGTTATAAGGTGTTCTAAAATTCCAAGTAGCTTCTTTCCAACTTTAGTCTATTTATTTATAGCAGGTTACAAGAGGCACAAATGGCTCATGCGTGGCAGCTTGTAAAAGTTACCCAGCTGCTGCGACACGCGGAAATTATGTCGGCAGCTGGGTGAAAAACAGACCTATTTATAATAATAATATTCGTTGTATTTGATATAGTGCCTTATCACACCTTCAAGGTGTCTCAAAGCGCTTCACAGAATATACTGTAGTAAATTGACTGTATATTTTTAGGGATGAAACGTGGCAGCTAACTGCGCACAGAAGCGTCCCACAAACAGTCGTGGACCGAATGACTAAATCCTTTTTTTTGAGGGAGTATTACCCCCTGTTAGCGATCCGCCAATCAATCGACAACCGCCAGACAAACGTGCATGTGGAGCAAGGAAACCGGCCCAAGGTCTTGCCCCGCCAGGGAATTGAACCCGGTTCCTCTCACTCGCGGATCCTTCTTATTGAGTTAGTTACTGATAAGTTATTTGCATAGAATACAAAGGCACATAGAAAGGAAAGTCTAATCCTCCTCAAACCACCTCCCACCCAATATTCTAATTACACTTCGCTCCTTGTGTGGCTTCTCAGCTTGATTCTCACAGGGCCAGCTTATTCGACGGGCCTGTGGGGCGCTCATGAAAAACAAACTGAAAATCCCTAATAGTTTTTAAATAATAATAATACTAATCCTTGCATTTGATACAGCGCCTTATCACGTCTTAGAGACGTCTCAAAGCGCTTCACAGAACATACCGTAAAGTGAATTGACCGTATATCTTGTGGGCAAAATCAGCTGTTTTCAAACACGCAAAGTTTGTAAGGGGGGAAAAAAAAGGTGTAGAGATCGATAAGGAAGTGACGAATGAAATAATAAAATTGTTTTTGTCTTTAACTATTTTTAAAAGTTGTGAAAAAAAATCAACAGCTGTGGCGTTAGCTTCAGAGTGATATGAAAGCAGCAATTTTTTACTCACAATTTTAGGACTGTCATTTGTGGAGATGTATTTGTTAAAGGTTGCTTCAAGTCTCTTCTTCAGCTTTACCTCCAGCTCACGGTACTCATGTGACTTAGATTTGTAATATTCTAGCTCTGATTGCAAAATTTCCTGGACCTGGGCAAAAAAAAAGTTAAGTTTCATCAGAATTTTTTTTTAGTCGTTAAGTTGAAACCCCAAGGATAATAATAATCCTTGTATTTGATATAGCGTCTTATCAAGTCTTTGAGACGCCTCAACGCTCTTCACAGGATTTATCGCAAAGTGTAGTGACTGTGTATGTGGAGGGTGATGTAATAGTAAGACATTGCATTGTGCTTCTCTATTCCGTCCCGTCCCGCCATTAATAACTACACCACGGTGGAACTCTCTCCCAAAATACCCGCCCCTTGCTCTTTCCATGCCTGCTTTCAAAACCATTTCAAAAGCAAAAATACTCTCGCATTATGTTCATGCTTTTGGTTAAAACCTTTTTGTTCTCCTTCCTCTCTTCACTGCTCTGCTCTGCTCTGCCCTGTTCATTCTGTGAAGCACTTTATGAGATATTCATCCTCGTGAAAAGTGCTCTAGAATGCAATTTGTTGTTGCAATCTGTCTCAGTATATTTGAATCATTTGGATTGGATCTGACTGTTTTTGTTTACATATAAACTTCTCATTTGTGAGCAAGATTCAGTTGTAGATGTGACTTCTTTCCAAAATAAGCCAGAATAGGGAACGTAGGAATGGGAGAAGACTCAGGCAGCCCATTGAGCCTATTCTGGTATTTATGAAATTACCTGAAGATCTTTTAATCTTGTTTCTCTGCCTAATCTCTATATCCATCAATGACGTGAAAGCCGATATACAAATGTAATTTTGTTTTGTATAGTCAAGTATCCACCTGCCTTTTAAAACGTTGTCAAAGATATTCTTGTTAATTTTGAAAAGTATGTTCCACTCAAGACTGGTTGTATTTGATGCTGTGATGGATTGGACATCTCTGCTGCAGACAGTTCAGTCTGTTATGGGACCGATGTGCAGAGTGAGGTCCTCCAGGGGAGAGAACATGTAATGATGAGCGTGGCGATTGGACAGATTGACAGTCTAGTTTGATACTTGTCAAGTGCTGGCTTTTTGAAGAGATACTGAACTGAAGTCCTGTCTCACTGTTTAGGTGAACATTAAAGATCCTATTACCGTATTCAAAGAAGAAAGGGTATCTCACACTGTCATAGTCAACAATCCCACGGAGGACGTCACAAAGGGCTGAACAGTAAGGCTGGGGGTCTGAGATGAGTATATTGTCTTATGATGGTAGGAGGATTGTGACAGGCAATATTCAAAAAACAGTATGCAAAGTACTCATAAATAACTGCTGGAGAGTGAATACATAACAATACTGGTAACTGTATACAGGCTCTGTCCAGCTGTGAGCACCCTACATGTTGAGGCTTTTTGCTTGCAAGGCTGAAGCCACACTCGCAGGGTCGAACCTCCCGGTCTCATTGATAATTCTGACAGGTTGGACAATCATCAATGCCTTTGACAAACACGTCTCCTGGGAGACTCCACTTGCGTCCCCTATCTGAGCTGATCACCAAGTGGTACAATAGAGCCCAGTGTATGAAGGGTATGAAATACTCACCTGGTTATTAAAACTCCGAGTCATTAAACCACTCCTTTCTACTTCCGCTCTTCTGTAGCCTTTCATAAGACAGCTGACAGTCCTGACACTGGAATCTAATGGCCTCCTTTTGGGCAGATTCCATCTTCGAATGGAGAGGAGCGCTGAAAAGCTTATGGGCTGATAAATACCCAGTTTTGCTCTTTGTAGCAAAACTGCCAATCGGGGCATTTTTTTTTAACCATTCGTCTGTACTGTATATGTTTAGAAAATCAGCACTTGTTACGAAACTGCACAGGGCATCCAACCGTTGCTATGCCTGGAATCGCCCTGTAGACAAGAACAGTTATTACATGTTATACTTCTTATGCAAACATTTTGCATGCAATTCAAAGAGCAAATACACCTCAGAAAGCAAACGAGGGTCTGTCTCCCGGGCCCCCGTCGTTCACTCATTCGATTCAATTTAATTGGCCATCGCGTTTCACCCACACCGCGCGGTCACTCCACTTTCCAATGCATTCCGCCATTCCCCGTTGCTGAGACGTTTCAGCGACAACGATAAGGCGCGATATCAAATGTAAGGATTATAATATTATTATTATTATTATTCACATCCAGTTGTTCGGAAGCCTGAAATCAATCGCCTGAAGATCGGAACTCTTGTCCAGAGCTATGAAATAGCTATGAAATGAAATGAAATGAAATGCGCGTCCGGGGTACGTTACTTGTTTTGGGGGATGTTTCGCAGACGGTTACAGACGGTAAAGAAAACGCAACAAGTGGGCGAAGCGCCGCTCCCACACTCCGCATTCACATCCAGATGTTGAGAAGCCTGAAATCAATCAGAGCTTCGGATCGGAACACCGGGACTCAGCCCTACAGCAGCGAGTGATCCAAACATCTCCTGTTTCTTCTTTAAAAAAAATAAAAATAAGTGAATAAAAAAAAACTTTATTTAGAGGTAACAAAACGCAGTGGGGGACCCTGAGCACTTACTCCACCCACACACACACCCACCCCCACCCACTCCACCCTGACCCCCCCACACCCTCACCCCCACCCACTCCACCCTGACCCCCCCACACACACACCCCCACTCCACCCTGACCCCCCCACACACACACCCACTCCACCCTGACCCCCCACACCCCCACCCACTCCACCCTGACCCCCCACACCCTCACCCCACCCACTCCACCCTGACCCCCACACACACACCCCCACTCCACCCTGACCCCCCCCACACCCCCACCCACTCCACCCTGACCCCCCCACACACACACCCCCACTCCACCCTGACCCCCCCACACCCCCACCCACTCCACTCTGACCCCCCCACACACCCCCACCCACTCCACCCTGACCCCCCCACACCCCCACCCACTCCACTCTGACCCCCCCACACACCCCCACCCACTCCACCCTGACCCCCCACACCCCCACCCACTCCACCCTGACCCCCCCACACACACACCCCCACCCACTCCACCCTGATCCCCCACACCCCCTCCACCCTGACCCCATTCACCCACTGATCCACTCACTCATTGAACCCCATTCACAAAGACAACAACACATCCACTGCCTCCAGAGGTGCAGCAAACTCCAGACTGAACCAATCGATCCCCGAGCGAATGTTCCCCCGCTCCCCCCCCGCCCTCTCCCCCGCCCCCCGCCCCGCGCTCCCCCCCCCCCCCGCGCTCCCCCCCCCGCCCCGCGCTCCCCCCGCGGCCGCTCCCCAACACTACCCACCGGATTACAATGGGCGTCCCGGGTGGGCGGATGGTGAATCCCGTCTCGTTCGCTTTGGTCTGGTCGGGTTTGGGCCTAACCCCGGGGGGGCGGGGCCTGTGTGGGGCGGGGGGCGGGGCCTGTGGGGGGGCGGAGCCTGTGTGTGTGGGGGGCGGGGCCTGTGTGTGTGTGGGGGGGGGCGGAGTGAGTGAGTGATGGGATGGGGGCGGGGCCTCTGTGTGTGAGAGAGAGCGCGGGGGGCGGGGCCGGAGAGGGGTCGGGGGGGCGGGCGGGAACCCGCTGAACCGGAAGTAAAACAAAGGCACGCGGGCCGGCGGCTCGGCCCCCGGTGACGACTCGCGGCCGTGTTCAGTCCGGGGCCGTGACGCGGGGAACCGCCGTGACACCCCTCGCGCCCTCCAGCTGAACACGTCGCTGTTCGGGCTTTTTTTTTGGGGGGTTTTGCCGATTGTCCGCAGACCTGTACCTCTTTATATTTATTATTATTATTATTATTATCGAATTTGCGGTGGGTGGGTGTCGCTGACGGGGAGTCTCGGCTGTGGATGGACCGCGGCCCCGGCTCTGCTCGGCCAGGTGACGGCTGCCATGGCAACGGGAGCCACAACCCGGCCCGAGGCCGCTGGCAACTGCTGCAGAGGGTAAGAGCCCCCACACCCCCCCCCACCCGCTCAGCCCGGCCAGCCAGGGGGCAGGAGAGTGTGTGTGTGTGTGTGTGTGTGTGTGTTCGGTAGCATAGGGCAGTGGTGTGAGTGGCAGTGTTGTGTGTGGCAGTGTTGTGTGTGGCAGTGTTGTGTGTGGCAGTGGGGTGGGGCAGTGGTGTGTGTGGCAGTGGGGTGGGGCAGTGGTGTGAGTGGCAGTGGGGTAGGGCAGTGGGGTAGGGCAGTGGGGTAGGGCAGTGGTGTGAGTGGCAGTGGGGTAGGGCAGTGGGGTGTGTGGCAGTGGGGTGGGGCAGTGGTGTGTGTGGCAGTGGGGTGTGGCAGTGGGGTGGGGCAGTGGTGTGTGTGGCAGTGGGGTGTGGCAGTGGGGTGGGGCAGTGGTGTGTGTGGCAGTGGGGTGTGGCAGTGGTGTGTGTGGCAGTGGGATGGGGTAGTACGTGGGTTGGAGTGAGGTTGTATACGAGTGTTGTAGTAAGGGTGGCAGTGGGGTGTGTGTATGAGAGTGGGGTGTGGGTGGGAGTGTTAGTGGCAATAGTATGTGAATGGGTGGGAATGAGGTGTGTGTGTTTAGGTGGGAGAGAGGTGTGTGGGTGGGAGTGAGGTGTGTGGGTGGGAGTGAGGTGTGTGGGTGGGAGTGAGGTGTGTGGGTGGGAGTGAGGTGTGGGTGCGTTTGGGTGGGAGTGGGTTGTGTGTGTGTATGGGTGGGAGTGGGGTATAGGGTGTTGCACGGGGTGTGGTAGTAGGGTGCTGTGTGCGCGTGGGTCAGAGTGGGGTGAGGGTGGGAGTCTGGTTTGTGTGGAGTGGTCGTGGTACGTGGGTGGGGTAGTGGGTTTGGTGGTCCAGTAATAATGATGTGTGTGATAGTCGGGTGTGCGCGTTGGGTGGGGTGGGGGGTGAGTGAAGCGGTATGTCTCAAAATGCCTAACACTGCTGTCAGTTGTGGTTCCTGTATGTTTCTAAACAGAACGTGTCCATTTGTAAAATCATACACTATTGTATTGGCTTGTGTGCAGTGTAATGCCTACAACTCTTCACAGGGATTTGCTGTCAAGAGTAATGAATGTGTATTTGCCGGCAAACGTGACGAGCAACTTCCACGCAGCGATGTCCCGCAAACCGCCGTGAAGCGAGTAACCGAGTAACTGATCTTTAGTCAGGACACCGACATCAACTTTCATCTTTTTTTAAACTCGTGTCATGAGGATCTTTAATGCGAAGAGGTTGACGGGACCTCAGTTTACAATCGTGTCAGACTGACAGCACCTCCGACAATGAAGTGCTCACTACACTGGAGTGTCGGCCTCGACTGTGATAAGATACACAAAACATACATGTTTGCATCATTGCAATCCCACATTCATGGCAAGCTTACAATTTTAATTGGATGAACGTGTTTGGGATGGAGGAATAATAAATAATAATACTAATAAAATAATAATAATCCTTGCATTTGATACAGTGCTTTTCACGAATCCTAGACGTCTCAAAGCGCTTCACTGAAAATACTCTAAAGTGAATTGACTGTATATTTTGTGGGCGAAACGCAGTAGACAATTGCGCACAGCAGTGTCCCAGAAACAGTCGTGGATTGAGTGACCAAATCGTTATTGTTTTTTTTTCTTGAGGGATTATTATCAGGCGTGTGGAGTAAGGAAACTTGCCCAAGGTTTCGCCCTGCCAAGTTTCTCGCTTGCGAGGCGAGTGCTCTAACCACTGAGCTAAAGGACTCCCTTGTATGAAAATCCTTCTATTTGATATAGTGCTTAAGGTGTAGAGAAGTCACAAATAGTTCATGGATAATTGCTATCATGTGTATCGACTCTGTATTTGTAAGCAAAATGAATTAATTTTGCCTCAGATCCACAAAACACGAACAGGAGTGCATTTAACCGACCTGTCCAGTCAGCCTCAATCATTTATTTAGTTTAAAACAAAATTTTTTTGGTGCATATTAATCTTGTATAAAGCACCATTTGCCTGAATGGGTTTTGCAAACCACTTAACCCTTTGCAATCATAAATCTCACAACAAAGCTTTCTTGAGCAGTGACAGCTCTGGTATTATTACTGCGTGGTTCACCTCTCCTCCAATCCACCAATATTATTCCAGTGATGATTCTTATTTATAAACAGCTTCCAGCGTCTTTTCTACTTTGTGGGTAGTCCTTTGATTCTCCCTTTACAATCACGTTCTCTGTATCTGGGAAAGGGTGCGGCAACCAGTTGCACACAGTAACATCCCACAAACAACCATGGATTGAGTGACCAATTTTATTTGGGGATTATTGGCCAGGACACCAGGAGAAACTCTCCTCTCTTCGAATAATACCATGAGATCTTTACATCCACCTGATCAGGCGGATGAGACCTTGGTTTAACATCTCATCCAAAGGATGGCACCTCCAACAATGCAACACACTCCCAGTACTGCATTGGAGTACATTGGAGATGACAATCTTAGTAATAATAACAATAATAATCCTTGCATTTGATATAGCGCCTAATCACGTCTTCTAGACGTCTCAAAGGGCTCCACAGAATATACTGTCAAGTGAATTGGCTGTATATTTGTGAGCGAAACGCGGCAGCCAATTGCGCACAGCAGCGTCCCACAAACAATCGTGGATTGAAGTGACCAATTTTTTTATTGTTTTTTTTCTTGAGGAATTATTATTAGGCGTGTGGAGAAAGGAAACTCGTCCAAGGTTTCGACCTGCCGGGAATTGAACCCAGGTCTCTGACTTGAGAGGCGAGTACTCTAACCACTGAGCTACAGGACTCCACAATGGCTCTCAAAGACATGTTAAGTATATCTCACACAAGGCAATTCCTCTGAGATACTTCCCCAAAAAGGTATCTTAGACTATGACTATGTGATGCCAAGTCCCGGTGTGGGGCTGATTTGGTGTCAGAAGGTTGCCAAACAAGACAAGTAAATCCTTCTGAAAGTTGGGTCCCAAAACTGTTTTTGCAGCAGTCATTGGATACAGTATTTTCAAGATAATGAAGATGATTTTGTGAGTGATGTGCTCTAATTGTTTGGTTTACAGGATCTCGGGAAATTCTTGGATATTGTTTAACCCTCAGGCTGTCATCAGATCGGGGGAAATTCCATTCTCCTCATCCTGATTATTTTAAGAATAGTTTTCATTTGCCTACTATACACACTATGCACCTGCACAAAACATTAATATTACTAAAGATATAGTAGGGAATTACTTTAGTAAAATTAATATTTAGTAAAATTAATAAAAGTTAATGCTTGAAACATATTTTTAAAAAGTAAACCATATTTTCTTTCTCCTAAGTTCTCACTGTTTTCCTGCTGTTTTCCTTTTATTATCTTGTTTTCTCTAAGAACCATTTTGTTTCAGCGAGCAAGGCCTAATCAAATTGATGTTCGATACCACACATCCCAACTTGAGCTCACTCCATGCTGATACTGCACTGTCAGAGATGTTGCCCTTTGAGACGTTAAACCAAAGAACCTTCTGTTTATAATTCAGGTGGACTTTGAAGAACTATTTGAAAGAAAAGGTAGTATCAGTTGGTACACTGTTAAACAATCCTTGAGATTAATCGATTTGTGGACTTTGATGCAAATAAAATTGCTGCTGTGTTAACTTACAAACAACACCAACTTTGCATTTACATAGTGATCTTCATGTAGAAAATTTGGGAAAACTTGTGAAAATGCGATAATGAAGCACTCCAGGATATTTTGATTTAGAGGCAATGTAACACAAGTTCTCTCTTCAACCTGCTTGCGGTCTCAGTCGCAGACATGAATATTCTCCCAGCACGAGCCGATGGTTAATTTGGTGTTACTGTAGTGCAGTCGTACAAAGCCCAATAGAATTACAGAAAAAATGTAAGCGTCGAACCCTCCCTAAACCTCAGCGTAAATCAATTGACTAATTTTCTGTCTAACTGACAGAAATCAGCTATAAATCCTTTTTTCTACACATTAGCGTAATCCTCATTATCATTCTCCTCACAACAACACGTTCTCAGTGGTAATGCGTTCTTCCTTTACTGATATTCGGAGATTGTTTTGTTGCCTCTCCCCACCCCCGTTTCTTTGAAAGTGTAGTCTGTGGGATCTATTGTAAGTTGTGTAAACTATGTGTAATTGCATTGTACAGATGCAATTTAATTATGTAATTAGCAACCAATGAAAGGAATTGTGTTTTAATTACATGATTAATAAATCCTCTAACATTGATTGGTAATTACATAGCTCAGGCACCTATAATTCCCTCTGTACAAATGTTATTACGTAACGCACCTGCATTTCCTCATGGTTTACGCAAGCATTTACACATGCATTTACATGTGCATTCACTAGTGGTTTTATACATGATTTATACATCTAGCATCCCCCACAGATGCCAATATACAAATCAGCCATTCACTGAACTCATTTGAACATCTCAAATCAGACGCTGTAAAGGTAACAGATGAGCAGATGCAGATGGAAGTGCATTTAGACACCTAATGTTCGACGTGAAGCTGGCACAGTGGTAATGTGTCAAAAAAGTGATTTCAAGAAATATATGAAGATTTCAACCAGGAATGTTTCTAATGAGTCTTTTTTGTTTTTCCACTTGCTTTTTTCTAACGCCTTATGCATCACAATGTCTTGACGAGTGTTAAAGTAATGTTTTTTTGTTGGCAAATATAACAGCTATTTTGCAAACAGGAAGGTCCCACAAAAGGAGTGGAATAACTAATTAATCCTGAGGATTGATTGCCAGGAGAAACTCCTTTCTCTTTTTGAATAGTGCCACAGGATCTTGAACATTTGAAAAACAGGCAGATGGGTCCTTGGTTCAATGTCTCATATGTAGGATGCTGACACTTCTGACAATGGAGCATCTCACCAATATTGCACTGGACTATTAGCTGAAGGTTTGATTGCTGCTTGATCCCGCAACCTTTGACTCAGTGGCGAGAGTACTACCACCTGAGCCAAAATGATATCTCAGCTTGGCTCAGATAATTGAGAGAAGAGAAGAGATGGTCAATGAAATCTCTCATGCACAGCATTATTGTCTCTCTGAACTGCAGCATAGGAAGGAGGCATGATTCTCTTGCGAGAAACTGTCTCCATATCTGCTCTCCTCTCAACAGGTGCTCAGGCAGAAGAGTATCGACAAGGATAATCTGCAGCAGGTTTCCGGGCGAAGGTTTGCGTCTTTCAACGTGTTCTCTACGAATGTGGCTAAGAAGTCGGAGGGAGATTCAGATGACGAAATTTGGGTGGAGTACAAGTGCATCCCCTATCCACAGCATAGAGTCTATTTAAGGTAAACAACACTTTAAAATTAAATTTGGCTCATTCATTGGATTGGGCATCCCAGTTAATATGGCCTCTCCAACACCCCCCCCCCACACACACACACACACACACACACGCACATGAATTTATAGCCATTCCCCCGAGAAGCACATGTGAGCGTGAGCAAGTATTTTTAACTATTAAAAATATTAGTCGATTCTAATGTGCTCCCCCCTTCGCCTATGTCCATGCACAAACTATTCAGCAGCAGAGGGAGAGATGCCTCACTCTTAATTAGCTGTGTGGACAGCTAGCTGGGGGATAGAACAATAGATTGACCTATCCCTCAGAAGTTTACTTCCATCTCCTTCCCCTCAGGAAAGGCTCAGTCCAGTCAAGAGATCAGGGAAATGTGATCCATATTTAGCACAATATGAAATCATTGATATTACACCCACAGAGGAGGCTAGTCAGCCCATCAAGCAGAAGCTTTTTGCTAGCACATCCACTGGAGCTAACTAATCCCAATTCCCTGCTCTTTCCTCTTTAATTTTTTTTTTTACGGCTTTAGCCTGAACAGCTATTAAAGCATTCCATGTTCTAATTACCCTCTGCCTGACAAAGTTCCTTTTAGCCTTTCCTAACAAGTTGCTGGACCATCCGACAGCATCCATTGATAAAGCCTGTCCCACACATTGTTGGGTATGGCACAACGTAGCTGTACTGAATCCATCCAGAAAAGGTTTTTCTGAAAAAAAAGATCCATCACAATATCGTGCTGAAACCTGATAAACACTGAGTTTTTCCCCAGGCAGGACGTCTTGAACTCTAGCAATCAAATAAGTAATAATCCCCGCCACTACAAGGGAATGTAGAGCATACAGGACACCATCGCGGTCCATCTGGCTGGTCCCGGAGTAAACCTACTCCAATCCAGCTCTCATTACTCCTCAATTGATTTCTTTATCAAGTGACTGTTTGAATCCCTCCAGAATTTGTTGACACAATTCTGCTTCACTCACTGGATAGTCCATTCTAGACCTTCACCACTCTCTGCGTAAGATCATTAAATCTGAAGTGACTGTACACTTTCCCTCCTTTGAATTTGATTCCAGTGCCTGCCTTGTTGCAGATACTGCTGAAACGGAGAGTGTACTGAATTTATTATTTTTATGGTCGAAATGTTTGTGTGCTGCCACAAACCAGACTATCGATTATTACTTATTATTTATTCATTCACTATACATCTGTGAATCGATTCCACACGCACACTTTATTTTAACCCCAAAAAACAATAATTGAGCAGATATCACATTTATGGATGTATCTGTCGCAGATAGGGCTAAGAAGCTGTGATGGAACGTGAAGGGGAATAAACTGCTCTTTGAGGACGATACGTTTTAATCATGTTTTGTCACATTTAACCAGCGAGTTTAAGTTGAAGCTTTACAAGCGTGTCCTTTCCTGCCGCCCCCTTCCTCAATGTTTTAACAGTGACTCTTTAGTGGTGACAGAATCGGAGGGTAATGTAGCTTTTAAGGTACATTATAGATGAAACATGTTTTTATTTAGTATTTGTCTTGACAGCAGCATGCATGGTAATAAGTGGCCAATATGTATTGGGTCTCTTAGCAGTGACAAAGATTGTAGGGTAATGCTGCTTTTAAAGTACATTAAGATAGATGTAACATGTTTTTGGATCGCGTTCCTCTTGTCAGCAGCATGCTCGGTAATAAGTGACAAATATATATTGGGACTTGATTTTTTTTACACAAATCTTTTACCGCGGGAAGATTTTGTACTTAACAACCATTTACTTTGTTAAGACACAGTGTGGGGCCTCTGAATGTTGAAGATGTTCTCACCAGTTTTGACAACACAGGAAATGTCTGTGAGTTTTATTTCATTTTACGTTCAAATGTGATGTGATGTTTAGATGAAGGAGAGTGGGGCGGGCGGGCGGAGAAGAATTCGAAACGGTGGCTGTCTTAAAGCGGCACTGTTCTCTTCTTGGTGGGTCGAGGGGAGAGGTGCGCGTGGGGGCTTTTTGCTGTAGTCTGGGGGTGGGGGGCGTGTTCCAGGGACACAGCCGAGTGCGGAAGAAAACGATAGTGCCTCTTTAAATGCCAGAGCTAAGAGCTGCATCATAAACACACTTATTCTTTAACATTGTCAGCTCAGTCTCACAGCTGATCAACTTAACACGAATTGTCCCGCATTTTTAAAACTTGCGGAACATGGAACATTTTATCTGGTGAACGTTAAACACAGTATTTTTTTTAATATAGATTTATTGTTGTGCCGTGTTGTGTGTGCGTGTGTTTGAGTATATTTAACTGCAGACTGTGTAAATATTTTAGCTTTTAAGCATTTGCATTAAAAATGTATTTATTGGGGAAGGGCAAGTGGTTGTTGCTGCCTTTTTGCTTGTTTAACAAGAACCCTGTAACATGTACATTGGCACAGTTTTAGTTTTTTACATTGAGGTTCAATCACAGATGTAAGCAAAGATCTGAACAGACCCAAAAACCCTTCCAATACAGCTGGGAGTTTTTTTAAAAACCCTCCTCTGTTTGGTGTTGGGATCACGGTAAGTCATATAGTACGTGAATTGTAATATGTTGCATGTTTTGAACAGCAAGTTCTCATTTTCAGGCTATTAAATGCTATACACTGTCCAGCGCCTTGGAACGTCCTCCCGACGCGAAAGACGCTATACAAATGTAATGCTGTTTTATATATATATATATTATATTAAGCTTCAGGGATGGCTAGTGTGTAAAATAGCTTTCCTTTTCATAATGAAAACAATGGGAGCAAGCATGTGGTTGCAGGTGGTACCTTGACTGCTTGACTAGGAGTGAGATGCATTTGTCCTGCCCTGGGCATATTTTATTCTGCCGCACACCTGTACTGTAATAACCTCTACAAAGGGTTGGGTGATCAGACTGATTCAGTATAATACAATTTACATTTATATAACTCCTTTCCTGTTGGGAGGACAGGACGTCTCAAAGTATTTTACATAGCTGGGCATCCGGGTTGGGAGGCGGGGGGAAGAAAGGAAGGTAGGAGTTGAAGAGAGTAGGGAGGGGGGATGAAACCAAAAACTCATGCAAAGAGGTAGGTCTTGAGGTAAGTCTTTATATCTTGATTCAAGACAAAGGACTCAACAATGTGTGTAGATATCTCCAAATTTATAAGATCCTTGTGATCCAAGGATATTCTTAGAGAACGAGCAATTTTATAAGAAAACAATTTAGACCCAATTAAGGCTATAGTAGTATCTACAGTTGAGACTCTTGTAAAACTATGATCCTTTTGGGAAGGGGCAGATATGTATTTAATTTTCAATTAACAATTTTTTAATTGAACTTAATCGAAAGAAGCCATCATTTCTTGTAAGCCTTAGGGGTCAGCTATCAGATGGTTGCTCAGAGATTTGTTTCTAATTAATCATTACATTCTGGCAACCGAAGTGGGAAATCTCTGCTGACCTACAGAAGATGTGTTAAACTTGGGGGCAGCCTGAGCTGGTGCAGAGCAGCATGGACTGGTACAGAAGCCCAGGCAGGTGGAAGATGGACCCAAGTAGATGGTGAATGGGACAGGCCATTGAGGAACTCTGTCCCTTCTCTCTCTATCTTTGCTCCATTTTTGATAACAATAATAATCCTTGCATTTAATATAGCACTTTATCATATCTTCGAGATGTCTCAAAGTGCTTCTGTGTTGTGCCAACATGCTGGACAGGTAGTGGTGGACACTGCCCTCTCATCTTGTTCCAGTCTTGTTCCAAGATTGGAGTGAAGCAATTTTCTTTTATAATCATTGTAACAACAAATTGCATTTTTATAACTCCTTTCATGCTGGGAAGACATCCCAATGCATCCAAGGAAGTCCATCATCTTCTTGCATGTGAGGTTGGAGGAGAGGACGGGCGGGAAGTTGAGAAGTTGGGTGAAGGAGTTGGTTTGTGGTGGAGAAGAGGAACCTGGGGTTGCCCTTGGGCCTCAGGATGATCCTGGGATAAAGGGCGAATTGGCTGAGGTAATGCAATAAAAGTAACATATTCCTTGAACTTGTCAGCACTGAAGTGGCAATCACTGGTCAGTAGTGAAATCAATATCTCTATGTTTCTAAAAAGAGCCATTTTGAGGTGTGTGAGAAATATATGTGTAGAGAGAGACGTACTTACTGGTCAAAATAGCTAACTCTTCCCGCCCCCCGGCACTCCACATAACGTGCAGTCCTGGGTCAGAAGAATGATCACAGTTCTTTTGAAATTGACTTCATAAGATAGAAAGCTGCAATCATGGTAAGAGTTCCTCTGTGATGGCCTGGGCACTGTTTGCAACACCCACGAAGATCAGACCGATAGGAATTGATCTGCCCTTCATGGATGTTCCTTCCACGGTACACTATCATTTTGATGTAAGAGGAAATGGGCTAATACTGTCCTCGAGGCATTTTGCTGGACATGTGAGCTCTTGCACCAGTGAAAGGATTAAGTGAGTAATGATGCTGGATTCCGTTAGCCACGGGCACATCAGACACTGAAGCCATGTGCTGGCAGGGTAGTCTCAGCAAGCAGCTCAGACGTGATTGTTCCGTTTCAATGCCAGTATATCCACTGCACCTATTCACTTCCTTTTGCACGAAAGGAATTTCTCTCTTGAGTAAATTGAAGTGTAAAGTGCCTGGTTCACTCAGCTCCAGATCTGCCAAGACCTGGCTCTGTGTCGGATACCCCATCATCTCCATGTGCAGGAGATCTAGCTCGACCGTGAACATTTGGAGAAGCTGATCTGGCAATGTTCTGCAAGTGACTTCATCACACTCATGAATTGCCGGTAGTATTTATTTCACAATCTCCACTGAGCCAAAGTAATGAGAGGGGAAGCCAGTGAGGAGCAAAGCTGTCCGATTTTCCGATAGGTCTCCCAGGCTTCCTCGACCATCATTTGAGTGGTAAAGATCCCAAAAATAATTCTAATTCGGATTCTCACACGTGTCAGTGTCTTGATGTTATGATACTTGCGCTCTTGATGTCTGCACGTGCACCAAATATTCGGTCCAAAAACTGCACGAGCTTTGGCTCGCTCTTTCATGTCAGATTTGGGGATTGCAGAAATGCAAGGTAAAAAGTGGAATTAGCCAAAGATTTGATTTAGAAACACAAACGGCATCCGCGAGTGAGATATCCTTGAGCAACTATGGTAGTTTTTTGCAGGGCTTGTGGAAGGAAGATGATTGATGGGCTCGTTCCAATTCCTGCTTTTAAAAACCGACACTCCTTCACAATGTAGACATGTTCACATGTTCAGTGCTCATCCAGGCATTGGCTTTACTCGCTGAGCCCAAGGGAGAGCCATGGGGAAGAAAAAAAACACAAATGGTCTTTAAATCTGAATAATCTGAATGTCAAAAGCTTGTGCATCTGAGTGCTTGTTTCCTGCTGGTCGGTGAAATGCCATCTCCTGCATTGACAATGCCTCTTGCCACCACCAAGATAAGCAAATGTTACAATTAATTGTGTTTCAGCGCTTACGTCCTTTGAAAGCGTTCAGTCAACTTTTCAACTTGATAGCAATATGACTGCGATCCAGTTTGTTTGCGTATGTGTGTGATTCTTTTCCATGTATAAGTATAAAAGCTTGATATTGCACTGTTTGTTTTTCCCCATGGCCATAACCAGCTTGCCTTTACAGTCATTTGCCACGATTTACCCTTGGGTTGAGTTGTTGCTATTTTCAATGTTTTATATAATAATTTCAAAATGATTTTAAAAAATGTAGTAAAGCGCAGAGGACGGAGTATGCGGAACTGAAAATTGGAACAGAATTTCATTCAAAAAAGACCTCAATTCACTGAGCAAGGATTTTACAGCAAATCTTTGCCCCTGATCTTGTTTAAACCTATAAGGGGCTGTGCAATAGAGTGGCAATTCAGTGTGTGTAGCACGCAATGGTAGAACCAATTGAGGTTCCAGTGACTTCTTGGTGCTGTGAGTTCATGATCTCAGCAAAGCAGCTATGTTCACCCTCACACGGACAGTGTAGAAAGTCGGAGCTCAGGAGGGAGAAGAATAGTATTTAACTATAACGTATATGTGCTCTGGACTACCATGTTCCACACAGTCATGGTGTATCCTTTGAAGTGCTTTGAGATGGCCTCCCGATGTGAAAGGCGCTACATCAAATGCAACGATTATTATTATTATGTTCCAGTTTAAATTAGGGACATGTATCTCATCTAACCATCACAAATATAAATAAATAGTTATGATAAAAAGGTAACCAACTTACACCGACCTGGCGCTGAGCACCCTTGGAGGCTGAGTCAGTGTCACAACAGGCGCAACGTTTACTGAAGCCTCTCACATGGGGATTAAGCAGTTGACGTTGAGTCAGCCTCGTACATTGGAACTTTGCTGCCATTAAAGAGAATTAGGAATCTCCAAAGTAAACACCGGACTACACTGGAGTGTCAGTCTAGGATATGAGGTCAAGTTTCCAGGTGGAGGCTGAATACACACTGTAATGACTTGGAGGTGAGAGTGCTATCATTATGGACAAACTAACACCTGATAAGATATGTAAATCTGAGAATTAGATGAGGAAGGGTGGAAGAGGAGTCAGTCTTATTTTTCGGTCTGATGGTGAGATTATGCCACAGGAGGTCACTCTAAATCCCCTGTCAGAGCTGAGATCTGTGAGGAGTCATGGTTTCGAGCACTTAAACAAAGTGATGCTCTCAATGATTCACTCGTTTTTTTTTTAAAAATGTAAACGCTCGGGAAAAAAGCTTAACCCTATTTGTTTTTTCGAAATCTTAAGCCATGCTAGTAATTGTGGTGAAGTGTGGATTAAGACAGATTTAGCTGCTGTT